CTTTGGTATCGGAGTGGATAGCCTAGGGACAGAGAACCAAAACGGTAGTAGAATGGGGAAACGGAGGGGACGGGAAAAGCGGCACCTGGGGTCTAGAGCGGTATCTCGTCTGATCTCGTACGATAAACTAGCGAGCGCTAGATTAGTACTGAAGTAGTTGGGTCGGTGACGACCAGCGAATACCTAGTGTTGTATGTTTTTTGTTTTTTGCAATATCAGACACGGCCCTTTGGAAAAGCTTCACCACAGCAATAATTTTACCCACGAGATGAAATAAAGTAGCCTTTACTCTTTTCTTTTGTTTTTTTGTTAGAAATAATTATTCGCTAAGATAATTCTTGCCTTTAAAACAGCTAAGCTTAGTTTAACGTAATCCTACAGGATTTGTCCCTTCGCTGGCTCCAGTCCAGGTTTCATCCCAAGTCTCAGTTGCACCATTCTCGGCACTTGCTGGCACAGCAAATGCGGTTATTCGCGCCCAACTCGTCGAGCTAGTATTTTGGCAAGAGTGATTCACGGCTCTCTGCACGGCCATATACCCCAGTAAGAGCCTTCTGGTTTCTCCAGAGTCTAGAGTTAACTCGACTTCTCCCTCAATGACAAAATTGCAATTCAGGCTAATGGTTCGATGCATTGGTGACGTAGTTCTATCCGGCTGGAAAGTCGATCAGTCTTGCAACACATTCCCAACGTCTATTCAGAGTTCTCGCCTAAAATTCTTCACCAAGCCACACCAGCCAAATTGCGCGCTCAACCTCTTGCGCTTCAAGCCTTTCATGTAGTTGCATATGTTTTAGTTTCGACTATCAAAAGATTATCAAGATTAGTTACCCAACAGAGAGGGGGGAGAACCTCCAAGGCCGGCCGTTTTCCTGTGCTTCTAATAATTGCTGCAGAAGTCCTGGTACGCTGCTATGGTCTGCTGAATAAGAGAAACAAGAGGTGAACTATTATCGGTTTTAATACGAGCCTTTTAACAGTGATGGCGTAGTCTAGGAAGTCCAGGAAATTTATTCTTATCTAGCCTATACTGAAAAGAGAAATCAAGCTAAATGGCGAACAAAGCATTCTAGAATGTTGATGGGTCAACTGGTGCATGTGGGCAGCAATGGTGAATCTGCTTCGCTTTACACCTCCCTTTTCTTGGTTTGTGTTTTTTTTTCCCTTGTGTTAATCCTGCAGTCTTGTTTCGGTGAAAGACAGGGTACCTTGTTTCCTGAAAAAATTCCAGTCAATGAATGACTTGATGTAGTTTCGAATGAACCGTGTGTTCACAAAGCCTTTTCTCCGTGCCTTTTTCGGTCGTGGTGGGCAGCAAACAAACGCCGTGCCTGTGCACAATCTTGTCACCACAGAGCGTAAAGGGCAAAAAAGCGCCTCCAAGAGAACAGACCGTCAACATGGCGCGCACACGCCTTTATTCTCATTCTCGGCATGGCACCAGTTTTCATGTCCCGCCATGCACAGCCATGCCATCGACCCCGGCCAACATAATATGAACACGCTTGACACTCTGTAGCCCAAGCACGCCTGATTCTTTGAAGCTGTAAAGACACCATGAGCCGCCTAGTACAAACATTGCGCCTCCATCAAAGCCTGGGCTCAACTATGCCGTTGGCACATGGCGCTTCAAGTGGTACTACCAGCCGGGGTGCGCGCTGTTCATTCGACATTTGCGTGGTTTTCTACGTGTTTTCTCAAGTGTGCCAGGATATGCAGCATTCACGTCCAACTCTGCAAAAGTCAATCCGACCTTTGATTGTCCCGCCATGGTTGCGAGCCGTGTATTATCTGACTTCCGGCAACACATGAATCATAGCGGCACGACTCCCTGGGAGACTATCCTTCAAGTCTTGCCTTCCTGCTCAGGTCTTGTCTGGTGTTTCCCAGAACCTCTGTCCTGTTCACAAGGCAACTACAACTATAAAAGTCCCGGATAGAAGGCTACCTGCACGGTACATTAACCATTTGACAAGCCGCGAGTCTCCCGCAAACCAGGTGTTTTCTGTGAGGGCCCAGCCACCAAGATTATACAGCCAACATCCCGCCTTCCAAGCATCATGCCAAACGACGTTTCGTCACATTCCGGGACTGCATCCGGCTCGCAGCCAGACGGCAAGACGCTCCAGTCTGAACCTTCTACGGCAACCACTGCGTCACAGCAGGCGACAACTCAACTCTTGAGGAAGATGCGATGTATTGACAACGACCCAAAATACATTGAAAGGTATGGCAAGAAGCCCTGATGCCGGGAGTTGCAACAGCAGCACAAGACACGAAAGGCCCATTCGACATGCCCAAAATAAATGCACAGAGTCGAAACGGGTGCCGGCCTGTTGATATCGAGTTGGCCTTGGAACCCCGACCACGCAGGGCGGCAAGGGCCAAGGGCACAGCTGGATACTTGGGATATTCGGACGTGGAACGCTGTGGCTGGATTCTTTTGCTCCATGACCCAACGGCCAAAACCGACAGCTGTTGAAACGGTGGAAGCAAATAGGTTGTATGGAGTGGATTACAGCTTTTCGGGTCATGTTATGGCATTATTTTTTCACGCGCGATACGGAACACGTTCCCTTGCTGGTGTTTGTATTTTTTTGCATAGTATTAGACATCTGAATTCGAATAGGCGTCCCTAGCAATCTTGCTCATAACGCAGGCCTGTTAAAGGAGAGAAGCGTATTGGCGCATGCCCACCGTGAGCGCTGATACCACACCGTGATGGTATGATGATAAACTAATGTATGGGGTATTACCTTGGACCAAGTCTATATAGTCTCTTGGGATCTTGAGACTTTAGGCGTCCACGGTACACTAGGCCCGAGGCAAGAGACCTCCCATCGACGTCCTTTATGAAACTACCATCGTCGTCCATCAGAGCCACATGGCTAGTTTCATAACCGCTCCTCGTCTAGGGTCTGCTATTTAACACGGTTGCTTCTTGTCGCCTTTCTCCTTGCTTACCTCCCTTAATCTGCTTCATCTCCTCGAGAATTTCAGCCCCATTAGGGTCCTCCAACAGGGCATCACATCTCTTCGAGAACATTTCTTGTCAACATGGCTCAATCATCATGGTTAACACTTCTCAAACCGTCTCCGCCGTCCCGATTGCCCAAATATGTAATACCTAGCCGACGCTCGCATAGCTACTAATAGCCAAGTACCCACCAGTCAGTCAGCACCGGGTTTGCCCGCCAACCCTCTTTAACGGCCCCCCGCGCGAATCACACGAGTCCGCGATAGTGCGGGATACGATACCCGCGCAACTCGACTCCGGATATCCGCTCCGGCGGTCTTTCCCGGGCCCGGCCGAGCGAGGGAAAGTAGCAACGTCCAAATCGGGCCAAATGCACGGGTCAAAGCCGAGACAATCTGGGCTTGGGGCTCTGAGATGCGGGAACATGAGTATTATCATCAGGACTGGGCTTCTTCATGAAACATCTATATAAAGACAAGTGCGCGCTTCCGAAAAAACGACCGTATGCACCATCACGACCTAGACAAACCCCCATCAAGTTTTTTATCAGAGCTGGTCAATACCCACCACTCATCTCAGAACATAGCTTGATAACCCCTCGCCGTAGCATCGCCCTCGTCGACGCGCCTCGCCCAAGCATGGCCTACCGCGGCCACGATCCCGACAAGCACGTCCCGGATCTTGTGGGCAGGGTCATCCTCGTCACGGGCGGTACGTCCCATGCGCCAGCAACCTCACAGGCCGCAGACGACATCTAACGTGCCCCAGGAACCGGCGGGCTCGGCAGGGAAGCCATACTCGAGCTCGCCAGACACAACCCAGCTCACATCTTCTTCACCGGCCGCAGCCGCCAATCCGCCGTATCCCTCATCGCCAACTGCTCAGCTCCCGAAGCACCGGGCTCGCCCAGTCGCATCACCTTTCTCGAGTGTGACCACGCCTCCCCCGACAGTATCCGCGCTGCCGCGGACACATTCATGGCCTCCTCGTCTCGTCTGGACATTTTGATCGCCAACGCCGGCATCATGGCGCTAGATGCTGGAATCACAAAGGACGGGTACGAGGTGCAATTTGGCACCAACCACGTCGGCAATGCCGCTCTGGCGCTGCGTCTCCTCCCCGTCATGGAGCGTACAGCCCAGCAGTCAGGCAGTGACGTGCGCTTCGTAGCGCTGACATCACTAGGATACCGCGGTCATCCCAGCGCCGGCATCGAGTTTGACGGGCTCCGTGATGCGAACCAATTCCCCGTTTTGGGGCCCTGGGTGCGCTACGGGCCGTCCAAGTTGGCAAATATCCTGTTTGCAAGGGAACTCGGCAAGCGACATCCCAAGATTAGCAGCATCGCTGTGCATCCGGGAGTTGTTGGGACTGATCTAGTCAATCACTTGGCGTTTTGGAACCGGCTGATTGTGCGAGCTACCAATCCTCTGGGGTTGATGACGCCTCGTCAGGGGTGCTTTAATACGCTGTGGGCGGCGACGGGGAGTGACGTCGGCGAGAAGATGCGAGGCGGTGCGGGCACGATTTGCACCAAGAACAAGGTTGCATTCTTTGTGCCCGTCGGTGTTGCTGACGCGGGTGATGCCAAGTGTTGGGATGATGACCTGATGGCCAAGCTGTGGGACTGGACTGTGAGCGAAGTCGGTGTCGAGGGGAAAGGCATGAGACTGGTTTAGTGCAATGTGTTTGCATAATTCCGCGTCTAGGTACTATATTCGTAACATTCGTTTGCTGAATTCCCGCTAGCTCTTCGATTTTTTCCTAGCCTGTGAATAGTTGGTTAGTTTGCTGGGGTAGTGTTAGCATTCTTGTTCATATCTCGCAGTCTCTTGGCGTTCTCCGGACAAAGTAAAATGGACTTGAATCTAGCCGGCCACCGGATCCCGTCGTCTTTTTGCAACGGTGGCCGACTTCTGTCTCATTCGATCGAATACATATGTACAAAAATGTTTCCCACATTTTGTTCCATCAGTTCCACACTGCCGCTTCGGTCCTGTCCCCTGTTCCCCCATCTGGACCACTATTTCGAGGGTGCAGGAGAGACCGCAAAGGTCGGTCGGACAAATCGACTAGTGTCAAGAGTTAGCACACTCGGCAGTTTCGGCCGGAATTCTCATCGCGTTTGACGCACCTCTCATTGTTGTAGACCTTTGTGTTTTCGCCCAACAGCTCCTTCTCGCGCTTCTGGTCGGCCCAATATCTTCGGACTTGGTCGCGGTCTTCTTCGGCTTGCAGGAGAGGGATCAAGTTGATACGCGCCCACATCTTCTCACGGGCCAGCTCGCTGTTCCAAGTCAGCACGTCTATTCCTTATCGCAAGTTATTCCGGCTATAGCTCGATCGACGAATTGGGTCGGTGGTCAGGTGAAAGTCTCGAAGACCGCAAGCTCTAGCGATGACCGAGATTTGGTGTCCGTCGGTTTTGCGGGAAACGTACTTGGCTTCACGAATGCCTCCAATCAGCTTGTACCAGCCGAACCCCATCACAGCTCCAACTCCGAGTAGCAAGATGCCGGGGCGAAACCCTTTGGCAGGCAGGTTTCGCTACTGTCCATGTCAGCACTGTGCAACGTTCATTCCAGCGTGAGCTTCGGAATGGCCAATCGCTCGTCAATTCTCATCACCGAGGCTTCCACACAGAGTTCAGTCCGATAGTCACCAGGCTATGGAGCAAGGCAACAGAGCTCCGAGGGCACTCCGCGCTCGAGATTTCGATAAAATGACGCCAAGCCCCTTATCTATTCCATTTCGCCCACGCACCTTGTACTGGACGGGTTCGTACCCGCCCCTCGGGGGCATATCCTGCGCCATCGTAGCGAAAGCGTATGTCGGGAATCGGTCTAAGCTAATGACGACAGATGTGAGTTGGACAACTCGGAAGCACTAATTATTGTAGTCACGGACTGAAGTAGGTAAAATCTCGCGGGACACTGGTCTGGCCCCGAAGCTATGATTAGTCGCCCTGGGTAGGTTCGTGATTGTTCGTGGATTTGAGGTGATTGTTTTGCGGGAATCATGACTGGCTAGGCACGATTAGGTAAGGAGTGGGGCCAGAACAACCTACCCTATCACGAAATGTGATGCCGTAGATGAACTGTACAGACGTATGATGTTGGTCTTTCGGACGATAATTGCGGGAACATTGATATGATATATAAAAAATAGAGACTTTATTACAGTAGCTGAGTCGTTCCCGACTATGTTTGCTGCTCAGGTTTTGGGGCGCCTTAATTCAACTCCGAGCGAGCTGTTGTTGTGATAGCTTCTGTCGCAAGTGGTATAAGGGGGCGTAACACACAAAATAATGTGGCGTGGCCACGCCCATTTTTTGTGTCACAGCTTCCGTATTAAAAAAAACCACGTTATTTTATTTTAAATCCAACTTCGGTACTCCAACAGATGTATAGGCGTACCATATGCATCTATTTATTTGTATCTGTCATTTCTCATGGAATTCAAGGGTGTACACTATTGTAACAGATCCATCTTCGATGTCAAGGCGGGTGGTAGCCAAAGGCATCACCTCGCAGCCTGGGGAGGAGCTGTCCGACTGGGCCCAGTTGAAGCAAAACCATTCCCATTTGCTTTGGCAGCCATGGCAGCCCCAGTGCTCGCTGTCCTGGACACCGAAAGCCTGTCGCAGGGCAGAAACACTTGTCCGTTGGCATGCTTCCTCAACGGCCGCGTATTAGCTACCCGTTCCCAAATATCCATGAACTCATCTTCGAGCTTATCGTCATACGGGTCTCTCATCTCCCTCCTGATGCGGCCATTTGCGTCCCTCTGCGGAACGCCCTTGTCGTCACGGATAGTCTTGACATATAGATATGCGAACTCGGGCCAGTCCCACCATGGGGAGGTGAGAATCACAGTCCTCCATATCCCGTCCTCGTGGGCGGCTACAGCGTCTTCATATCGGGATGTCATGTTGAAGCACAGTCGGTACCAGTCCATCATGCCGTACATGTCGGCGCGAGACCAACCGCCTAGGACCTCGCCGCTGGGGAGGACTTTCTGACGAGCTTCTACCCATGATACGAGCGATGGCCAAAAGGTCTTTTGTAGGAGTTCCAACTTGATAGCTTCAGTTATGTCCCTGTATCCAATCGGGTGGGTGAAGATGGGGTCGGTATACGCCGCGTGAAGCCACTCCTCCTCGTGTTGGGCTGTCGTGCCCTCCATGGGGGATTTATCGGTGGGATATGGATACGGCCGCCACTCCATCCTGTCTGTTTCTACTTTTTGTGGACGTCGAAATAGAGGGTTGAATGCTTTGTCGTGTGGGTTGGCCTCTGACATAACTGAGTCTTAATCTCTGACGGCTGACACAAGTCGCAATGGTGACATGATGCAAAACGACGCGATGCTGTCTAATGAATGATCCAAGGATAGCTCGACATTGAAAATGTGTATGGATTCTCAATTGGCGAGGGCATACCGGGCGGGACAAGTCGGAGATCAATCACAGTCCGGGTGGTGGCGATCAATGTCAGCTCCCGGTATGAGGTGAAGCTGCCCAGCCGGAGACGTTGGATGGTCAAGGTTGAGAAAGCCGGAGCAAAGTCAAATAAATTGCAGTCAAGGAACTGTGTGAGTCAATCACACATGCTCCGCCGAAATTAGGAGTCAACTGGTCTCTAAGTCGGGAGAAGAACGGGCTGAGGCATGGCCGTTCGGGGGGGGGTTATCCATCCTTAAATGACGCGAGCCGGATCATGACTTTTGCTTGCCTAGCCCAAGCTCCCAAACCACATGCGACACAAAGCAAACGCCTCTCCCTGGCTGGAGTGCCCCCACGGCAGGTTGCAGAAAGTCAAACCCATTTAATGCCTGTTTTGACCGGCCCGCAATGCAAGGCAATCGCAGTGTTGCATCTTGAGGCTAAGATGTGAATGGGGTAACGGCTTGTGATTGGGTGCTCGGCAGCAAAAATTGGGTTTTGTTGGCGGCCGCCCAGGGCAGCGCCACGCCAAGCTACACTGGCGCTGGGCACCACAAGTTGGGGGGACTCGAGCGCTGTGGGGGAGAGGATGAAGATCTGAGGCGAAGATGGTCGGGAAATACCAAGACGAGAACGCGGGCGGGTGTCTGGCAAGGGGTGAGCTTCATGGCGATACAAAAGCAAGTACAGCGGTTCATGGGAATGGTCCCAAGATCCAGTCTTGGACGCTGCTCACCGCCACGAAGCATCCTGTGGCGATCTCTCGATGCCATCACCATCTACTGCTTCGTACTCCGTATTTCTCCTGGGTTTGCGTGTGTAGAAAGCTGCCTAAAAGAAAAAAGAAAAGAGACCAACTGCGGTGAGAATATGCCTCATCCAGGCGCTGCCTGCTTAATGCAACCCCCCGGCGAGCGAGTCTGGAGGATGCATCATGCAGGCAGGGTGTTTGCCACCAAATAGACCCCGCGGCGGATGCATGAGGTTTCCTGACATTTTTGTGCTTAGCGCTTGGTCACTTGTCACATCAAGTCTGGTGTTTGTAGCGTGACCCGCTGAAAGCCGGCAGAGCTTAAAGGCAATTGACTCTTGCATGTTTGCTTGCGGACGGCTGCTGAGGAGAGAGAAGAGGTCGACAATACCGCCTGGTGTAACAGGCGTGACATGGCGACCACATTGCCGTCAGCAGGGTCGATTGCTGGAGTCACGATGCATAAGCCAAGTGGCTTCAAAGATGCAGCTCGAGGTGGGAGGGGGCCTGATTTCCATGAAAGAGGCAACGTGGGTTGCGCCTTCCCTGGGCATTTAATTATTCACATGCAAATCCATGGCTAGAGCCACCAGCTCCGGAATCCAACCCCTCGACGTCGCCGTAGATAGGTTGCGTCGTCGGGTTGCTTGGGCTGAGGCGAGAATCACCGCTCGACAGATGGCAGTCGAAATGCGACACATCAGAGAAGCTTGCAAAAGCATCAAGTGTCTGCCCAATGGCCATCAAGAAAACGTGGCATCCAGAGAATCGCCAAAGCTGCGAGCTCTCCGCATTCTGCACGACCGTGCAGCTTCCGAGCAAAGTTTAGCCGCGGTCAAAGAATGGGAAGTATTCTAGAGCCGTCACCTCTCAAACTGCCCCTGCTCGTCGCAGCCAGGTCTCCATCACCGGTTTGCTGACTACTCCCCGCCAGATTACGCAGTAGATTGCTTCAACTACAACACCACCTTGAGCAGGCATCGATCCGCCAGAGCTCTCAGCCAGCCCCGTCTGTCCCGCTGGACCTCGTCAACCCATCTCGGGACGGCAGCTTGTGGCTGGGATGCGTTCCCGGGATAACCAATCCCAACGTCGGGACGCGCTCCATCGCCCGCGTTAGCTCTTACAGTAAGATCGGACGAGACGGTCGGGTTTCCGTGCTGATTAGCAATCGAATATCCAATATTTCTTTTCCCGTTCCGAGCTGCCATGCGATGCCAGAAATAAATATCTCAGCAAACCTCATCCTGACAAGCTGTGTTTGAAGAAGTTTCACGAGCCTGCCGACGCCAATTCAAATACAGCCACCCGGCAATCATAGACCATGTCGTGCCCAGACTGTTTCCGTGGCCAGATCCACGAGGGCGAGACCAAAGGCAAGGTCATCAAGCACTACGGATTCGACACCTACGTGAGCGAGCCGCCAAATGGCACGACACCCAAGGGCATCATCGTTGTCATCCCCGACGCATTTGGCTGGGAGTTTCCAAATAACCGGATCCTTGCGGACACTTATGCCGAAAAGGGTGGCTTCAAGGTCTACTTGCCCGACTTTATGAATGGTACGTCGTCGCAAGGCGCATCCATTGCACGATCCAACTCGAATCATTGACACCCATCAGGCCACGCCGCGCCTGTATCCATGCTGTTCAGCATGCAGACCGCTCTGGCCCCCGGCAATCTCTTCTCCCGCTTGTAAGGCACCACATCGCCTACGTCACCATCTAGTTAACGCAACGCAGCATCGCCGCAATCCAAACCATCCTGGCCGCTGTGCCTTTCTTTATCCGCTGCGCCCCGGGAAGGACATACCCCGGCGTCGAAGGCTTCTTCGAACAACTCCGCAAAGAAGAGGGCCAGACGCTACCCATCGGCGCGGCCGGCTTCTGCTGGGGCGGCAAACACACGGTCACGCTTGCCCACGGCGCCGAAATCAATGGCCAGCCTCTCATCGATGCCGGCTTCACAGGCCATCCAAGCCTCCTTAAGCTCCCCTCTGATGTGGAAAAGATTAAGCGTCCAGTGTCGTTTGCGTGCGCAGAGGATGATAACCAGATCTCGCTTAAGCAAGCCGAGCAGATCAAGGCAATAGTGACAGCCTTTCCAGAATCCTACAAGGGCGAACTTCGTGTTTACCAAAAGACGGGCCATGGATTCGCGGTGCGTGCTGACCTCAAGGTCCCGGATGTCGCTGCACAAGCGGCTGCCGCCGAGGATCAGGCCATTGCCTGGTTCACGACGCACTTCTCGACGGCTACATGACGTGAAGTGTAGTTCTGACACTGCGTTGCTTGCCACATTCACATGCCCAATGTCTTTGGTGCTTGTTTTTTTGCAGCTAAGAGATAGCAATGATACTGCTTGTGGAGCCAACCCACAAGCTAGGCTGAAAGGAGCCATATTCTATGAAGAGCGCAACAATATTCAATTTAATTATCTCGGGATATGCAGCGCTACTTGTTCAAACAGGCAAATGGCAATTGACGGAATCTGGAGGCCCTGAATAGCAATTAGGCGAATAAGTCTGCATTGTCGAGGTATTAATGTCTTGTCTATCATGCCGTGTAATCTATACTCGAAAGACTATTGTATGATGCAGCGCCGTACCCCTACCCAATACCAAATGAATCATACGCTTCGTAAGTCTGTCCATTACCCAGTATTCATTATCCCATTCATCCCACTAGCCTCCACCTGCCACCCACTTCAAACAAAAGTTGTGTGCCTCATGGCAGGGGGATTTCATCAGTTAAAAATGTATAAAGGAAAAAAGAGAAAGGGAAAAAAAAGTCGATCCATCAAGACGATGCCTTGATCGCCTGGCTGCCAAAAGTCTTTTCTTTGCCTACCCCGCCGAGCCCTTCACTCAGCTTCTTGGTGACCATCTCGGGGTCTGGCTCATCTGACCCTATAAAAGTCCAGCTCTCTTCAGTGTCCTCGTCTTCTTCGGCGTCTGGTTGTCCATAACGTCCAACCTTGCCCTTGATGAGGCTCTTTGCATATTCGAGATCACGGTATATGTTTTGAATAGCAGTGTCGACCCCCTTGTCCTGTACGAGCTGTTAGTTTCCCTGTGAGTAGTATTTTCAAGGGTGAAATGGTGCATACCTTGCGGATTTGCTCGCCAAGGACACGAGCTTTTACAATCATCCGCTCGTTGCGCGTCACCTGCCACAGCGCTCTGCCAAAGCTGTTGGCACCCCATCGTCTCAAGCCAACACCAACACCAAGGTCTTCTACTCGGGTTGCAAAGAAGAACTGATCGCCGAAGAATGGCCGAATGATGGTAGGGATACCCGCCCGCAGACTTGCGCCGGTAGTTCCAGACCCGCCGTGGTGAGCTGCGGCGTCAATTTGACGGAACAGCCAGTCGTGTGGCGCGGACTTGATGACGAAGATTTCGGCAGGCATTTCTGGTTCATCCGGCCGGGGCTTGGCTGGGTCATCCTTGGGTGAGATACGATCAGACCACCCCTTGGACAAAATGCAGCGAACATCGGCTTTGAGCACTGCGTCGATAACTTCTTGCGTCATCTTGACCGGGTCATTTACGATAATGGAGCCAAAGCCGACGTATACAAGTTTCTTGCCATCGTCCCTAGCCTTTTGTATGAAGTCAGACAATTCCTTTGGAGGCTCATATTCACCACCTTCATCTAAGAACCAATACCCTGTGACTCTGATCCAGTCCGAGAAGTCGAGAGGGGGAGCGACGACACTGGGGCTGAAGTTGTAGAGGAATGGTACCTTGTTGGGCTGCATCTTTTCCAAGCTCGTATTGGGCAGGCCAAGTGTCTTGTTGCGCCAGCGGTTGATTTGCTGTGCGGTGGCTTTCCAAAAGATATTGTCAAACATGACATAAGTCATGTAGTTATAGGCACCGCCCATCTTGTGTTCGGGCATGATGAAGGCGTGAGGGTACGCACGGGTTCTGGTCCAGGGCATAGTGAAAGCCCTGAAGTACGGGATGCCAAGTTTTTCTGCAATGTGAATGCCCGCCATGGCAGAAGGGGACTCGATGAGAAGTTCCGAGCCCAGGCATGCTTGATAGGCTGAATCAAGAAGCTCGTCGAGCCACCCCCTGAATGCTGAGTTAGCTTCGCGAAGGAATGAGATGGTGAAGGTGCCGTTTTCGATACACAGTCGCATAAGTTCGCCAGGGTCACCCTCAACCTTGGCAAACTCGATTCCATGAGATTCGATCCAACCTTGGAACTCGGCGTGAGTCGCGATTCGAGGCTTGTGTCCCTCAGCAAGCAGCCCTTTGCATAAAGCAATGTACGGCTGGACATCGCCTCTCGACCCTATGGTCAGACAGGTGATCCTCATGGGTTGGGGTGGCTTAAAGGTGAGAAAAGAGCCGTCAGTTTCGTCCATGAGAATAGTTGGAACATTTGGCTGCGAGTCTGCTTGCTGAGGAGGCAGAATCTCGTGCTGAGGAAAGTCTTCCTGTCTAGCTGATTTGAGAGCATCCCGTTCGGCCATGGCCTGGTCCTCTTCCTCATGTTCCTCGAGGTCAAGGAGTCCTGCTTCCCTCAGATAACGATTTGTTTCCAGACTTTGGATTAGGGTCACGGTACAGTCATCACGTACGTCGACCTGGCTAAACTCGAAAAAGAGCTCCTCATGACCGCGAATGACGACGGTAAGACCCGAGTACCCGATTCGGAAGCCCTTTTCTTTATGGGCAGTTTCAATGTCTTTGAGAGGGAGAATCAACTTGGTTCTCGTGCCAGGCAGCAGGCTGCGGAAGCAGAAAGATCTGTCACTGATGTAAATTTTGCCATACAGAGGCAGCACTCGAATGATGCAGCCAAAATAGGTGGCTTGCAGCTTCTCGGACTCTGGCAGAGCAAAGTGAGCCCGAAAGCGCTCCATGGAGGTCTGGACCTTGCCCTCAGAATCCTCTTCTAGCTCGTCCTCGTCTGGTCTAAGTCCGGCGGGTTCTCCATAGTGCTTGCGACCGCCCTTCCACATTCCTGAGACCTTCTCAACGTACCCCATAGACTCCGTAGCAAGAAGGGAGCTCATTCGTTTACTTGTTTTGTTCAAGTAGTCGGCAAACGCACCCGCACGCTGAAGAGGGTATGATCCCATCTTAGTGATACTCTGGAGTGTGGGAGTAGTTGACCGAGCCTGGTCGGCTTGACCATGACATCCGACCTGGTTGATAGAGCCTGTAGTCGCCGCATGTTTCATAGACACCGAGGCATCAGGAAAGATTTCCGAGTTTTTGGACAACTCCTCCTCTCTAGCGTCTGTTGACTGACTTGAGCCATCTGAGCGGCGCATGGTTGGGCTGTGGAACACTTCGCTACCTTTCAGAATCTGACTTGCCGAGGGGTCCTCAGTGGCTACCGAAACAACCAAGTTGGAGTAACTAGGATCATCTGTAGATGAATGCAAATTTGAGTCGGATGAATCCATTATATGCCTGCCCCTCCTTTCATCAAACTGACGAGTGCTTTGCGTCTTTCGATGACCGCTGAAGCTCCTTCTGGTGCTCTGCTCACTCATCATACTGGACACTTCATGACTCCGTCGTCCTTTGTATCGAATCGCGTCTAAACTAGTTCGGGAAGAGAACTCTACACTGGCTCGCGGACTAGGATTTGCCGAGTGAGGGGACATGGGAGAGAGCGTAGCTTTGACGGCTTCGGGTAACTTGGTCGTTCGGATCTTATCGACATGCATAGCCTGATGGGGGTTCAATTCCGCCGGATGAGTTGAGTTCTGTAGAGAGGGCTGGCTATTTGAGTTCTTCTCGGGTTGCTCGTGACTTTGCAACTCTTGCTCAGCAATGAGCTTCCCTGGGGTTCGTTTGGTGGAGGAGGCATCTTCAACTAGGATTTTAAGAACGTTGATGGCTTCCTTTCCAAGGTTGAAGAATGAAAAGAAGTACTAAAAGGGTTAGTGAATCATGTCTTTGTGGGTTGTAACTAATGATGTACCGACCTCATCAATAGCATAGGTTTCATCGTTATCAACGACTCGGATTTTGCACGTGTCGGAAAAGTCCATCATCTGAGTCTCTTCAATATCAATAACATTGTCAATAGGCAATGAGATTTTGACGCTGTCGCCTTCATTGTGGCTCCGAAAAATTACCCGTTGGAGGCTCTTGACCCATTCTTTGGCACTCGGGGCACTGTCGGCCTTGAAATTGTAAGTTCGATGACTAGTGATGACGTTAAACTGCAGGTTGTCCTTGTCTTTATCCACAATGTTGGCAGAAATGCCAAATCTCAAGTCAATTTGACCATGGGGGAAGTAGAGATTGGTCGAATCACGATAGTATGATAGGACATCTCCTTTTAAGCGGAACCAATATCGATGATACTTGGGATTGCGCTTGCCACTCTTTGACAAATAACCCGACTTGGCCACAACATTCTACAACTATTTAGTATTGATCTCGATAGTTTGACTGTTATAGGGGCGCTTACAGCTTTCTTGGGAAGATAGGCATAAAAGCAAATATGCTTGGACGTGATATAGAGAAAGCCCTGGAGGAGCACGCTTTGTAATAACCAACATGGATACTCTGGAGTCTATAATTAGCCGAAAACTAACAAATAAATAATCAAGTGGGAAATGAATTTCCACAATCATTACGGGGATACGAGACACCTACCCTCTATGACTTGTTCTGGCTCGTCAAACTCGAAGATCTCCATTAATCGCTTGGCCAATGCAGAAGATTCGTCACTGTCACCGCTCGCAGCAAGATCGCTAGATCGCCTCTCCATATCGAAACTGGGCCTGCTAGCTATCTCGGCTCTAGCCTGAAGCATTCGGCTCATAACTGGTGGAAGCCTGTCATCTTCATTGTCCTGCGCCATTGCAGATGTGGCGAGGTCGGCGGATTCTCGTGCTTCGTCCGACGAACCCATCAGCGGCGCGGACAGTCGACTCGCTTCTCTTTTTTTGCTTTTCCGTTTCGGTAGTGTGGAAAGTGATTTTAATAGTCTGTGGCCGGAGGAAAGCTTCTTCTTGTGACCCCGTCTGGCGTCCTTATCTCGCGGCGAAAGTATGATGGTCTGAGAAAGATCTTGGCTGCCATTAGAACTCTTTGATTGCTCACTGTCTTCCTCGTCGCTGCTTCCGTCGTCAAAGCGGGTGTTGAAGTCTACCCGTGAGCCTGCTGCTGCTATAAGACCGAATATACTCTGATTCATGTTGACGGACATGGCTCGACCGCGTTGCGAGGCCGGATCGTTAGGCGAGTCCTCATCGTCGCTGTCGCTGTGTTTCAGAAGGTCCGGAAGATCGGGGAGAGTAGCCGAGGGATCATCGTGTCCCTTTTTGAAAGGGTTCCGACTGATACGTCTCTGTCCACCACTATCATCAGCGCCAGCAGATTGGCGAGAACCGCCGTCGCCGCCGCCTTCAGGCGACAAGGACGGGAAGTTGTCCATAAGTTCGATGTTGCAGGGCAAGGCGGGGGACTCGGTTCGAAGCGTCGAGATTGGCCGAGGCAAAAGAATCAGAGTGATTTTGAGAGGCAGCTTACGGCGGTAGCTCAGAGGTAATATCGACGGCGTGGCTGATGCTGCACCGCAAGATTCCGGAATGGCGGAGCGGAACGAGGTCGCCAAAGGCCAGGCAAAGGTATCAGCAAAGAGAGCAAGTGGTCCACGGAGCGAGCAAGACGCCAAGGCCTATTGACGCAGAGGCAAGGCAGCTTCCCGCAAAAGCCAGGGCGGGATGGATGGGCGCAAGCAAATATGAAGCGTCGAGATGGGATCTTTGGAGGTTGACACCTTTGAAGGGACCTCTGTATTGCAAGGGGTAAACGTCAACTGGCTATGCCACCGGGCAGGCAGGTATGCACCGAGCACCAATCCACCAATGCAACCCGACCCTTGGCCGCTGGATAAGTGGACAGGCAGGGGACAGGCAGAGAACAGCTCGACGGGTGGATTCACGGGCTGGGGGAAGGAAGGAAGGAGCCGGGGGTAGGCAAGGGCACAAGGCCAACTGGTGGGTGGATGCATGCCTTGTGTTGCTTATTAATAAAGTCAATTGTGAACATTTGAAGGTCCCAGCTTCTGGCGCTTTGTAGTATGTACATTGTACTGTGACTGTACTATTACTCCGTAGTGCACTATAATTGAACATTGAATTTTCGGGCGCAGCATACTACTTAAGTACTAGTCGTCTGGTGTTGGTCTAGTACTCGACTTGTGCGGTGCAGATGTGCCCGCGACTTCACGCTTTGTTTTGTGTGCTCACTTCCATAGCATTCTTTTTTTCTTTTTTCTTTTCATCATCTTCTTCTTCCTACGGAGTACTGGGGCACCGAATCCGATTCCTGCCGCCGCAATTCGCGGCCGTGCCCAGCCATCATGTTACGACGCAAACACTGGACCTGAGACAACTGAGAAAAACAAATCGGCCATCGATGGGTTCGGCAGATGGGCCAACATCAGGGTTTAGCGCTTGGCGGTGCCGCTCAAGTGCTGGCGATGTGGAACCGACTAGGGTTTCTTACGGTGTTGAATGGCTGACGACTCTACATGTGGCTTCGTCATCACCACTCACCATTGCAGTCGAGGCGACTCAAGGCATCGAACTGACCATTGGTCTTTGTTCCTTGTTGGCCGGCTTCACATCAACAAGATGATCTGGTGGTGGGTGCTGCTGGTGACCACGACCACAAGCAGCCCGACCATTTTGAATGAGGAGCTTTGGCAAGCCACATCGCCCACAACCACGCCAGTCACCCCGTGTTGATTCATCGACGTAAGTAGTCGGTAACACGTGTCGAGATGGGACCGCGCTGAAATCTTTATCATTATTTAGCATTTGCCTTGCCTTGAACGCAAACGAATCCGCACTTGGGCCCAATTACTGCTGTCGTGGGCATCGAGGTTTGCTTCTTAGAACTGGCCTAAGAGGTACCTGGTCCAAGATTGACTGACATGAAAGCGCCGAATGCACCCACCGGAAGACCATCGCATCGTGATTTTTCGCCCAAGATGCCTACGCAGCTCTCGGTTGGTCCCGTGCTGTTCATCTTCTCAGCAAACGACATGGTCACCTGCCAAAGTAGCTCCACCACAATAGCCAACGAGGCAACTTGGCATGACCCTGAGCCACGCGCCGTAAGGCCGATGCAATTTCAACCCGCATGACCATGTACGGAAAGTATACACCTGGTCGGGCATATATGCATAGCAACTAAAGGCAAAGGGTTGCGTGTCATTGAGGCTGCCCATTCGCATCGCCCAAGTATGTGTATTACCGTACAGCCTTTCTATTATACCAGCATCAGCGAGTAGATGATGCCATCCCACCCAGTAATATGTTGCGCCTGGCAAGTCAAGTCTGACCCGAGCTCTCGTGCACCGTGAGTGAACACCCCATGCAGTCGACCACATCAACGAACACCTTGTGACAACATGTCTGGCTCCGGTGACATGTGCGATTATTACGGCCGTTGAACAGATATAGAACCCGACAATCCTTCATTCTTTCTTGTCCACCTTCGACCGCGGTGGGCATGAGCCACATTCAACCGGCAACTCACAATCATTGGTCCACATCACGCGACAAGTCGTTGCTCTTCAGCCTACGGCTTGCAATAAAGTATTCGTGTTCAGGTGGATAGGTTGTCTTCTTTGCGAATTGTCTTCGCAACCCTCTACCCGGAACTGAGCAATAACAATAATCTCTTCTCTAAGATACCATCTCCAAGCAATCTGACATCAGATGTAAGCCGAAAGTATACCGAACCACCAGGATTCACAACGGTCATGTTATTTAGGGCATACTAAGACTGACATTCGTTTCAGCTCGTAGTGTCGATCTCTACGATACAGCCAATTGGTGCTCGGTTGCCAAAACCCGGGAAACACCAACGCTGATCAACAAGACGTGGCGACAAAGAACTTGAATAACGCGTCTCCTAGTTGTGTTCCAGTATCATAACTCTCGACCTGTGACTTGTATCCGTCTTATATGCTACGTGGTTGAATCTATTACAATGGACTCCAAGCTTACTATTACTTCCCTTCGCCGGTCTTCAGAACGATGGGTCATTCCATTCAGTCTTCGTATCGCCGTTATCGTGTGCGGCGCACTGGTTCTCGCATTGACCGGTCAACCCGCGTCAACCAAAAATGTCATCCCCATTCTCTTCTTGGGCCCCCCAGTACGTCTCTCTATCACAAATACCCGACCGAAAGCGAAATATAAACTAACCACTTCAGGCCGGTCTTTCGATACTCTGGTCCGCGGCAGATGCAGCTTGCTATTTTATTCACCCGTTGCACCATGGCATAACCCCTGGCGCACGAGTAGGCATGGATTTGATCATCTCGCTTGCCTATATATCTCTTGAGATAGTCAACGGAATCCTTATAACAGGTTGGACGGACGAGGAGTATCCCTCAAATACAAAGGATTCGGATCGAATTCATGCTATGGTCGAGGCAGCGCTGGCGTTTGGAGGAATAGCTACGTAAGTCATATCTTATGGCGGGGGTAATTTGTGTTGCTGATTTGGATAGAATCATCCATATTGGTCTTTTCGTCGTGGCGTGTGTGGAAACGCACCGTGAGAACACAGAAGTGAAAATGCTTAGGGCGAACGCTCTGGCCCTTGGTAATATGTGATGCTGAGCGCTTTCATATGGTTTGACAAGATTGGGGGGTATCGAGAATCTGTCTTTGATGAACTACTTGGGAATACCTGTAGTAGATGTATTCACACAGGCTGAGAGGTTGATGCGAGCTAGCTGTGGATCATCGCGGCACTCACAATGTCGTGATATTTGTCGCCCGTCATGTTTCGCCTCGTGCATTAAGCATAACGAGTGCCCAGTCTAACACGGCGGATGACCAAACTCATCACAGCCACTCAATAACCTAAGTGGATGGAACATTTGAATCTAAACAGTCTCCCGGAGTGGGCACATCATTGCTGGCGGCATGAAGCGCTGCCGAGCAGTGATTTGCGGCCCAGGCCTCTTCAAAGTTACCCAATGCCTTGTCGCAAGCTAGAGGAAGCTATCCGGAGCTAATTCAGCCTCCTGGTGGCGAAGAACGGGGTTGGCAGTGGCCAGGACAGGCAGCACGGAGAGGATAGTAGAGTAATTCATGATTAAGTTTGCTCCGTCATGGTAGGCTAATAAAGGGGAGTTGATTGAGATGAAGAGAGTGCAGCATTAAAGTAGGTGTTGAATGTATATCTGGAGAAGATGGTTTTAGACGATATGCAAGCCACAACAACACATAAATGCCGTTGGACCGCAGCTGATCTTTGCCGGTCGCCGTGCGCATGTCGCATGTCAGGTCTGGGCATATCCACGGGACTACTCCCTCCGTTGAGACGAGTCAGGGAATTATCATTAATCATTGGGAAACGAAGCCAGTTGTCTCTGAGCGCGCCCCACGAAGGGCCGCTCACGACATTCAAGCACCTTTATTATATAGCTTATGTAGTAGTAGCGCATTCACTTGGCACATTGAACTTTCCAAGGGCCTATTTCCCGTCTAGAAAAGCTCCCGTAGAATCAGATAGCTCACTGGATGGTGGGTTTTATAATTTTACGTGTTATGCAGTGTTTTCAGCCGGCTGACGGTCAGTCGCGGTTTATAGGATCAGGGCCTTGATGTCACTGCTGTCTATTTCAAAAAAGTGGGATATGACACGAGCAGGTGGGCTCCGAGCGTAGCTTCATTTGACTTTTACCAATGATGAAGACTAGACATATTAAGTTCATGCGAATGCTTCTCCTGACGCAGCAAGTCATGCCAGTTTGCGCCACAGCCACCCAGCCCAAGCTGGAAAGATATCTTAACAAATACCGTTGATATTATCCCCCTATACTACCGTGGGAATAGTCAAGCTAAGAGAACCTATTACAACGGATTCGATCGCGAGGAAATGGAGAGACGGACATGACACTTACAGGTAAGCGCTTGATCACTACTGATTGGCTGATTTTCTTCTACTAATAGGCGTTTGGATGCTATCTAGGCCATCTCCTGGTTTATCAGTTAGCCACGTAAATTGTTCTATTTTGCCAAAGTTGCCGCGGCAACTATACAGACGCGTGGGGCGATTAGAATACCCGCAGAAGAAGAAGTAAGGAGTTGATAGGAATTAAGAAAAATAAGAAAGCTGCAGTTTCTATCAGCGCATTAACTAGAACTATTTATTCGTAGTTACTAGGTGGTAATTATATTCCTCTTTCTATGAGGGGCGGATATTGTTACTACATAGGTAGCTGACAGTACAACATGATGTAGGCAACGGACCTATCAAGTATCGTGCGACCAGATGCCACCCGCTATCGCTTGCAAGAGCACCTCAGCTGTGAGAGGAGACCCATTAGCATAATCGACTGTTTAGAGTGTGGGGTATTTTGGAGCTTCAACCATGTTGGTTGAGACTCAGCTAAGCTGTTTGTGCGCTCTATGTGAGGCAGAAAATTTCAAAATCCATGTATATACTCGGCGCTGTTCCGGTGGGAGCCGACGGCTCTCCCTCGTCCTTAAATCCGGCACAATCTCCGACTAGTCAATCGCTTAGCTCAAAAATCCTTGCCGTGTTCGCTATAAGCCGAAGGTAGCTCATAGACTTGACTCTACGGTACATAATGCAGTTTTTTGGGCAAACATGCAGTAGAGTGGAAACCCATTGGTTAGGGTCTGCAAGGATCTGGGGATTATCTGCTCGGCATATCCGTCTCGTATTCCAAATCAACTAAATTGTGGCTCAGGGACATTCGCGGTTCAGACTCAAGGGCTTGACTCTACGTTCAAATCAAGGCAATAAATGTCGTGGTAATAATCGAGTATATAGCACGAATCATCGCGCAAGTGATGCCGCCATTGCAATCTATATTGCCTAGGCTTTCGCACAAACACGCGCTGTCAGACTTGGCGCCCATTGCCAAGCGCCACTGGTGCCTTATTTCAGCATTATTTTCTCCTACCATTCTTCCATGATGAGGGCAAATCTCCGGGCCTTCATAATCACCCTGGCACTGCTTCTTGGGCTTTGTCAGAGCCAGCTTGACCCAAGGCGCAGTATCGAGAGAGCGCTGGACCGCCGCCAAGCCGGCGATTTTGATGCCGAATTCCCAGAATACGTCTACCGCGGCGAGACGGGGAGGAGCCCAGCAGACGTCGAGGAGGACGGGGGTTTTTATTCGCGAGGCTTGCAGAAGCAACGAGCGAGCATTTCACTCTCTGCCGTCGAGTTACAACAAGGCAGCAGCCTATTTCATCATGCGGCAGGGGAAACGGCCGAATTTACACGTTACGTCTCGACAAGTGCTGATCCCGGCGTGGGACTCACGTTCGCTATCAACGATGACGTGCCCGAGCAGAAGGGTTACATCTACAGGATTCACACTGATAAACGAATGGTGGACGTAAACAGGTCTCTTGGGAAATACTCACCTTATCCCGCGCAAAAGGAGCATGCGGCTATTGGCTTCATCTCATATGAGCAGATTGAAGGCTGGTGGGAAGTCACCTACAACAACGACTTTTCCGACCCAAAAGTCGGCAAGGAAAGTCAAGAGAGGCTACGACAGGGCAAGTTTAAGGGGTTCAAGAAGAACCCCAAGTTCAACAAGAGTACTTTCCAAAAGCTACGAGGCGCCGGCGCGGCACCACAGCTTGCTGGGTTCCCTCGCCTCTCCCCTGCATGGCAGGATGACACGTGGAGGGTATTCAAGACACAGGCAGTAGAGAAGAATCTAGACGAATTGATAAGCTCCATATGCGCCGACAAGTCGGCCAAGAGAGACGTGAATTGCATGGCGCGGCTCGGCCATCAGGAAAGCACCGGTCCTGCCAGGCCAAAAAACCCCAAGAAACCTTCAATCCCTCCCGGCTCCGACGGCAAGAGGCCAAAGTCCAAGGTGAACGACAAGCGTCCGATTTACAAGTCGAGCAGAATCCGGGTGACTAAGGCTGTGGGCAAGGCCGCTGCTTTTTCTCTTATACTGCCGTACGCAAGAGACTTGCTCGAGGCGATCAAGCAGTGGGATAACCCTATCGGGGCGGCTGTTCGCTGGTTTGACGACACAATAGCTTCTGTCCAGGAGGCCATCGGGGGATCCTCACGCGATGACATCTACGGAAACGATCTCAAAGCCAAGATTATATGCGCATTAAAAGGAGGGCTAGAGAGCGAGACGATCGAAGGGCGGAAGAGCCATTTCTGCACCCCTACAGTGGATGAATTCACGGAGAGTCTTGAGAGGGACTTTAAAGAGGGCAAGATTGACGAGCTTATTAGGATTTGTAAAGGCGTCGACGTATATACCGGTGGTGATCCGCACGTTTGGCGGTGGTCTCAGAGGCGCTGCGAGGCACTTCATCGCACTAATGAATACGCAGAGCGAATGTGGGAGATGGGGCTTACTGAGCTCTTGGATTCTTGTGCTAAACTTGAGACTGACCCCCCCGAGAATGAGGATCTTCGAATCAAGTTGGAGGATCACTGTATCGCGTTCCAAGCAGGAGTAGAAAAGGCGGAAAGGGCTGCAAGGATCCCCGTCGTGGGGATCCCAAAAATTACAGCAGGAAGATGCAAGGTAGGTCGCCTGGGTTCTACATGCGTGTTTGAAACTAACTGCAAGTATAGTGTGACGCCTACCATTTACAACCATTTAGCGATCACTGCGGGAGGATATGTCGAGCGTCGTATGTCTTGGGCGGTTGGGGCGCTCTGTAAAGAATCCTTTGTAAATACCTATCCGACAGGGTACGGTAGTAGCGCCTGGAGGAGTCGTGTCGCGAATACAAAATGCTAATGTCACGCCTTGCGCTTTCAAGCCGTGGTGAACGGGATGGAATTAGACAAACAGCGGAGAGCCCACGGCGAAATGATTACGTTATTGAAGTTGAAGAGCTCACTTCAGAAGATTCACTCTTATCCAGACCGGAGATGCACAGAAAATTACGGAGCCGTGTTCTATCGTGTAGGGATTCCGTTCAAGAATCAGTCGTCTCCCATGCTGCTGATGCCGTATCTTCATATTCACATTACCCCAACGCCTTCTTCAAGTCATCATATGTCGGGCCCAACTCCCTCAATATCTTGACGGCACCCTCCGTATTCCCCACGACCAAGAGATACTGCAGTCCCCCAACTAATCTGGCCTGTCTCGCCATGATGCTCGCGGCATCCGTGTATCCAATCCTCCCCAGGCACGTAGCCCCGTCGGCAAGACGCCGCGCGCCCACCCGCACGGCAAAGTAAACAAGCGAATTCTTCACGCCCGGGTGGAAGTTCGTCTGGATAATCTCGGCCAGGCGGTCCGCCGCCGATGCGCTGCCGCACGACCCCGGCGGAATGCTGCTTGCCTCGAAGGCCTCCATGCCGAGCCACCGGCGGGCATTCGGGAAGGACCGCCGGATGACCTGCTCCTCGGTAAACTCCTCCACGCGCCTGAAGTCACTGCGCATCATGTACGACGTCCCGTAGTCGAGGGAGTCTGTCTTCCAGGACTGCAGGAGCTCGGACACGGGGATGGACGCATACGGGAAGCCGTGGGGATTCGTGCAAGTCCAGCCTGTCGCCGTCGATGCCCAAGACGACGACGTAGTGATCTGCCCCGATGGGGCCCTTGTTCCCGGGCTGATATCGGAGGTAGCCCATCTCGACGGGTCCCACGAAGACGGGGCCCTGCCGGAGCTCCCGCTTTAAACAAGCGAGCGCATCGTCTGCATCTTTGCCAATGGTGAGCTTGGAAGTCCACCCCGCGGCGCTGAGCATGTCGTCGAACGAGTGCATCGGATCCCAGCCAAAGGGGTCAAAGAAAGACGAGGTCTTTGCTGATGACCTCCATGCCAAAGGGGCTGCACGTGGCGAATTCAAGGAGGCAGTGGACGGGGCTTCGGGGCCCATGGGCCATGATCATGGCGAACGAGTTGGCGTAGCAGTAGGAGCTGGAGCAGACGTAGGAGTGGTGTGTCATTCTAACGGGCTGAGACTACAGCTAAATGGTATGGAATTGCTGCTTGTTGAGAACAAGGGAGACGTTTTTGTTGTTGCGATTCGGGGGGATTGGGGGTGTACAAACAGCCGCTTTGATGGTTACTCCCCCGAAATCTAGAAGATATGCGGGGAGTTGACACCTCCTCAGCTGATCGTAATAGAGCCAATAGCCATCTCACTCCATAAAGGAAGCAGTCTATGCGCGTTGCTTCGGCTGGGACGAATGGGATCGGGCATTCGGGCCATGAACCTTTCAGAGGCCGTCTCCGCCGCCCGGATGAAGCCGGTCAAACCGACGGTTTTGCCGGAGCAGGCCCCGAGATGGCCACCGAGTCCACACCGACTCTTGCCGGCTGTTGGGACGGAGAAAGTACTCTCACCGGAGGGATGCGACATTGATGCCACTTTGTCGCCAATTCATCAAACTTATTTGCCCTCATCCTGCTCGCCATCCGAAACGGCTCGTCGGTGAATCACACTCCCTGTGGGGGCGCACAATAATCCCCCTCCGTCTGAGCCACCTCCATCTCCCTGCGACTCCTCTCACCTCGCTCGAATCTACAAAACCGCCAGACAGGCCCAAAGGCTCATTGCCTCGCCATATAACCACGCATCACAGCTCAGCACCATAAACCGCCTCATCCATCAGACCCAACCCATCGCAACCATGCCCCTCTTCCCCGCCTCCCTCATCTCACAAGACGTCGCCGCCTCCCTCCCAGAAGGCTTCACCATCCGGCCCCTCGAAAAGGAAGACTACGCAAAGGGCTTCCTCACGTGCCTCGAGCACCTCACATGGACGGGGAACCAGACGGAGCACGAGTTCAACGAGCGCTACGATGAGATGGACACGCAGGGCAAGGGACCCTACTACTATGTCGTCATCGAGCACGCAGGGCGCATCGTCGGCACGGGAGCCGTCGTCGTGGAAAAGAAGTTGTATGTTCAAGCATCCCCGGCATGTCCCGCACGCCCCCTAACACGAGCAGCATCTGGAACCGCGCGAGCGTAGGCCACGTCGAAGAAATCTGCATCGCCAAGCCCTACCAAGCCAAGGGTCTCGGCCTCAAGATGATTAATGCCCTCGACTCGGTTGCCAGGAATGTTGGATGCACCAAGAGCCTTCTCAACTGCGATCCTGCAAAGAGCGGCTTCTACCTCAAGTGCGGGTATGCTTCTGCCGGGATGGAGATGCAGCATCACTTCAAAAGTGACAAGGAGACGCAGTGATGCGAAACTTGTGCTTTTGTTTCGCTTGAGCTCGAGGACAAGACACGCCCGCCACGTAGTCATATAATCACTCTTCAAAGCATCTCCAGTACTGGCTCTTATCCTCTTCTCAGCCGTTATGAACATTTTCAGTGCGTCTTTTGTGTTGTGAATCGCAAGCCACCAGTCATCCTTCAACTACGCCGCCGTCTGCATACGAGCGCCGTGTTGGAACCATGGTTCATCGTTCAAGCGCCCCTTGCTTTCATTTTCGGCTGCCAGCACACTGAGTTCCAGCGAAAATACTCAAACTGGGTCTTGGGGATTAGGCAACTCGGCAAAGAAGCCCATCCAAGATAGCCTGCGTCTCGAACAACACTCCCATAGTTTTCCCCATGCAGCCCCCCAACAGCATGCACGACTTATAAGTCCTGGGGTACTGAGCTCCGAGCCAGACCAACTGTGTGTGCCGCCCTGTGCAGGTCATCGCAAATGTGGCTTGTCTATTCGTCAGATGTTGTACATCGTTTCGCGGGTGTAGCGGACAGTGATAGTGCTGGAGTCTGTTCACGCCTTTGTGACTTACACCGAATAGTCTCTCTTACCGTTGGAAAAACTATCCATGTCAGTGCCGTCAATGGTTCACTCAGAGTAAATAGGACCATCAGCGGTCGGGGGCGATTCCAGGTCATCTGCCGTTATATCACCTTCTCTACACACCAAATTCGCCCCGGCTCACGATCAGCACAACCTGCACTTTTGAATGGATATAATTGAAAGTCTTAATATTACAAATCTACCGTCCCAAGTAGTATTTACGCCTTAAGCTCCCTACGGTTCTTGATCTTTGCGCTACCCTAAATTGCCGTTCTGTAGATAGAGACCTGCTGAAATAGCCAGCCCTTTCACGATCCATCATGGCACCAATCCTCGTCCCTGCGAATCAGCCCGAAGACTGGGTAGCTTCCACGACGTGCTGCTTTGCCACAGCCGGTATTGGCTACAGACAGCTTCAGGACGGGACTGTGCTCACAGATGCGGTGTCTTCTAAGCCGGAGAAATGGCTTGGCGCAGAGCATCTGGCCAAATATGGCGCTGATACCAAACTCCTGGTGAAGTTGCTGGATGCCGGCCACAGACCGCCTGTCCAAGCTCACCCACATGTGGATTTGTTCAGGCAGCGCCGTGGACGAAATCATGGCAAAGCGGAAGCCTGGTACCCTCTGACGCCCGGCTCGGTGTGGCTTGGATTAAAGGAATCGATTAGCCACGAGGAGCCTCTGCATGTTGTTGAGACAGGGCGGGGGAGGGACCTGCTGGATCGCATGCACAAGTTCGACGTCCTGCCGCATCAGGCGCTGTACGTTCCGCCGGGCACATTGCACGCCATTGGTGAAGGCATCATGGTTGTTTAGATCCTAGGGGCCAGAGGATCTTTCTGTCCTGGGCGAATGGGACGGGTTTGCTATTGATGGCAAAAAGGACGGCCATCTCGGGCTTGGGCTTCCAACTGCTCTTACAGCCGTGGATTGCGAGGCGCGAACCAGAGTTCCTGTAGAGAAATGGATAACGCCCCGAGTCGTCGCAAAGAGCGTTTTGGCTCCAGAGTCCACCGAGTACTTTGGACTCGAGAGAATCCATGTGAAAGGGTCAGAGGGCATCGAGCGCGAATTCGCCATTCTAGTCGTCCTCGACGGCAAGTTGTTGTTGCAAACTTCGCACTCTGATTCATTGCCATTATCCAAAAGGTTCACAGTGGGCTTCGTCATGAAGACGGCGAGCTAAGTCTACAACGGGAGGCTGATGTGCTGATTGCTCGACCGCCTCAGTGAACTTCTTAGTGTAGCCCTTCTGAACCGCGCTTGCACCATGGTGGCGCAATTTTTTGGGGCAAAACACACAGTGGTTCCTTTGCTCAAGACATTTCTTGACGCTGTTGTCCAACGGTTCTTGTGATGGGAATATACCTTGACGAGGGGGATGCGACAACGGCTTCCAAATCGGCAAACTCCCTGCCAAGATGTCTTGCTGGCGTATCAGTTTCGGGCGCACCATCTGCAAGATGAGCAAATGGGTGCTCATCATGATCGAGTTCGTCATGGCTCTGTGACTGCATTGGGGTGGTTGAAGCGCCGTGACTTTTATTGAAGCCCCAAGTCGGGAAGACGTTCGTCTGGTTAAAGCTGCGGCTAGAGTTTTCGCATTGTTGAATACCGTTCAATGGAACCGAGGCCAAAATGAATGGATTAACAGACGAGATTTTATTGATAACGGGCCTAAGAAAAGGCAGACAGGCTGAAATTGTTAGCACTCAACTGGCCTCTCGAGACCAGTGTGTGACTTACCGCATACAATGGCGGTGTTGCCTTCAACAAAGGACCAGATACCTACTGTGACAAAGTTCCACGTGATATCAGGGTCTTCCAGATCCAGCGATAAGAGATAGTAAAATCGTACGATCGAAACAATTGTGACGCTGCCGAACCGGATTAGACATGCCAGCAATGGCCCATCACTGGGTTGGACTCACAATCCTCCAGCCAGAAAGACACAACCCAGAGCAATTTTCTGGATGCGCGGCAACTGAAGCCCCCATACATAAGGCACCGGGAGCATCACCATCACCAAGTCGGTCACAATGGTTGGAATCGCGTTTGCATAAAGGAACTTGGCGGGATCCACGTCGCAAGTGTAGTTGTTGGCGCTCATGGAACTGGCGGGATTGAAACGTTCCCAAATTGAGTGAGTAGGAAGGCACTGTAGAAATGTAACGAGAAGCTGTAACACGATGTCAATTATAAACTCATTTTCACAGCTTTGCAGATCAATCCACACATACTACTGTCGCACCCCAAATACACACTATGGATGCGAGAATGAGAATCGGCCATTGGATCGAGCTGCAGACAGAAAATGATCGCCAGAAAAATGACAGGATGGATAGTTCGACAAATACTAATGTGAGGGCGTAGCAGATTTCGGCGATAAACAACCCGAGCGCCCAGGCGTACAGGCAATCAGACTTTGCCGCCCAGAGGTGTCTTCCGAGTCCATGACTGACAGCTATCCTTTCATTAGCGGCGCTGTCTCGCAATGATTTACACTTCATATATTTATATATCTATAAACGACAGGATGAGACGTACCGTATACCGCCATGCCGAGAACATGACCCAATGATGGTGGCTGTGACAGTTAGAGGCGAAGCTGTTCTCATCATTTCCCAATCTCATGACCTGTGGGTGGGCGAGCGTACCAAAGCTGCAACAATAAACCAGTCATCGAGCCATAATCGAAGTCCCCTCAGACGTCGTCCTACAATTCGACACGCCACCATAGTGAATGCCAGAATCCACGTCGTTACTGAAATCGCCACAATCAAAGGTCGTTTATCTTGGGAGAGATCAATTCCCAAGGGCGGCGGAGGCAGTCCAGCAGAAGCCATGTCCCTCATGGTCTGGTCGTTCAGTCGAAGATCGTTGCATTGATGAACAGAAATAGGAGACTTCTATTAAGGACGGTGAGGGCATCGGGCTTTTTAGGGCGTTCAAAAGACTGAGCCTGTAGTTAAAAACGGCTGGGAGAGCGAAGGGGTTTCGAAGTGGTGACAGAAACCGAGAGTCAAGATTTCCAATCCCGCCTCATCGCTCGATCATGTTGAGACAAATGGTCGAAACTGCCGTTAAACATGATCTGGCTCTGTGTCTCAATTAGGGAGGACACATCAAGAAGTCACCCGTGCGTTTGTGCGTCGTTTCGTTCCTCCATCAAACTGGAACAGGGAATTTTGTCTCCCCAAAGTGACCTCACTGATCGCAGGCTGAGGCGCTCCATGTTAAATGGCACAAAGCCAATCAAATTCTAACCAAACTGCCCATCGCGTCGTTGAAAGTTTGTGCGGGTCCAAAACTATAAAAAGCATGCGTGTGTCAAAAGAAAGTACACGGCTGGAGTGCTAGAGTCATGACTTGCCGTTGCGAAATGTCGCAAAGCGGGAGACAAGACACGGAAAATTTCTGGCTTGTGGAGAGTAGTCTGGTTTGTTACTCCGTAGTTTGTAAAACCATTCCGGACACGTCTCTTCCGTCTATACTGCATTTTTTTTTACCCTTGCAATGACATGTCTCACCGCGGCTGAACTGCGATAGCATAACCAACCACGGCACTTGGCGACAATCCCACAGCGCGAGGTGGTAATCAAAATCTTCATGGTCGTCTTTCTAGATGTGCCGTCCACCCAGCCACATGTAAAAACGCCCTTATTGCGAGTCTCCAAGCAACCGCTTCGCTCTTCGGAGTGTCGGTGACCAGAGACATGGCGGCCGCAGATGACGCGATGTGTCTGTGGTCTGTAATAAATCTCCGATTGCGCTTGAAAAAAGGTGCGCTCCTCTGCACTCACCTGTATGCTGGGATGCCTCCGATGCGCTGCCACAGCGCCTCTGATCATCAAGAAACTCGAGGCGTCTCATGGTCCATTCGCGTTCACGCCCGGTGTAACTGAAGGTTATTGGGACACTTGCGATCAAGTCCACGGCCGCTTGAGGAACTCTGGGGAATGCAAAAAAAGAAAGTGTGAGACAGCGTGCCGGATAAAAGGGAGTGTGGCTGAGTCCATGGAGCTCTTCATATATCGTACTTTACGGAGTAGACGATATTGCAAATGCCCACAAGGGAAACAATCTGGGAATGTATTTTTCGTCTTCTCCAAGTTTAGGCTCGTTCTTTCCATCATGGACGACTTCTTCTGTCAAAAGCCTATATAATCAACGTGTTTGCATTTCCAAGCTAACATGGAAAAAATGACGACAAGAATCCTCGGAGGCCAGCTTTACGCTGCAGCCAGTTAGCAGAGAATTAACCGAGTGATGAATCATATCTTTGTGAAGTCGTGAAGAAGTTGATTTCATTTTCTACCTACACAATCTTACAAATTCGCAATCGAAATCCTCGGGTGTTTGCTCCAAGTACCTTGCTTGTTGCAGGACAACCTGGCGTTTCGGCAGGTCAAACCCTATCCAATTCCGATCAGTGAGAAAGTAATGTTTGCAGTCTACGTTTCGTTGAAACATTCAAGGCAAAGGAAAGGAAAACGCAATGCTGTGGGCGAATCATGCATCGTGAGCGGTTGAGGATGCGGCTCGTTCAAAAAATGCTAGATGCACTCTGCCAGGTGTCGGAGGCGACATGAATTGATTTGGGATGTCAGGCGGAATAATTATTGGCCCGCAACCAGGTAACAGTCATCTCCTCCGATTATTTGGCCGCCGCGTGGTCCAATTTCGAGTGTTCACCCAACTCATCTCACCTGTTTCGACTCTCCCAGTCGTAGTTACACTGCCATTACGACCTCTCTGGCATTGCTCCCCTGGATTCAGATTGGCGACCAATTCCTCCTGTTCCTCTCATCCCATCCGTATTGATGCGCCCTCCACGGCGTGTTTGTCTTGCGCACGGCTCATATCGCCAGCACTTGGTCTTTTCATATGCAAGGTTCTTGCATCTCGAAAGTCTGTCTCGCTAAAGCTGCTGTCAGCTCAGACTGTTGTCATAAGGAGAGCGTCCCTGGCGAAAAATCTGACCATTATTGTCCTGCGGACCCTGGAGAATCATTAGACGGCCGTCGTCAAGATTGGCTAAGGTATCTACGTCGACTGTCTGGCCCGCTTAGGATACTCGCAGGTTTTCTCTTCTATTACTCTTATAGATGTAGGTACCTACTAGCAGTGTACAGACAATGGCAAGACGAATCTGTTTGTATCGCACAGCAATGAACGGGGTAAGCAGATCCCAACCAAGACGCCGCAACGGGACATTTGTTCACGGGCCATTGGTCATCCTTCTCGCCATTCCGATGTGAGCCAGACTCTTCATGCTCCATCTCCCTTTGCGCGGTTCGCCATTGATTCTTTTGTTGACTCCATGCTAGACGTATATACGGTGATGATTACGTTCTCGGGACATTCAGACGCACTGAGATTCGGAGGCGCGTGAAGCCCAATATAGCCGTCCTAGACGTGTGTTTGATGGACGGTCCCTACCCCGTAACAGAAAACACAAACGAGAACCAGGATACAATCATGTTCATTATCAAAAGCATGCCTACCCGACATGTACTCTATTTACTGCCACAAGCACAACTTTCCGCTCCCATTGCCACCAGCTACCCAATCCAGAGTCGGATGAAAATGCGCCACCGCGGGCACGGCCGTGATCCCCTCGCCGTCAAGTTGCGCTAACTGGCTTCCATCCGAGGCGAACACGTCCACAAAGCGGTTCATATTCGCTATGACGAACTTTTGTATGCCGTCGTGCGGGCGTCGCTGCCACTGCGGCTTGAGTATCGTAACCCACCGGCCTGTCTGGTTGTTATGGTGAATCTTGTGTTTCGGCTGCATTGCTTTGGCGGATATGTCGTGTCCTGCCTTCCAGCTGCTTGCGTCGCTAAAGTCGTAAATCTTAATGGTGTCATCATAGGAAGAAGTAGCAATGTGTCCGGCTGCGCTCCACGATGCATGCGACACGGAAAGCCGCGACTCGTGTTCTCCCAGCAAAGCAGGGTGGCGGAGGTCTCCCTTGCCAGAGATTTTTCTGGTATCCCATATCTTCATGGTTCTGTCGAGCGACGCGGTCGCGATGAGATGTGGCTGCAGTGGGTGTAGTGAGAAGCCACCGATTTTTTGTTCCGATAGCGTCCAGATCTCTTCGCTCCCTGGGGCGCGAACGTCGTAGCGTCCCACACCACCGTCTAATGTTGAAAAGTAGAGCATGTTTGGCTCCGAGTGCGCCATGTCCAGTGCTGAGATGGGCATGTCAGTGTCGATGTCTGAAGGGGCGAAGACCTGGATAGATGTGCCCTTTTCGAGGTCCATTTTGCGGATGGATGAGTCGTAAGAAGACGAGTATACGGTGTTGCCGTCTGTGGGTGGAAATACAAACGATGTGATTGTTCGGGAGTGTGTTTTGAAAGCTGATATTTCCGGATCGGAGGTGGGATTTTCGTCGTCATCGACTTCGGGGGGTTTTTGGGAGCCGTCAAACACGCCCATGTTGCCTTCTTTGTCACCTGCAAAGACAATGGGTTTGTCCTCGGTCGGGTGGAATCCGAGTGCGTATACACGTTGAGGGGTTATTTTGATGTCTGTCCCGTTAGGTTGGAGGTGTGATAGGTTTAGAAGTGGCGATTATAACGCACCATTTGGAAGCCAATGTTCATATAGTTTGAGACCTCCCATTCGTAGTCGCAGACCCTTTAGACTTTTGTCCGTCGTCTCTTGAATATCGTCTTCGGTAAACGTCCTCACGCCAGGTTGCGCGCCACGCACAATGCCCTTCAGGCTGTCCAGACCCGCGCTCCATTTCTTGCCCTCGACCGCAATGTCGCCCAAGTTCAAGTCGCCCACAACACGCAACTTCTTGGCTTTGGCAACCTCAGCTTGATTCTCTGCCTCAACTTCTAGTTTGCGCTTCAGCGTCTCATTATCTGCCTCAAGACCGGCCAAGCGTGAACTCATGCGCGTGGGACGGCTTGGTTCGCGTTTTATTTGCTCTCCGCGGCTCTTGCGCTTTGGGGCTGCGGCCTTGGCGGGTTTCGGTTTGTCTGGAATAATCTTCTTCGCCGTGACGGAAATGTCCGTCAAGATGGCGCGGTTCGCGGCGATATTTTCCAGTCGTTTGCGCTCAAAGGCGCTCATGTCGCCTGGTTCCTTCTTGGCGGGCATTTTGGCGGTGAAAGAATTGAAGCAATGAGCAAAAAGCAATCGTGCATCCGTGTTGTTAATGCAAAATCTGACTTGGCCCGCCTGTCCCAATCAGGGAGCGATAAATTGTAGTTCAGCAATTGCTCAGCTTAGCATCTGGCATTTGTCTCTGTCGAGGCGCCATTCATTCAGTCGCCATTGATCCGGTCGCCAATCAACGCGCCTCGCCTTCGCGCGTCGGCTCAAAGTGTCGCTTTAATGGGCGGCGCGAAGTCACGCGCTGACTCGATGCTCGCATATCCGAGAATTAACCGCCAATCCACACTCGATTGTCCCTTTTCTGGATCCATGACAACTTTCATCATGAGCTTGCCATTCGTGATGAGATGGATTTCATCTTAATGACACCTATCAAACATGTCATCGACACTAATGCCGTTCTTATACCAAACAAAGACTCTGAAGAGAGCCATACGCGCACAACCCGTGACGCAGTTCCTCCGCCTTGCTCACGCACCTCCAAGGTACAAGTTCCGGAGACGAGACAACTCCATCCCTTTCGAATGGGACCATGACACACCCTATGAAGAAATGGCGAATGCTCCTGGCCAGCAATCGACGATAACCCCGTCGGAAGCGGAGATTTTCAAGGGCATTTTTGACGAAATTGCCCAAGGGAAAATGCCCGTGGCAAAGAAGCGGGCCCCTCCATCGGAAGGCACGCAAATCCAGAGCGAAAATTCTGAAGAGCCAAAACGCGGCATGGCACGGTCCATAGTCGAGCAAGCGCGTGTGATGGAGTTTCGGGAGAAATTTCTTGGGCGATATCCCCAGTCATTGAGAAACGCTGCCCAAGTTGCACTGGGATTGTATGAGTTGGAGCCAAGTGATTCTTTAGCAAGTCAGATGGTGGAGCTGGAAGAGGCAGATCAAGCAAAGTGGGCAGAGCGTGCAAGATACGAACGCGCGCGAGTTGAGGAGCGTGAGAGGGTTGATGGCTTGATGAAGGCTTGCACGACGGACGGTGAGCTGTGGGCCGTTATGGAGAAGGAAGTTTTCTCACTACCAGCGAAGCTGGGCATTGCGCAGCGTAAAGCAGTCAAAGCCAAAAGCAAAAAGGTCAAGGATACGAAGAAATCAGCTACAAACACTGACGGGGAGAACACAATGGAACCAACGAGAATCACAGACAGCAAGCAGACAGGGGAAGCAGCCAAGGAAACAGAGCGCAAGGCTAAAGGGGAAACAGCCGGAAACACAAAGCCCAAGGCTAGAGAAGAATCGACCAGGAACACAAAGCCCAAGCGCACCGGGAAATCTGCAGCTGCTGGAAAGCCTACAATGCAGCCCACTGCCGACGAAGAAAAGCGTGTAATGGACGTCCACGGCCCTCTATACCCGTACTTCATCAACACAGCCATGGGCCTCTTCGACAGTGCATTCGCTCGCCCATCCGACTACGCGTTTCAGATCCTGCCTCGTGTCAAAGAACTCGGTCTACCATCCTACGTGCTGGGCGTGTCTACACCATTCTACACCCGACTCGCCCGAATGCACTGGAATCGATTTGGCGATGCCAGCTCTGCGTTAGACGTACTCCAGGAGATGAATTCCGCAGGACTATATGCGGACAAAGATGTTCACGACCTGTTGATTACCATTCGTGACCACTTGCATGGATGTACATGGGGTGCGCAGGGGCCATTTGTCATGGGCATGATGGAGGCGCCACCGTATGATGGGATGTTGACACAGCGATTAGAGGAAATGGAGAGGTACGTGGTCCAGTCGATGAGTACAACGGGTGAGCAGGCCGAGTTTGCAGCCTAGAGACAGGGTGTACGATTGATGCATCGTGGTGTATGATACTGTATTATAGATGCTACTCCATATAGACTAATACTGAAAAATACCGTGGGAATTACTGCCCTATTTACCTAGGTAGTCATGGGATAGGATACCTTGCGCGGGTCGTATGCCTCTTGAATAGTCCCACGCGTTGGCTGCTGTAAATCCGCACATGACGGTCTTGCTCTGATAAAAAACTATTGCACTTCTGCAAGTAAGTATATTTCATTGGCCTAGATACTAATAGACACTATGCAAACTCTTCATGCAATAGTAATTAAATCCTCAGCTGTTAATATGTCTTGGTAAATTAATACATACTGGCAAGCTTGTTAGTAGAACTACAATTTACGCGTCTAATGTAAGAGACTGGGAATGGAAAGGTTGGCAACAATAAAAGACAAATAGCTTAGGAGTCCTGATGTCGAAGGCTCCAGCTTCTCAAGTCTCGCCAATATCTTCTTTCTTAAATAATAATATTGAATTATGAAGAAAAAAAAATGGGCTAGATGAAGGGCATCTAGTAACACTGTTTTTTGGCCGTACCTAGGCCAGGGAACCGTAACTAACCACGTAGGACATCATGAATGCATCGCGATGGGTCAGACACACTAGTCGAATTGGTGATTCATCATAATATGCTATTATAATGGTAAACGACGGCAGCTAGTACGGACACATGTACGCGGAAAATTAATATAAGTATACCGCGCTAATAACCTATCACACGACCCTTATTACTGACACCCCGCTGTCATACAAATTGGGGAAAGGGGAGTCTTATCGCTGCTGGTTCCCGCGTGGCAGATACCACTATGACTAGTAGAAAGCTTCTTTCTCCCCAGCACGTCCTACAGTGTTTGCCCAAGCCCCAATCGTCGATGAGATCTACTAAAGTCTGTAAATGTCCCAATGCGGCGAGCTAACAGACTTTGGGTCATATAAGAGCGAGGTATGTTGTAAAAATAACGAGAACGAGAGCTAAAACAGCGTGTTCAATCTAGAGTATCTCATGGAAAAGAGGAGGCTGTCCAAGTCCGAGGAAAAAAAGCATGCATGCCCTGACCAATAACCCAATATAGCCTTGCTTTAGCTTCGAATAAGATAATGTTCTCCAGGCTTGACCATCGGTTGGGGCCGCTTTTCTTTGAGCTGGTAAAGAGGCAAAGGTTGGTGTGAAACTCGAGGCGCTGTTCATAATATAATGCCCAGCGTAGGGAAACTAAATGAGTAAACATCATATTATTAATGCAAAGCGTAAGTGATGTCCAGCGTCAAGAATTCTTGGCTCACGTTCTTGATCTGTGTATAGGCCCCTGGCGAAAATGTCTTGAGCGGAGGGTCTAGTGCGTATGGGCTCGATGGTTGAGTTAGCTTGATTGAGAGGATATAAATGACAGATATCAACTTAGACAAGACTGCAACTGCTTCAAGTAAAATTGCTACGATGCATTGGGGTTTTGTACCCTTTGCCGCGCCGAAATCAGGCAGATTTGCGGCATCCAAATGATGACATGGCCGCCAGAGGCAATGACCATTGTTGTATGTTGATTTAGTTGATTCATGTTAGAGGAAATATGGCTTTGATATCGAAGAGCAAAATGAGAGGGAAGTTGGTGAGCGTATTGATGTTTGTCGGTGGGCAAACGAAAACCTCTGGGCGACGCAGACGACTTGCCAAGGGCGTCCCCAACATCGTGCAACAATGGTGAGGGAGAAAATTGGAGTTCATCCGTGTTACACTTTAAGGGGCACTAATTGTTACGATAATGTATATATACAAGTCTATATTTAGCTATAAAGGAGAAGATTATATACGCTCTTTTTATAAGTACGCTTATTATTATAATTATTTACTTATAAATTATTGCAACCTCTGAAGCCTTGTTCAAGTGACATGCAGACGCAGACGCCTTTCCGTACAAGCTGGTTGCCCAAGAAAACAAATGCACTCAAAAAATAAGTAAACCAATTCTTGCTTCCAGCTTAAAGACTTTCTGAGTAATATACGGCCACGAGGCGTGCGGTGTCTGTTTGGCGCTTCTTCACCCTAACTCGGGATGCATGTCTGCATGTAACACTAATAGACGGCCCGATAATGTAGCACAACAGTCTTGGCCCCCAATAACTATGCGTCATACGGCCATTCAGCTTTGCATAGTCACACTGACTGCTCATGGGGTAAGTAACCAACGATACAGCCAAATTGCATGCAGCCATAGCAGATTAAAGGAGACGGAATTCGGCTTGTCCGATTGAACCCCTTTGGTGCAAGGCAGTTATACTGTGAAACGGCGAAAATCCCCCGCTACTCTAGGGTAGCCCGTGTCACTAACGTTGCAGTTGGGACTTGCTCTAGCCTCTGATGCGATTGTCGATGTGAAAGTGCTCCGCTGCTTGTGTGGTGTATAAAGTGGTGAATTTCAGAGAGATGGAGAGCGGTTGCAAAAAAGAAAAAATTGCGGTTACCTGATCCAGGGACTTGGTGTTGAGAACAAAACTGAATGGGACGACTGACCAGATCGTCTTCTCCTGGGTTGATATGATCTCGCCCTGTCAACAGCTGCTTTGGAGTGTCTGACCAAGTAGAGTGGTAACGGATGCTACTTCCGACATTGTCCAGGACATAGCCCTGCCGCGTGAAATAGCAATTTCTAATGGCTTTGCCACCCACGACATCTCAGAGCGGGCGTCTGGCTGAAGGTTGGCAGATCGGAGAACACGATTGTGGCGGGATCTGCAACGCTACAAAGACGATGATGAGAATTGTCCTCAGTCAAAGCAAAGCGCGGATTGAAAGTACAATATATAAGACACGGACAAATAGAATTAGAATGGCTGCAAAAATGACAGAGGTATCGACCGCACAGCGTGCATAATAAAACAACCATCGACCCATTATCCCTGGAACCAAGCCGCATTCGTCCGTCCAATCCAGGTATCAATTTTGATTTGTTCATTGTTCGCCCCAAAGACTCATGCCTTTCTCTCGTAAGTGAGCTTGCTTTCAACCAGTCTTGAGGGGATACTGCATCCTGTTGTTGGGCTGGTACTGCTGCTGGACGCCAGAGCTCAGGAGCTGCTGCTCGCGGTGCTCGGCCTCCTTGTCCTGCTGGATCAAGCTGCAGCAGTGGCAGCAGCACGAGGTGAGGATGTCCTCGACGCACGACCCCTTCAAGTTGTACTTTTCGCGAATGTTCATACGCTGCATGGCCATGGGGATCCAGTGAAGACCAAAGCAGCCAGCGCCGCAGAAGAGGAGGCACTGTTTTCCCAGAGTATTAGTCGCGTATCGACACACGTGTTTTCCATCTGTTTTTGCTGTTTGACGACTCACAGAGGTGTTGATGGGCTCGTATCCATCCAGGTTGCCATTCTTACGCACGCGGTGGTGAGTCTTGCCAAAGGTGACGCAGGGCAGGCAGTAGGTGATTAAGCAAGTGTCAATGGGGCTGAAGCAGTCGAAGAAGCCGGCGGCCCAGGACTGCGCGCTCTCCGGGGACTTGGAGTTGACGACTTCCCCAGAGCGGGAGAGGACATGGTTGAAGCGGTTCTTCCAGTCATCGAGGTCGGCTTGGTCAATAGGTCCGTTGTTGGCAGGTTGGGTGGCAGCCGGCGCCGGAGTCGGGGCCGGCTGCGTGGTGACGAGGACGTGTTCTTGAGGAGCGGCCATGTTGTAAGGGGTATCGGGGGGGGAGCACAAAGAGATAATAAAAGACCGTGAAGAAGGAAAAGAAAAGGAGTGAAAGAATAATCGTTCTTGGATATGGAGTGGCGTGACTATCTTGGGACAGCAGCAAACACGACTTAAATAACTACGGCAGCGGACAGCTGTCAAAGGGCGGGCCCAAACCCCATGTTCACAAAGAGAGTGATGGGCAAAAAAAAAGAAGAAAAAGAAAGACCAGGTCACACCCTGAGCTATGCTAGTATGAGAGCAACAGAGCCGGCCTGATGCAGTTACAGTCATGGTCTGGTGAGCCCAATGTAAACGCCAGATTCAGCCTCAGCTCATCTAATCAAGGGATGCAGCCCGCCGCCATGACAAGAATGGGCTGAGTCCACAAATGCCGGACTGCTATTTGACCGTTTGACCCTGGCATTCGCAATGAGAAGCGGGCGAGCTTGCCGCGGGCGATGACATGTTCTCGTTGAACAAGGGCAAAGCCTCCGCTGGCTGTTGCTCATCCAGGCACCATCGTGGGCGAGGAAACGTGGAACAAGCATTTGATGACAGTCAGCTCCATCCAAGACGTTCCGGAATCATTGTCATCCAGCAACTAGAAGCCTGATCAGGTGGGTGGAGTCGCTAATATAACCTTCTTCGCTTTTGAGCCAAACTCGGCGTGGCTGGCCAATAACTCGGGCATGTAGCCTTTGAGCTGAGGAGGGTCAAAGCCAGCCTCTTGGGAGGCGAGTGACCAAAGTAGACCAGAATCGTGGACATCAGGGGTTTCTACGCTTTTGCCTTGTTCTCGTCGTCTTGATCCTTTTGTGTCATGGCTAGCTGCGGCGGCTTGCAAAATGTGGTGCAGATCTCGTCACGAACCGGGGGCGCTTTGCTTGCTAGTCTGGAGATTCATCTGATATCATGGTGGTTATGCTGGCAAGGTCCTTTCCAACAGAGACAACAAGCAGGAAACCCCATGTATCGCGGCTGGTGTCACTCGGCACAATGCGCGCGGAGCAAACACACTGACGGCAACCAAGACAATGACGAGCATTACCAGCGCCCGACATCCTACTCCGTAAACCAGTTGCCAACACGACCCATGTGAGCCAACGTAGTGCCGTTGGCGCCCTGCGTCTCGAGAACCGACGCTCGTCCACCCTCCCCAGCACTTAGGAAGTGAGAGCCTCGACGCCTCCAACGCCTCGAAACAGCAACGCCATTGGGAACTGGCGGCTGACATTTTTGGCATATTTTCAAACGCCAGCTCCACATGCTGACGTTTTGGTCCCTTCAGCCCTGCGGAGCAAGCAAACTCCAGTGAATGATCCTTGCAGACAGAACAAAGACTCAAGCTGCCCATGGCAAAGGGACAAACATCCACGGTAACTTGAGGGAAATGGCAAGCGGCGTGCATGGTGTATCCCCGATTGCCCATGGGGTTGCGAGCTCGAGGCAGGCGAAAGGGGAAGGGGGATCAACAACAAGGCATCGCAGTTGAAGCCAAGGGCAGAAAGACTAACTGGATACTCGTCACTTTGCTGTCTTGATTGACTCTACCAGCGTTTCTCCATCACAGGACCACCAAGGGCGTATCCGGTGGCCGTTTCAATGTCCCATCCGCCTCGCAAGACACCCTCTTGTACTTGATGGGCATTTGCCCCAGCGTCTCCGTGGTATTGGCAAGCGCAAACACCAGCGGTGGCGTCCCGTTCACGAGCGTCATGAGGCTCGACAGAATCAAGGCGTCAAACGCCCTCATGGGCCGCGACAAGTGTGCCGGCGCCATCACGTCGTCGGCCGGTCCCAAGTCGACAAAATACCACATCCGGCCCGAGGCGTAGTACAAGTTGGCAGGGGACAAGGCGTGCGAAATCACCGGCTTGTCATTGTGTGGCGGCGGCACATGAGCCTTGTCTTGATCAACTGGCACGGCCGGAGGCAAGGGCAGCTCCTGAAACCGGGCGAATGCCTCTCGGTAGGCATTGGATGCGCGGGCGGCGTGGGCGTCTCCCATGGAGGGCGTGGCCCGTCCAACTTCCCAGAGCGTCTCTTGTTTGCCGTCTGTTGATTTGAGAATCGCCCATGTGTGCCCGACTGGCTGTCCCGAGGGGACCATGTCGTGGCCCAGTGACGGCTCGGGATCGCGGAGGCCGAACCAGATGTCTACCTGGTCGCCCTCGCTCATACACGAGAGCATGGCCTGATGCGTGATTCCCGTCATGGGCTGCGCAGCCTTGAGGAGGAACTCGTCGGCGTAGGCTATTGCGGTTGGGCGCTGGAAGAAGACGTGGCCTGCGGCTTTGAACAGCTCATCTTTGGCTTCGGCGCCGGGTATGAAGGCCATGCGATCCATGACGGGCAGGTATTGTCGTGCTGAGGGTCTGAAGCAGCAGCGTCGGCGGTGTCGAGGTCAAGACTGAGACACATGTGCATGGCGTATTGTAGATGCAGCATCAAACTGCCTGCTGCCATCGAATCAACAACGAGGCTTTGCGGCGTTCAGCTGCGCCGGATCCAGCGTCGTCTGGACCTCAGCCCGCTTGTAATCAATGGCCCACAGTGAATTTCGAAATGTCGCTATTTTGAATGCTATCAAGATGAGCAAGACGACGTGGATTCGTTCCCCAGCCCCTGAACTTCATCTGCAACAATGATCCCTCCTGCTACCAGCAATCAAAGGACATCTATAATACATCCACGTGTGATGGCTATTGGTCGTCTGATTGAGCAGGATCCCAAGAACCACGGACATTGTAATGTGCCACGGTCGGGCGGGGGAGAGATGAGGGCCTGACAATAATAGCACAAGGTCTCAGAAGCGATAAACGAATCCAATTGAAAGAAACTAGCAAATACATGAAGAAAGAAAAATTGATCAGCTCAGGACAAGAAAAAAAAGCCTTAGCTACTGTCGATGCCTGCCATCCAAGCATGTGTAGAAGACATGCGCGTGGCGGTATGAGCCCCCAACACTTTGTCCGTAGTAGCTATTCTAGGATGATAGCTATTTATAAGCAATAGAGAATGATTTGAATCTTTAGCCGGAAAGTATTTGTCTAGACCTTTGCGTTAAAATAGAAGGTCCTTTCAAGCGGCCAGGAGAAGCCATTATAGTTGCGTTTGTGCCAACTCAAGACGTCTATTTGCACGAGTCCCGCGGATGCTAGGATGGGATGCTTACCAGATGTCTCTGCAATTCATCAGCAACTAGGAAGGCCTGAGCGCCACGAGTTACATACCTAACCCTGAGACGGAGCTGCCTGTGGGAATGTTTCGTCGACTTCTTCTGTGTCAGGCAATGGAGCACCAGAGTAGCCAGGCAGTTGCGAGGTCGAACCTCGATCCTGGCGCTTCGAACTGCGGCCCTGTAGAGCCACGCCTTCAACCGGTCGCCTCAGTGATGTTCTGGCACTTGGGTACAATGACGGCGATAGTCTGGCAGAGCTTGGCAAGGACTTGTCTCCGTCTTGTTCGCCCTTCACGATCTGAGAAGATGAGTTGGGAAGAGGTGAGCGATGGGGGCCTGGATGTCTGCCAGATGTTGACCAAGTCATTGCAGGAGTCAAGTATCTTGGTGTGGCTTGGAGAGTGATTTGACTAGTTGAAGGTTCACCGTTGAGCTCTTCGCCTAGCATGGCTGCCGCCTCCCCAGTGTTGGGGGTGAAATAGACACTTGAGTCTTCCTGCCGGAATATGTCCCCGAGCACGACTGTGATTCCATGGGGAGTGTGTTCGCGTACCAGAATATTCGCAGGCTTAATGTCCCGGTGCACGATTCTAGGGCTTGTCCCATGCAGGTATGTCAAGGCGGAGAGAATTTGGCGCAGGACAGACACGCTCTGGCTGACAGTGACGTTGTCTAGTTTATCGAAAGAACCTCCCGGGATATATTCGAGACAGATTTGGTCAAGACGTGGATCAACCGAGAGAAGTTTAACAATGTGTTTCCATGACGAGTCAGTATTAAGTACCAAAAAGGAAACCAAAGAGGGCGGGACTGACGTGTGATAATTTACCGAGTATGTCCCTTTCCGTCAACCACCGAGACTTGCTGAATCTTGCCTTATTGTGAGCCTGCTTGAGGGCATGCTCTTTTCCAGTGCTGACATTCCCATGATAACTCACGGGCCCTCGCCTCCCCTTCCAAGCACTCGTCTCAGGTAAATTGGCTCGGTACTTGGCGTGTGTGCTCCAGTCTGCCGTCTTGTGTCGGGTAGAGAGAGAAAATTCAGGAGATTGAGGAGTGCCTCGGTGCTGGCATTGCCGACACTGCCGAGACAGCATTTTTTGACTTTCTCCTTGTATGCTTGTGAGTTGACATTATGTTTCACAGCAATAATTTTAAACTGAATTTGTTTGTGTATCTGGACAATAATACAGTCCTTTTCATGTGCGTTTTTGTCCCCGCCAACGATCCATTAAAATCTTCGTCGTACCCCAGCCCCGTCGTTATAAGTGACCCGGGTTCCGTAAAGAGAGTCCAAGTCTTTCACGATGAGCCGATGTTGACTGTCGAATGTTACGCTGAAGTGTTCGTTGCTAACACCATCTATATCAGGCAGGACGGCACCAGATTCCTTGCCGCATCCAAATACAAGTCCATTTGAGGACCGTGGTATTTTGCTGAACCTGAACTCTATGCAGACTTGGTTTACGGAAGTCGTTTGGTCGCCCGACCCCTCTGGGGGCATGGTCATCTCGCTGTCATCACGGCCATGCTGAAGTGTTTGAGCTTCTTGATGCAGCGGTAGAGCTAGAGACAAGTGGTTCAAGATGGTCTTTGTGGCACAAAATGCATTCTCTTAGTGGAATAGGGGTATATTCGAGCAATAAGATCCGGATCATTCATATTGTCCTTGGTGAAGAATGAATAGTGCGGACGTGGAATGAGGGAAGAGGATTGTGTTGACTACATATATGTGGTTGCCCAAGGGCTTGAAGGTGCCCGCCAGTCGAACTTATGTTTTATCTTCAGGCAGGAAGACAACTTGTCCTACACCAGACGCCTACCAGACATCGATTAATGTTTGCCAGCTCTCGCCCAGTCGTGTCCGCCAGGCTGCAGCCCCCTAGCCCGGCGGGAGGTGAAGTGGTGACGATTCAATATCAGCCACGAGTTGTATGTCGGCTTCCGGACACACCCCAGGAAGCAAACAAAATAATTGTTGCATCAATGCCTGTTAATGCAGCCACATAGGCAAGCCATTAGTCAAGGCGCACAATTACAGAGCCACAACAAGGCGTCAAGGGGTCGCTCAACGGCGCCGGCACGCCCTCCAATGTTTGCTTCCCCCCTTTGTTTTCCGGTTTCCCCGTTCCCTTGGTTCCCGATACCCTTGATTCTTACTCCTACACCTACCTAGGCGCGAGACGCGGGCCTCGCTTTTGCATTGCCGCCAACATGTCTGGTTCACCTTCACAACCGGCTCCTGTTGACCTATTAGCTTTAAATGACGCCCAGCTTCGCGAGATTCTGGAGAAAAGCCGGCAGCCAGATGGCTCATATGAGCTTCTGGTGACTAATGACTGTGGTCTATGGTCGCAAGAAGAGCGAGATGGCCTCGCCCAAAGACTCAAGTGTGTTCTGTTGCCATGCCATTCTTTTCATTTACTCATTTAGCTTTAGGACCATACAGGCGAACTCACGTCCGCTTGACGTCGACAAGCTGGAGGCACTCTTGCAACAGGTGTCCAACAGAGACGATGATGCCTCATCGCCGACCCGACGGCGAAGAAGCGAATCAAGCGAATCAAGAGAAACCGGACCGATACCAGATGAGCGAGAGACATATATGCAAAACGAGACGGAGGCATATGATAATCTTGTCAAGGATGGTGGTCGTCCGCTGTGTCCAATTGGCATGTTGGAACCGGTTTCCCATGACCCTGAGGCGCACCTGGAGATGCTGCGCCCCTTTTGGAGAACACCCCATCCTGATAACCTGACGAACCTTGACGGCTTCCTCCAACAAGAGGTATTCCAGAGACAACAGCTAAGGTGGCGCAACTTTCGCAGGTGGCAACTCGACAACAGAAGGATGGAGGAAGAAGGAGAAGACGACGAGTTTCTGGCCCATGTCGAGGAATTGAAGAGTGCATGCAGAAAAGTAGGCTGGGGTCACTACGCGGATGAGATCGAAGCCAATCCAGAAATCTTGAAGAGGAGGGGAGAAGTATGGTATTATAGGCAGAGGCACCGCAAATGGCAGCAAGTATGGCAGCGGGAGCCTGAATGCGAGAGCTTCTCTGATTACGAAGCAGCACTAAGAGCGCGATTAACTCGACACGGCTTTACCCGACTGTTCCAATTGGCAGAAGCAGAAGACCCCAAGCAGCAGGACAGTTGACCTAGTGAATCAAATATCTTGGCTATGAGTACCGCCGGCTCGATCGTCATAGCAAATACATGGCGCGCCACAAGCTCGAGCATGACGACAAGTGGGAGACGCTGGCGAAATCAATCATACTCAAGGACGACGAAACACCCGACTTTGTTCGCACTCCTGTGTGGTGTGCGAGGGCTGACGAGGAAGAGAGAAGCCCAGCCGGGGTGGCGAGGCTGCGGAAGTCGAGGAGGAGAAGCTTCTCGAGAGGGCGGCCAAGGACCCTGCGTGCGCGTGGATGCTAGTCGAGGCCAAGAATAGGACTTTGGCGGCGAACGAAGCGCAAGTATTGGCTTGGCGACGGAATGAGGTCATTGTCGATTTTGTTCGCGAGACAACTCCCCTTCTCATCGAGAAACACCACGCAGAGTGCCAGATGCAGCTTTTGGCGTGGGCAGTCGCCCAGGCTCATTCGCTCGAGGCCGAGCTGACAGGAGCGTCTTGCAGCGAGACTGGCTCGGAAGACGGCTCATCCAATAAGAGGAAGAAGAAGACGAAGGGAGTGCGATTCGAGCATGGATCGATGCGGCCAAAGTCCAACGCTCAAGGGAGCAGCCAGCAAGCCAACAATGACGGACCTGGAGCGGTAGGCACGGCGACCTTGCCTACACGAGGCTTCAGCACATCGGATTAAGTTCAAACCGGCAACATCAGAAAGGCGGATGCCGGCGGCTAGTCACCGGCGGCTCATGTGCCGTCCCAAGCATTGCCCCCAGGACTACGGCGCGGCTTGCGGCTTGCGGCCTCGAGCCCCCTGTCGGAACAGTACCAAGTCGATATTGACAATTTGGGAAGCGAGTACGCAGCGGTAGAAAAGGTGTTGGGGAAACGAATCCGCAGGCGAGGGCGTGGCCGCACCACCGAGTACCTGGTCAAATTCAAAGGTTACTCTGACAAGTTTACCATGTGGACGACGGCTGAAATCTCCCCCAAGACGCCTTGGACGAGTTTGAGGGAGTTGCTGCTGCTGCGTGACTGTTGCCTGGAGCGGCTCGGGCTAGGCCGGCACGACTTGCAATTCGTACTTTGTAACTAGATTAGATTGCTGTACACGTGTAGAATACTGTAGTTGTTGAATTTCTTTTTGTAATCGCAATATAGAAGCCTCATTTTTTGCAACCTGGGGTGTAAGCATAGTCACTCTTGAATCGCGTTCAACTCGTGCTAGTAACGTGCTTTCAATATCAAAGATGCTTGGTTTCCTTCAGGAAAAGATGCTCGGGCAGGAGACCCTTGTTTATACAAAACCGCCGTGAGCCTCTTGGCCGGGGAGCCCAAGGCCCCGTCTAGGCCTTGTGTAACTGGTCGTCAAGTTCACGGGTCGGTCCGTGCCGTGACGTGACTTTGGTGTAACAGTGACACTGAAACAGCCATACTAACTACTACTGTTGAAGCCCTGTTGTCAGATGTAGTCGTGAACTGGAAAAGCTGTGTGTGTTGTATGAGCATTGCACGCGACCATGACAAGGCTGCAACCAGCCCTTGTCAAAATACCGCGTATAAACCGAACCTCTCCCACATCAACAGACAAAGCATGGCCTGGTGTAAAAGACGGTGGCGTATTCAGTAGCCATGTGTTGTCATGAGCAGCCAGTGCGTTACATATAGTAGCTTTGTGGTTTCATTTAGGCATGCACGAAAAATCTACAAATTGAAACAAGTATAAATAGGTGGTCACACAAGACTCAAGTCTCTTGTTACGTACATAATAGCTCGTGAATAAAATCTTTTAGGCTTTCGATGGGCACTCATCCTTGCCTATTTGAGCGAGTTTACAACCAACCGTCAGAGACCAAGTGGCCAGCCCGCTGAGTTGCGCAACGAGTACCTTGTCTGTACATGTCTGGCATCTTTTCTTTTTTTAACCTAGTTCCTTTTACGGGTAGCCGCGGGCCCGCGTACGACCAGACATTTCTCCGGGTACTCGAGGGCGCCATTGGGTACCCGTATTTACATTGACTCAATGCTGCCAAGCCCGATATCGATTACCAGCATCTTGGTACCGGCGTTTCACTACATGCAGGTTGCTATCGTCGCATCCTGCATTCTACATTCAATGTTGCCTTTTCCGCCTTCATCGACAGTCGCCAGTAACTGCAAAGGACCGTACCGCTGCGATTCAACACACAGACATCTCACCAGCCGTCACCATGACCATTCGCGAAGCCAAGTACAGCGACGTGCGCGAAATGGCCCAGGCCGCCGCCGCCGCCTTCAAGGACGAAGAGCTCTTTGGCGAGCTTATGCATCCTCGCCGGAAAGAGTACCCCCACGACTTTGTCACCTATTTCGAGAGGCGCTTTCTCCGACATTGGAGCGACCCAAACTGCCACCTCGTCGCGGGACTCGACGAGACGACCGGCAAGGTCATTGCGTGCGCGCAATGGGAGAAGCAAGGCGTCAAGCCCGCATCATGGAGCGACAGTCTGAGCATAGGTGAGAGAACAATGACGCAAGTCTCGGATATCCCGCATCAGCTCCGTCCCGGTCGCCGATGTGTCGGCAGTTGCTTGGCTACGTTTGAACTGACCAATGTTTGAACCCTCCCCAAGGCTCATTCATGCAAAGCGCGTCCGGGGCGTTCCTCCAAGTCTCGGACTACCTGTGGCCGAATAGGGCGGCAGACCCCGACAAGATCAACATTCTCGAGGAGACGTTCCCGCTGTTCGCCCATCACTGGACTGAACCCAGGCGGCAAAACTGGTACCTGGAGTTCCTGGCCACTCATCCCGACTACCAGGGCCAGGGCATGGGCAAGGAGCTCGTCCTGTGGGGGGTCAACAAGGCCAAGGAGGACAAGGTTTGTGCATCCGTCATCAGCGCCGCCGGCAAGGAGGCATTCTACGGACGCTATGGCTTCGTGGAAGTTGGGAGGGCGAATGTCGGTCGCCTCGGCGCTTGTGGGATTCAGGGTGGTGCCATTATGTTTTGCGAGGGACATTTGTCGAGCTGACGTGGCCATGGACGGGCAAGTGGATATAAATACTTGAGTAGCTGCTTCATCAAGAGGTTGATTAGTGCCTTGTTCCCAAGCTGTCGAAACCAAGTCTACCCGGAACCGAGAGTCAGCCCAATGTACTCGTCGACCTTGACCGGTTGTCTGGGTACTTGGATCTCTCATCATGCTCCCTCCATGAACTAAGATTTGAAAGTACGTTCCCCTGCCGGGGGCCACGCCCGCCTTTCGGACTCTCAAAGTGGCTGTGTTGTGCTCCGGAGAGGCGTTTCCTCCGCTCACACGGAGACTGAGTCTTGTCCGGAGATGAGAGCTTGATGCGCACCGGCAAAGCCAGATGTTGCCGCAAATGCGAGCTCGCTCGCTGAGCGTCGGTCAGTAACGGATTGCTGAAACAAATCCAATCACCTGCTCCACGGTTTGGGTCTCGAGTCCAACCTGTTGAGCCCGACCGAAAGGTGAGCCAAAAGTGACGGTGAGTCAAAAGGCGTCAACGGCAAACGGGCATCGCAGACTTGGGGGTCTCCTGCAACTGAAGGACAATTCATTCACCGCATCTGGACAATACCTCCTCAATAGCTGCCTTCAGCCGCCATCAACGTTGGCATGCAACATTCTCTCTGCTTCCGCCTCCGACGATGCTCTCGTGACGAGCACTTGTCACCACCTGGTTCGCCGTTGGCCGTCGCCTTCTCTGCACACATCACGCAGACGAGCCCCTTTTAAACTTCGAGTTGAGCAAGACGGGCCCTTTCCATCCTTTGTCGGGAAAAGAGCTCAAAGGTGCCGGTTCTGCCGCACGCATGCCATGCCACCGAAAACCGCCTCCAGGGCAGGCAGCTCGGCCCGGTCGACGCAAAACTCGCAATCGCGCGCCATCAAGCGCAACCGAGGATCCGAATCCCCCGTCTACCTCTCGTCCATTGCCGTCGTCACCCCCGAGGAAGCGAGGCAGGCTCGCGAGCGCTTCTTCGACGCCCTCGGTTGCGCCGACCCGCACCCAGGCATGCAAAGAGCAATCTCGAGCGCCGACCAACTCACCGAAGTCCAGCTCGGCCGGCTCTTTGACATGCTCCATGCCTGCGGCGCGGCGACAGACGAGCGAGCCACGCTGTTGACGACGCGGGCAAGCGTCGATGGCTTTGTCGACGCCGTCTTCAACGACTGGCGGAGCGACAAGGAAGGCGACTTGGTGAAGCCCGAGTTGGAGTTTTTGGTCGAGGCAGAGGTTGTCGCGGGGACAATATGCGGTATGCTATTTTTTTCCTTCGAATCTTTTATCCTTGGTTCCATCGTGTCCAGTCAAGGATGCTGACGCGGATAGTAGTAACCCCCGATCACCACCGAGACGTAGGTGGTTGCAGAGTATCCGATACTTGCAACGCAGTGGTTTCTGCAGTCGTGTCGTACAGCTGCAACCCTGCCATGCTCAAGGTGGAATACACCGTTGTTGACCCGTTTTCCGGACAGCCCGAGGCGTTTTGCCCCCTCTGGAGGAAGGATATTCGTTGGGCAGAAGCAGGCTGGAAGGACACCCTCCGCCAGACCATCGAGGGCAAGCTCGTATCCAAGATACATCGCTACAACAAGCATTTGGCCGTGTGGCACGCGCGCAAGTTGATCCAGGACTGGAGCAAGGGGAGCATTTCTCCGGGGCCAAATGCGAGTACATTGGGGTTTATCGGCAGAGATGCCGTGGCATGGGTTGTCATGGGCTTGGGAGAACCGTCGGTGCAGCCCGGGTCTGAGGCGTGATTCCAAATAGCACGACCATTTCCTGCTTTGCTGTGGGGTTTCGTTTGCAATTTCAAGTTTGGCCGCAGGCTGCAATGTCGTCCACGTAATGGGCCTTGTCCACGGCGTCTTCCTGCATGTCAAAAGCCGTGGTGACTGTATGCGTCTTGGAGGCCCTACTTGGACTGCTTATTCGCCGACTGAATTGCCTCTACCTGGAAACTAGCTCGCGCAGTATTGCTAAAACGCTTATTTTTTTTTAAAAAAATAAAAAACGCCAATTGCCTTGTTTGCCATCATAGGGTGTATGCTATTCGTAGACCTCGTCCTTGCTCCGGTGCGCCCAGTGTATACACGAGCCTTGAGACATCTTGATAGGTAGTTGAATAATAGCGACAACCTCTTTGGGTGTTTCAGGAATGACGGGTAGCTCGAGGCACTTATTTGAAATCTAGAAGACCTGTATTACTTGGATAAATATACAAAGTCAAGACTAGTCAGGGTATATCCGAGGTAGCTGCTCAAACCTAGACGTAATGCCATCTGTATAGGTCCGTTGAGGATAAGGCTAACAGTCTGCAAGTTACCCACCAGTCCAACACAGGCTACTCATAGCCGGGTACCCATGTAGTCTTGCCCGTAATCACCTGCATAGACGTCTTACTTAAGCCCGATCACGGAAAGGAGTAGATTGAGTCATATTAGTATATTACTAAGTTAAATGAGGGGTAGATATACGCAACACACTCCAGTGGAGAAGTTGGAACTTGAAGAACCAAGCATCAGCACAACTAGTTCCTCAAGTGCAGCCCTTTTAAGCGGCACAATTCTCATGCACATAGTCTTGCTGCCGTATCTCTCAGTCTGAACCGCAACAAGTACGATACACCCCACAATGTCTACCGGCCAGATCACTCTGCTCGACCTCCCCAGCAAGGAACCTTGTTCCGCTTGGTCTCTGAACCCGTGGAAGAGTATGCCAAGACGTCAGCCCCAGAAAGAGAACGACGACTGACCATGTCCTACAGCCCGCATGCTCCTGAACTTCAAGGGCCTCGATTACAAGACGGAATGGGTGTGTTGAACGTCCCGTGTGCTGTAGCATCAACACTAATGACAACAGACCGAGTATCCGGATATCGAACCCAAGATTCAGCCGCAGTAAGCCCCCCAAGACTGGTGCTTCTGCAAACACGAGCTGTAAACTACCCCCCCAAAAAAGCATCACTGACAACTCGTAGTCTGCCTCCCAATGAGTCCGGAATCCCCTACACCATCCCGACCGTCATCCTGCCCGACAACACCTGGATCATGGACTCGCGCAAAATTGCGAACTTCATCGAGAAATCCCACCCTCAGCCTAGTGTGCACCTGGACTCCCCCATTCTTCCCAAAGTCGAACAACTGACTTCCGACATGTTGAACCAAGTTCGCGCAGCCTGCATTTCTCGCATCCCCGACAACCTGCTCAACAAGCAAAGCGCCGACTACTGGTACACCACTCGCGCCAAGCGAGTCGGCATGCCAGTTGGGGAATTTGAGAAAAAGTACGGCGGAGAGGCGGCCTATGCCGGAGCGGAGCCATTCCTCCAGGGAATAACAGCCTTGTTACAGGAGAATAGTGCCGGGCCGTTTTTCATGGGAAGCACCGTGTCGTATGCCGATTTCGTGTGGGTGTCTGCTCTAATTTTCTTAAAGAGGATAGACGAGGATATCTACAGACAAGTGTTGCAGAGGACAGGCGACAAAGGTGTCCATGTCAAGCTCGTGGAGGCCTGTGAGCCGTGGTTGAAGAGGAACAACTACTAAACAGCCCTCGCCTTGCGAGACTGACGTTTTTCATCATGATAAGAATAACAGGCGCAGTGGTAGCAATCTGCGGTAGTCATTATTTCAATCTCGGACAATCATTCCGTGCCGGCTACATCATTAATGGCACTAATCAAGAGATGGGTACGGCCGTAAAAAGAGCAGACAAAAGAGAAACAACATGCCGTACACTGTTAGCCCACCCCGGTGATGCCGCCTCCCTCCTCTCCCCGACATTCTGTGCATCACCACTTGTCACCGCGCCCAGCCCCACGGATCGGCAAGCTTCGGTTCGGGCACAGCGGCGGGTTCGGCTTCCATGGCCGCTTCTGGCAGATCGGCTGCTTCCTCCCTAGCTGCGTGACCCTTCTTCTTCTTCTTCTTTGACTTTTTGGCGCTCATGGCATGGAGCTGATCAAAGTCGGACTTGGCATCCTCCGTCTCCAGTGGCACGGCGGGAGCCTCCGCCTCCACCGCGACTGGTGCATCTCCCCACGATCCGCACCATTTATCCTTCTTCTTTGCCCTGAATCCCCACAAGTCTTCTTCATTCGCTTCTGTCGCTGGCTGAGTCTCTTCTGCGGGAGCCTCTGTCGGTGCAGCTTCTTCCACGGCGGGCTCGGGCTCGGGCTCGGGCCCGGCCGGTGCAGTCTCGATCAACGTCTCCGGCTCCGGCTCCGGCTCCGGCTCCGGCGCGCAGGGTTCATCGTCAGCAGGGGCAGAGTTGGCCTCGCGGCCTAGGTTCCAGTCATCCTCATCAACTGCCACGGGGGGCTCAGCTACCTCCTCAGCTACCTCGGCATCGATGAGCAAATCAGGGGAGTGCAAAGGCTTATCCGGGGGAGGGAAATCAGGGAAATACGGCCGTTCTTCGTCCACCGTCACCGAGTCCGTGGTGTAGCTTCGTGGCATCCTCGAGACGGGGAGGTTTTCCCCCGCGGCTTGTGCGACTCGGGGTGAGCGACGGGTCTCAAGTCTAGCAAGCACACGCCTCTCCGTCTCCAGGACCCTGAGCTTGTCCGCGCACCGAGCTCGCTCAGTGGGAGCCGTATCCCTCTCTTTCACAAAGTAGCTGACATCGTGGTCTGGCAGATCCATGACGGCTTCGGGCAGGAACAGCGTGGGCAGCTTCTCCAAAAGACACTGCTCGACTGCCAGGACGCTGATGTCGTCTACAAACTTCTCCAGGGCGAGCTGCAAACCAGTTAGCACAGCCTCTTGCATCCATAAGGCTTCGGTGCACCGCTTACCTTGTAGTATGCGAGCATATAGTCCGTCGCCATTTCGGCCCCGGACCGCTCCATGTCAACATTAATACTGCGCTTGAGCGAATCGCATAGACTGATCGGGTGAATCTTGACGCGATGTTCTTCTTTAAAGTTTTCGCTTCCCACGAGCTTCTTCACCGTTTCCTCGATTTGTTCATGCGTTCGCCTTTCTTGTTCCTTCTGCACCATGTCGATCAAGTAGCTGTTGTACGTGATGGGATGACTACCCACGTATTGCTTGAGGATTTCCTGGAACTTGCCGCCGAGATTGGCCTTTAAAATGTCGATTTCATTGCTGATGAGGTGGTATATGCCTCGTGTAGTTTCGTCGGCGGCAACATGGTCCACTATGGCCTGTGCGATATCGTCGACGATGCCGAGAATCTCGTGCTTAACATTCATTGCAATGGTCTGCCATGGCTGGCACTGCTCTATGAACAGTTCCCGAATGACTTGGGAATTGAACGTGCCTGGCAGGCCCCGCGTGCGGCTGCGTCTTACGACGTCAATCACCTCGTTGACAAAGGTAGATCGCCACTGGTGGTCGTCTGGAAGCTTGCGGTCCCGGGTGCCAGAGTCGTCAACAATCACGCGGCTCTGTCCCTTTTCTCGCATCTCCTTCTCGAAGCTGGTCAGGGTATTTTGAATGCGAGCTCTCAGGCGCTTCCGGTAGCCCTCGTCGGATTTCGCGCTCCCGAAGAATGCGTCGTTGTACTCGCCATCAACGGCAGCTTTCATGAGAGTTGAAAACTCCCGGCTGACTTGCATCAAATATTTGCGTTGCTCCGAGATGGTAGAGCGCGGCTTGCCCAACCTCTTCAGCTGGGCCTGGCACGTGTCAATGTTCCTATCGACGTCCTGGATGAGACTCGGCACTTGTTGCAGAATTTGGTTCCTGAGGATGTTGCTCAGCCTTGGCATGAGCGACTTTATGCCAAGGTAGCTGGGGTCAACTGTTGACCAAATGCCCCTTGAGAAGAACCTCTCTTCGTCTTCGTTCCGCTCGACAGACGGACCATCCCTCACTTTGTGGTCCCTATTCTTGAGAACGTGCCAGCCAAGCTGGGAGGATAGCTCCGTGTTCTTGGCGAGATGGGCGTACACGGCTTCTCTGTCGGACCCGGGCTCTAGAGCGTCCGGCTTAGTGATGAGACCCAAGGTGCGGGTACCGTTGGGGTCAAGTTCACGAACTATCTCGGTGATATCGTCGAGATAGGAGTAGTTCTCAGCAGACACAACTGCTAGTATGATACTGTGAGGTCTCTTGATGTAGTGCCGGACGAGTGCTCGAACAATTTCGGCATCTTGAGCCTTCTGGTCTTGGCCATCCGCGCGGAATATGCCTGGCAGATCTACCACGGTGAGATGCGGCTGCGTTGGTCCGCAAAGCTCGACGCGCAGGATGTCGGAGCTGAACATCTTGGCCTCGGACAGGCCCATGGCTTCTTTCGCCTCCCCAATTATAGTCTCGATGTCCGGCTTGTCGAAGCTCACGGGAACGGTGAAGCTGCCCGATCGGCGTTTTTCGTTGGCGGTTCGTTCTAGGCCGGGATTGATGGAGATCTTGACAGCCGGCGTGTCCTGCCGGCGAAGAACGAGCTCTGTCGTGAATCGAGTACAAGCGTTATCTTCTGTGAGAAAGGAAATGCCCGAGATGGCTTCCAGCACGGAGCTCTTGCCCGCCGACCGGCCTCCGCAGACGATAATTTCCGGAAGCTCAACATGTTTGCAGATGCCTCCGGATCGAAGCCTGCCAAATGTGTCTAGGAGGTCGCGGTGGTCTTCGGATTGGAGTTCAATGAAGGCCATTGTAAGTGACTGGTGAGGATCTAATGGGCAGCCGTGACGGGGAAGATGAAGCAGCTTGTCCGAATGCCCCGACGGGAGCACTGCCTGAAGTATATATCTGACTCTTGTCCCCATCGATGGACCACGTATGTCGCTTGCCTGCTGCATATATGGGGCACCGGCATCGTGTCGGTATGCTTCACCGCTCACTCTATTGCTGCCCAACTGCCCACGACGTGTGGCCTCTCTGGCAACCGGGGCGGCCAAGGTCGCGTCGTTGCTACCTGTCAATGTCGGGCAACTGCTTCGGAACGATTTGGCTAATTGCAGCGCATCAAATCAAGCTTGGGTTATGCTGGCAGCAATGCTGCAAAGCCCAAGTGCGGCCAGGCCTCCGTGGGACGGTCTGAGGCCGGCGACCATTTTATCAGGCCGAGAAGGGATGTTGTGTGACCTGCAGAGCAAAGCCTAAAAAATGACGACCTTCACAGCATGTATCATTAGGCGGGGGCTGGTGCCCATGGCATGACTTGTCTGGATAGTCGAATCTTGAAGCCATCGCCAGCATGTCTAAGCCACCCCTCGTCGCGCTCATCTGGTTCTGAGACCGAGACTACGTTTTCGACGCACAAGTCGTCACTCAGAGCATATCGCCTGCTTGAGCTCGCGTCACAGCCGGTACTTGGAGGTGGCGTCGCACGACAGCGCTCACCCGTGTCACTTCTTTTTCGCGAGCTGTACGCTGCTGTGGGTGACATGACCACTCTTGTTGATTCGTGGCGCTTCATGGGAAACCATGCCAGCCCTGATGCTAGCTTCGTCATGCACGTTTCAGATAGACGTTTTGTAGCTTGTGTACTTTGATTTCAGCGTCGCAACTGTGTCAGGTAGGACGTCGAACTTATTTTCTGTTGCGAGGTATTAATGAGCAGTCTCATACTATATCATCAAGGTAGTGACTTGCATGCTGGGGGCAAGCATCTCCGCAATCTGCATTATGAAGTGTGTGTGGGCAATACTATTGCAGGAGCAAGATGTGCATAATTTCCTCCATCGGAGATGCAAATGGGCTAGCTTGGTGCATATTGTCGTAAATGAGCCGCAATACGGTCGGTTCGTCCCGCCAGGACAGAGCTTGATCAAACCAGCCTGATTTAAGCGTAGACGGGGTTGACGAGCCACCATGGACAATGCTAATATGGTTCCTCCATACTCCTCAACCGCCGTCTACATTTCATCGTTCACGTGAAAGAACGATCTCGGGGCCAAATTAAAAGGTACGTCTGATAATACTACTCCTAAAGTAGATGTGCCTGATACCGCTGCCCCTAAAACCGAACATCCTTATACTCGTCGTCAAACACAACGAGGGCTTCAACGCCTCCCGTCTCCACCACCTCAGTATCGACCACCAATGTCGCCAACAGTTTTGCGGGTTCCTCCTTGCTGTAGTTGTCGCTAACCACATGATGACACCCGGGAGCCTCGAACCAGCTTCCACCCTTTTCAAAAACTCGGGTTGGCTCGCTGTTCATCTTGTTGAGCAAAGTGCCCTCAAGAACAACAGCAGAAACAGCGGCTCCCGCGTGCGTGTGCGGCGGAGTCGACGAATTGGGAGGGAATGTGACCATGAGGCCGATGCTGGACTTTCCAGGGATGTTTGGAAGCTGATATTGATACGCAAGCTCCACGGACGGAAGCGGACGGCTGCCCGGCAAACAATGAGTCAGCTATTGAGAAGGGATAGAAAGGAAAAGAACTGAGTGAAAGCTGCGTTTGCGCTGTATTTGTGTCTTTTTTGAATGAGGGTAAATTCCATGGATGAAGTTTATACCTTCTGTCGTATTTGGGGGGATCGGGTACGGTTCGACCTTGCTCCATCTTGTTGAGGTTTTGAAAGTCTGAACTAGCTTATCCAAGCCCAGGTCCTGTATCTCAATGAAGTCGGGTGTGATTCTTGATAAAAAATGCCTTTGGTCTGTAGAGTTAGATATAAGTTTATATAGCCTCATTCTTCGCCTTGGGCCCCGCATGGGCTTCGACGGCAACCCACACTTTAGCCTTCCAACGGTTTCCCTGATCCCCGGCCATAGGCTATCCGGGTAAGCGTGGCGTGGGTGGAGAGTTCAGATGTCAATATTTTCCGTTGGCAATTAGGTACCAGCTAAGAGCCGTGGCGTTTTGCTCCTGTTGTGATTCCCGACTTCTCGTGTTGCTCCGAGCAAGCCGAAACGGCGAAAAAGGCTTCGACGCTGTATAGCGCAGCAGATTGGGATGCGCACAGAATGCGCCTCTTCGTAAACAGTATAAGGCCGTGTCATCCCCTCGAGCCATCGAAACACCACTGGCGCATATTGGCCTTGCTCAAATGTCAATTCCCTGTACAGACCTACTCTAAATACCTTCACCGTCATATTTGAACAGAAAATTGGCCCAAATGGCGTCGCTTCCCCTTCCCAGCACCATGAAAGTGGTGCACCAACCCGACCCCAACTCGACGCGCCTCGTCCTCGAAGACGCGCCACTGCCTACCATTTCCCGCCCGGATGAGTGTCTTGTCCGTGTTTACACTACGACGCCGTGCTCGGGGGAGCTACACTGGGAGACGTGGTTTCCTTCTCTTTTTGCGCCCGGGCGAGAGAGAGTCCCCTGCACCGAGGCTGCAGGCGTCGTCGGCAAACTTGCAGATAGCGACGAGGCGCGTGCCTCTCGCTTCAAAGTTGGAGATGAGGTGTTTTTTCGCCTCGAGCCGTCTCAAACCGGCAATCTCCGTCAATACACCCTGGCTCGGTTCTCTCAAATGGCACACAAGTCCAAGAACGTGGGATGGGTAGATGCCGGGGCGACGCCACTAAGCGCACTCACGGCCTGGCAAGGTGTCTTCCAACATGGGAGCCTGGATGAAAGGGGAGTGTTTGGGGATGAAGCCGCCCGAACCAAGAATAAGACGCTCAAGGTGCTTATTACAGGAGCCTCTGGTGTCGTGGGTAGCTGGGCGGTTCAGTTCGCAGCTCTCGCTGGAGCAGGCCAGATTATCGCCGTCGCTGGCGGCAGCGCCAGCGAATATGTCAAAAATTTGGGCGCCACAGAAGTGGTGGACTACAAGAAGCAGAGTATTTCTGACTGGGTGGCCGTAAACCCATCGGAGCGTGAGGTAGATGCCGCTTTTGACTGTGTTGGCGGATCAACGCTTGCGTCGTGCTGGTCTGCCGTCAAGGAAGGGGGTGTGTTGCACAGCATTACCGGCGACCCGCAGCAGTCGAAGCCAGAGTCGATTACGAAGCAGCTCTCTGAGGCAAGGTGGTTTCTTGTTGAACCCAATGGTAGTCAGCTGGAGGCAATTTCTAAGCTGCAAGGCGAAGGCAAGTGCGTCACCAAGGTGGATAGTTTGGTTGACCTTGCCGATTTTCAAGAGGCTTTTGATAAAGTTGAGAACAAAAAGGCGAATGGTAAGGTAGTTATTCGAGTCCAGAGTTGGTGATGCATGTATGCTAGCTTTTTTCCCTTTTAGGGTAAAGTTTGGCGTGTAGGCAAACCAATATGAATAAGATTGTTTTCTTATGACGATAGCTAGGCTGAGTGAGTCACCATAAATTCTTTAGGTTCATTATTGCCCTTGTACTTTAAATGCCTTCCACTCGGGTCAGTGGAAGATGTCTAGCGGAAGATTTACTTGCGAACCCGGCCATGAGAATCTTCAAATGTTGATTTCCATCACCCTCTTCAACAGTCTTCTATCAGTGGTTCTTGCTTTGCGTAGTGCTACTGTGTCCTCCAAATTTAAAGTGTCGATATCGAAGCTACTCATGCTAGGGGTGCGTAAGACACAGTTGGATAAGACTGAGACATGGCCAATCTGATACTTAAGCATATGTGCTTACCTGACTCGTAAATTTCGAGCAATCTTTTATTCTCGACGAAAAGTACAGTGCACTTCCCAACGCCTAATTATTCCTTTGTTTTGTTAAGACCAAGGAGTCCACTCTGGAGCGAACCCAACCGTCCGTTTACCGTGGGCCGCGTTGTCGTTGGGTGTTGAATTGAGAATCCGTGGACAGTCAAGGTATCCATTCTACAAATTGGGTATTCATGGAAGAACCGTACGGATAGGAGGCAGAAGTGGTAACCTGCAGACGCCCATAAGCAGCGGTGTGTCATTCTGAATAACTAACTACTAAGTAGTTGGCTAAGCTATACATGATATTCAATCTAAATTTATTGTATATTAATGCAAAATTCTCTCATATCTAACCTGAAGGATGGAAGTACCGGACTAGTCGCATGAAATGCCAAGAGTCAAGATTTAACGATGCCTGGTACTGCCTCCTCTGGAACCCCTACCTCGTGGCTTCGGACGCCACAGGTCTGGCGCCACTGCCATTCAGTCCAGTCAGATATTGTAGAATATTGACTTGAAAGGTACCAGACATGTATGGATCTGGCGCGCAACTAAGATGAGCCATTTTATTTCACCTGTTGTGCACTGTCCTTCTACCAAATGCGAGCACCGAGAGGACAACGGCAGCCGAATTCATCGCCATCCATTCACCCGCAAAATGTCGGCGCCAATGCAAGATCCAGGAGAAAAGTCACTTTCAAAGCTCTTGGCCACACTTAGCACCATCCTCCACCCTACAACCTACGTTTTCGCGACCGTCAAAGAAGAAGCAAAGTTACCACCCGTGTCGGAGATCCAGCTCTTCTTCCGGGAGGCAGAGGGCCTCACGGTAATAACAAGCCTAAATTACGCCAAATCCCACGGCCTGGAGTACTTCTTTCCCTGCAAGATGATTACGCTGGATGTGACGTCCAGTTTGGAGGCGGTTGGGTTTATGGCGGCGATCGCGACCAGGCTGGCAACGAAGGACATGGGAGTGAACCCTGTTAGTGGATTTTATCATGACCATCTATTTGTTCCGCTTGGGAGGGAAAACGAGGCGATTGAGACATTGAAAGAGCTGGTAGAGGAGAAGAGGAATGATAGTGCTAGTTAGGCAGGGGACGTATCACACAATTATGCCAGAACTTCAGGATTGCTTTCCCCTCGAGCCGGTTATCCCAACAGCAAAGAGTGCATGATGCTATTGATAGCACTCTTTGCTGTTGGCATACTGAAGATGAAAACCTAGCCGTGAATACTCTTGTGTAACCATCGTCTGCGTCGAGAGTCGGCCCGTGACGTGACGTTGCGATACCCATGTGACATGGAAAGAAGGCAAAACCGAGTATCATGAATATTGAATGCGATTCACGGTGTCAAGCAACATATGATTAGCAGGAGTTGAAAATTGACTATACCACTTTTCTATATTGAAACGATCTACTTTTACCATTATTCAAATGCAACACAGACGGTCATGTTGACTGGTGGCTCAAAATTGTGGAAGCTGTTCGACTTTGACGAGATTGAGCAACCGGAACAAATGATCCCCATCTGTAGCTGTGATGATTTCTATTTTAAACTTAATAACGCCATAGTTTATGAAGAAAGAAAAAAATCCTCCGCAACTATTGCGTATATGGCAATACAGAAGCCGAGTCCCGCCCTGACCCTAAGCCTCTGCTTCTGGCAAGGGTGCCTGTTGCGTGATATAGAAGCCTAAATCGGCATCAATGTTGGGAATTGTCACCATCTCTTTTTTCGATTTACGCTGTTGGATTCCCAGCTTGTCACTCTTTGGTTGCTCAATCCACGAAAATCCATCTCCCCAGTAATCATATCTTCGTCCCTTGTACGCCCAGTTATAATCCTCCCATCTATCCTCAGCCAGGACTTGCATGTACTGCAAAGAGCTGCCTGGCCATAGAGCTGTGATCTTACCATCACTAGTTTTCTTGTCTTTCTAAACGTGAGTAAAGTGTACAGGAGTTCTTGGGGCACGAAAAAAAGAACTTACACCAACTGCGGCACGACCCCGTCCACACTGTCTTCTTCATAAACTCACAGACGCGACTGTCGAAGTCGGTCTGTGCTTCAGGTTTTACATCAAACGAAGATGCTCCATATCTGATTGCCCGCTGAAGTAGCCTGATGAAATAATCGCTCGTGCCTTCCAAAGGGCCTGCGAAATGTGTTGGATTAGTAAACTATACAAGAAAGATTTCAACATACCCATGAAAGCGCCGTTAGAAATAGGTGTGTTCGGCCCAAGAAACGTAAGATAGTTGGGAAACCCAGAAACACCGGTTCCGAAATATGAAGTTGGTTCATCTGCCCAGATGTCTTGAAGGTTGACTCCATCACGGCCGAACAAGGGAAACTGTGGCCTGAAACTGTTATTGAACCCAGTGGCTGCGACAATAATATCCACTGGGTGCTCAATCCCTTCGGAAACAATTCCATGTGGCTTTACTTCTTCAATTGCGTTAAAAACGGTCGCAACATTCTTCTCCTGAATGCTGTAGAGAAACTGTTCACAAGGATTGACGCGGCGGCAGCCTACTTCAAACTTGGGCACGAGGTGATCCTGCAGGCTTTCGTCTCTTATCAAAGACCGCATCCGTGTTTCCAGCATCTGTCGAAAATTCTGCTGCTCCGGAGAAGTCTTAAAAAGGGCTTTGAACATGCCGTTCAAGTTCGAGTTGATTTCTTTTCGCATCTGCGCATACTTTTCAGGGTTTTGTCTGAAAAACGCCTGTTCGTCGTTTCTGTAGTCGCGATTCGGGGATTCCGATTCAGTATCAACCATTGGGGGCGCAATCCAGGGAGGAGTGCGAATATATACTCGTACCGAGCTGCATAGAGGCTGAAGCTGCGGTAGGATCTGGACTGCGCTAGAGCCTGACCCGATGAGTGCTACCTTTTTGCCATGTAGATCTAACTCTGAGTCCCATGCGGCCGTGTGTACCACCTTGCCGGCGAAGCTTTTTAGCCCTTTGAGGTCAGGCAATTGAGGATGGTGGAGGATGCCCCCAGCATTGATTAGTATTTCGCAATCAATGGTAGTCCCATCATTAATGCCCACAGCCCAAGTGCCAGTCGATTCAATCCATTTTGCCGAGATGACTTTGGTGTTGTAACGAATGTATTGTTCCAAGTTGAAGTGCTTGACCACTTTTTTGAGATAGTCGTGAATCTCTTCTGATGAGGAGTATCTAGAAGACTTGGTTATTATTGTATTACCTACATTAGGATGAATGGTGACATACAATTTCGACCATGAAGGGTTGGGCGCGAAGGCGTATTGGTAGCAGTGGCTCGGAACGTCACATGCGCAGCCTATATCTGGTAAGATTGCCGGCTCATCTCAATTACTAGAAGAACTTGAACGTACCTGGATATTTGTTCTCGTACCAAGTGCCTCCAAGTTCAGGATTCTTTTCTAGTACCTGGAATTCGACGAATTCTTTCAAGTGATGTTGTAGCTTATATGCTGGTTTCATTCCTGTCAGTTCCCCAAGAGAGCTCCGGACCTCCATCTTTGAGAAACTTAGCCATCTTACCCATGAGGATGCCGGATACTCTGCGAAAAGGGTTAGTGAGATGACTAGTCTGCTTTGTGAAGACTATGTGCTCACCCTGCTCCTATTACTATACAGCGTGTCTTCTGATCTGGAGAAGACATCATGCGTTAAGAGGAATTACCCTTCGTGGTTATTCTTAATACTATATCCCAAAGTAGACATGTAATCAGGACAAATGTAAGAGGGCGAAAGACTTCGATGGTCATTACGAATGAATTCGGTATTTAAGACTTTTTTTCTTTCGATTCTTATATGAGTACATGGAGTTGAATTTCAGATCCTGAATGCATAGGGTATTGTCCCATGCCCAGTGCCGCTTTCCCAAAGAAGACCTGTACATGTTCAAGCCCTAGAGGCCGTTTACTGGGTTTGGATAATGGCCAATGTGACTTGAGGTAATTCAAAGGTAGTTTCATGGCGTGATGTGGCTCAGCATTCCCACGTGAATCAGAAATCGCCCACACATGAAGCCAAAAGATGTTCGTTTCCAACCTACTATTTCTAAACACGTTCTGAAATACTCTTTCATGACAGAAAGTGTGAAAGTAAGACTAACTAGCCAGAACACTACTTCTAGATAGTGACTGAGTATTGTACCGGGACATCACAAGGTTGAGTATTCCGTCTTTGAATTTTGAGGCAAGAAGGGCGACTGACCTAGCCCAGAATATTCTGTGACACTAGTGATTTTTGCTCTATTGACGATGAGACCTGAGAACTCCGTACACTCTCTTCTATTGTTTTCTCATTTTGACATATTCGCATCCCACTGTCAAACCTTGGGGCTCGGCACTTCATGTCCATACATAGAATTTGGATCTGATATATATATTCACTGCTAAATCATTTCTACGAATTAAATAACCTTAGAGACTATGCGACGTAAAACCAATGCATGGCTTGTATTTGTAATCCATCACTAACAAGACTCCTCCCCAACCGGCTAATCAAGGCCAAGCTGAATTTTCTTGTACGGAGATGGGTCACGACGGAATGCATCAAATGCTACGGGAACATCTGGCACTGCATGAAAGTGGCTCGAGTCAGTTCACGGTAACTCCCTACAAAGGAAAATCCAAAGAAGTACTTACAAACCGGCCAGTTCCCACTTTCAAACGAGTGCAAGTATACACTCAAATACGGCTTGTTGTTGCGGTATGAAAACGAGATGTACGTATGAATATAATTCAGTGACTCATGGTCGTCATGTGGGCTGTGAAATGATTATATGAGTACGGGCTATGGGTTTCAACCATGATCCTGATAACACTCACAATGATTTCTGAAGAAAGGCCCTGTACTTTCTGGCCATTTCGCTCCATCCGCGTCTTTCGAAAAAGACTGTCAACGCATTGGTCACATCCATGTCGCTCATGCCAAACACGGTGAAATACACTTGGGGTTCGGGCGTGGGATCGTCATGGTGCAACGTATAATTGACCATGGATGGGAGTTGCTCGTCCGGGACTTTCCCCAATGCCAAGTACGGCTCTGGATAACTCCGCAAACCCGGAGGGATCCGAAGCAGATCCCAAAGCTCGCGGATCAGGTCGAGTCCATCCATTGTCGATTGATCGGTGAGTTGACCGCCTAACGTCCACAAATCTTCCACTGCGGATAGCGACACCATCTGCTCCAGCAGGTAAATCTTGATGCGAGACTTGGCGGAATTGACCAGATCGCACGAGAGAAGTCGCGGATGGAGGACGCCACCTTCACCAGTTCGTCCACGACTATTTCGTGATATAACAAAGCCTTCCAACCTTTCAAAAGCTGCACGGATACTGCGATATTGCAGAGACAACTTGTGCACGGAACCGAAAATGAGCTCGTGCATCGATTTGCCCGTAGCAAGCGACTTCAACGCGGGGTAAATGTATACTTTTAAGGCGAATTGGTTGCCTTTGAGATCCAAGGCTAACTTGTTTTGCGTCTTAATCTCGTCTTGTGCTAGACCGTTATCGAATAAATATGCCGACTCGGTCGTGTCAAGAGTGAGCTCTCGCTTGAAGTACTTGAACCACTCGAGATCAATCCCTGGTTGGATCTGTACGAGCTTCTGTAAACTCTCCCAAATGGCTAGTGTGTTGTACGGATCCTTCCGTGTCCCACTTGCAGCGTTGATGGGCTCATATGTATATCGAACGACAGAGTTGGAACAGTTCAAGCTCAGTTCGAATGGAATTCCGTACCTCGTCAAGATACTTAGCCACCGTTCCTTGTCATTCGTGGGATAAACGCCAAGAAACGGAACGACGTGCTTCTTGTATATCCCCAAATGTCGGTATTGTGCGTTGATGGTATGGCCGGCGGTCTGAAGCATAGCTTCAAACATGGGCGCCGTGCTATGCCACCAAAGCTTCTGGTCGTCATTCGGGAAATCAAAGATAAGACTGAGTGTGTCATAGACACTGTGGCCGATTCTTTCGTCAATTTCCATCATAAAGCAAGGTGTATTTGAGAAGAGAATTGCACTTATTCGAGGCGGAAGGTTGAAACTTGACCCTGATTGCAACGCTCACAGGGACAAACCAGCATAATATTTGCAGAGCTGACACTCGTTCCTAGGACGATGAAATGACCGTATGGTCTCGTGTTTAATACGGATGTATTTGGACTATTTTATGATGACGTCAAATTGTTGATATTGACAACAGTTATGCGGATCGGGGAGCTGACTCGGGTTGCATTGGATAATAAACCTGGTGCAGCTGAGTAAAACTTCTTAGTCTCCGGAACTCCAGCTGCGATCTGGCCGGCCACAGAACTCCCGAGCATACAGTTTATACACCATGCTGAAATGATTACTGCAGCTACTTGCCGAGTGGTTGCAAATAGAGTCCATCTGCTGGATACGTTCCCGTGGCGTATTTCCGCGGAGCGGATATTTGCACGGAGGTCAGTTTGCTCCCAATGTACATAAAATTTGACCTTTCCGAAATAGCAAAAGGCTGCTGTATTCGAACATTATGTCCGGGACGACAATTGGTATGTCCAGCTTAAAACCTCAAGCGCAATGCCTGACTGCAGAAGCGACTCCAAGCTTATCCGTCTTCAGAATCAGCTCGTCTCGGATGGTTTGCTTTGTCGGATTTGCCGTTTGTCCTAGAGGCAATCATACAGTTTGACGTGATGTGCAAGGCTGTAGATAATACAATTACCCTCAATGACGCCTGAAAGTCTAGGAAACCCGTATAAGCACAATCTTACAGGGTTGTAAGTTGCATGTTTCCAGAGCCTAGACTGGATTTCGGTCGGGCTGACCGCGCCTTAGGTGTCGCAAATAATATCAGCTCTGGATTGATTTCGTAGATAAATATCAACCAATTCAACAGTAAACCCAATGCTGTTGCAACCAAAGTGGTTCTTGACAAAAAGAAACTAGGGCGCTCGACAAAGTTGTTCTGCAGCACCAGCCGCGTCTTAAGGAACATTCTGTCGGAGACCTTGCTCATCAGTGTCGAATTGCCGGCGATGGAAGCAACGCAACACGAAGAAGTTATAGTTCATTTCAGAGAGTCTACAGGACCAACAAGTTCCCCAAGACTGACGAGTTGGAAATATTCTTGAAGTGACTCAAATGTCAACTTAGTGAGCTGATATTTACATATAATAGTACTTTTTCGTCGTAATATCATGCCAAAATAATTCAAGGCATCTATCTACTGGCTTCTACTGTCGTCACAACTTATTTCGCCAAGCTCATAATTGCTTCATTTGTTTTCCGTCTCTCAAGCAGAAAAATGACGGTTCTACTAACTGGAGGACGTGGCAAGACGGCCAGCCACATTGCTGCTCTCCTCGATGCGGCTAACTTGCCTTTCATCATAGCGTCTCGCTCCTGCAGTCCTGACTCGAAGTATCGACAATTGCGCTTCGATTGGCTAGATAATACAACCTATGACAATGTCCTATCTCCCAAAGATGGGATGCAGCCAATTTCAGCTGTTTGGCTAGTTCCTCCTCCGATAGCCGACTTGGCTCCGCCTGTCAACGACTTCATCGATCATGCCCGCCTCAAAGATGTCAAGAGATTCGTGCTGCTAAGCGCAAGCATGTTAGAACGAGGCGCTCCTGCTATGGGACAGATTCATGAGCACCTGGCTTCCATGGAGGGAATCAGTTACACCGTATTAAGGCCAACATGGTTCATGGGTATGATCTAGCCCACTTGATCTTTTTTTTTTTTTTGCGCGTGCATGTCGCACTAAGTCATGTTATTTGAATTGCAGAAAATTTCTCCTCTCCACATGAATTCCAGTGCAAGGCAATTAGGAAGGAAGACAAGATATACTCGGCAGCGGAAAATGGCAAAGTCCCATTCATCTCGGTGGTCGACATTGCCCGAGTCGCATTTCGTGCACTGAAGGGAGATCTGGAAGAATATACTGACCCTATTCTTCTCGGACCTGAGCTGCTCACTTACGATGATGTAAGTGCATGCAAAAGCCTCTGAGATGCATCCCCAGGTACTAACAAACGAGTCGAGGTCGCCGAGACTCTTTCGAAGCTGCTGAATAGAAAGATAAACCATGTCAGACTCGGAGAATCGGCGCTCGCCGAGAAAATGCACGAGTATGGTATGCCGCTCGAGGATGCACAGATGCACGCTTCAATGGACTTGATAGTCAAGGCAGGCGGGGAAGAAAAACTCAATAAGACAGTACTTGAACTGACTGGTACAATGCCTCGTACATTCCAAGAATTTGCTTCAGGGGAGAAGGATATCTGGCTACTGAAGATTTGATTAAATGAATGAAGAATTAGCTTAATTTCAGGTCATAAATTGCAACATCGCACTTCTCACTTGTCCAAGCCGTTCCATCTTTCAGTCCAGCCGCCGCGAATAACTCCCTACGCTCCGAGGCGTCGTACTTGTAGCTACACCCGAAACGAACTTTTTCGTCCTTTCTGACGACTATGTCATTCAGCAAGGGTCCCAACTTGATGTCCTTTGAACGTGGAATCAGTGACGCCTCATGTCTTCCCAGGGCAAAGTTCCATTGACTGAGATAGTACCAGTCCTCTGGGTCCAGGTTGCAAGACGACTGTCGGCCGTTGACTCCATTCTTAGACTTCCCCTGGAAAAGCGTGTTCGCATAGGTGAGAGCCTGCAATGCAAATGGCACAACTCCGTCGCTCGTGTACGCCCTCAAAACCTGAGTTGGCACCTTGCAGCTGTCTAGGCTCATGAGGATGGCGCTTTGAGCTCTTGACTTGCCTTGCAAAGCATTCTTTGCAATGTTGTGCAAAAACGTTGCGGCATTCTGCCGTGAGAAATTACCAATTGTGAGCCCGAGCAGCAGTACGCAGTGTGGCAAGTCGCAAATTCCCGGTGTCTCATTAATCCAACGCAGCCCGTCTTCAAATGTCCCATACAGTCCAGTGAAACGGACATGGCGGAATTTGTTGGTTGGAATAGAGTTGAGCGTGGAGGCTAGCTGTGAAGCGCTGAGATCAAGCGCAAAATAAGCCACGTTTTTATGCTGAGCTTCTAGAGCTTCGAGAAGGTACGTCACTTTTTCGAGATTTCTTGACATTTATTGCCTGTAAGTGTTGTTCCGTATCGAGAGAAAATATCGGATTCACTTACGCGCTACCGAGATCCAGGATGACACTATTTTCCGCAATAGACCTTGCCATGTCATCTCCTCTTTCCCTTAAAATTTGAATTTCTTGTTGCCGGGGATAGAAATCAGGCTGGCGAGAATGATGATTCCAGTGCTCCAGACCTTCATTCGTATAGAAGAGTTGAGCAGGAAGGGTTTTTGGGCCGTTGATGAAGCCTTTCAATACCTGGTCGGTAAGTGAGTCTTCAAAATGAGAGGAACGAATATCAATGACTCGAGGAGCAGCCATGGTGTACGTGCAAGCAGGATTCGGATATACTTAATTAAAGTTGGCAAATTCGAACGCTGCGGTATGGGGGAGGTTAGATATAAATAGCTTGGGTGTATTGGTGATAAAAGTTTTTCAACATTTCCCTCGTCATACCCGCACATTGTGGATTCGGACTTGATATCCCAAATCGGTGCTCTCTTGGGACGAAATCCGAGAGATATTTCGGTGATGTTCTATATTTTCAAGATGAATCTATTATATCTATCTGCTGTATCAAAGGAGAAAATTATCCAGTGTCCATCTCCCCGAGAGTCGGAGCAGCTCAATAACCCGAGCCACGAGGCCACGAGACCTTCTGCACATTCCTTCCGTATCCCAAGCTTCACTTCCTACCCCAAGTCTAGTGATGAATAATTCGTCCGGGTCCCATCTTGCTTTAATAGAGGCGAGGCGCTTGTAGTTTGTGCCCCAGTATCTGTTCTGAAAGTCCTTCTCCGAGGGATCACCCAAATTACGATACGATACCTTATTATTGGGTTCCAGTGAGTACAGAATGGGCATATCATGTGAGTGAAGGGTTTCTAATGCGGCCAGCTTCCCCTGGTTTGACGGTTCGACCGCTCGTACCAAAGTGACCAATTGGGCTGCAGAGCGCCAATTTGGATGAAGGGGGATATCGATATCGCTGTTATCCATAACACGACCACCAAGATTACTAGTGAAAAGAATATCATTTGGCCCCAGTTTCAAGTTGGACAAGTTCTTTGCAATCAGAGGTGGACCATTGGCAGAATTGAAAAGTCCATCAGAGATCAGGACGGACCCTTGTACAATCCCGTACTGCGGTGGATAAATATCTGGCCTAAGTCGGACCTCGGAACTTGCCTTTTTCTGCACCCGAGTAGCCAAGTTTGTCGAAATTTGATGATTCCCCAGAGGCCTGATTTGTGACTTGAGCAATTCATTCACGTATGATTCGTCGGTCGTGTTCGCAAAGTGGAATTCCAAGGTGGCCTGGACTGAACCTTGGTTCGGACCCATTACGACGATCTGACCGGGAAAGCCTTGCTGGTTGAAAAACCGCAAGAGGCGTAGAAGCTCACTGACTCCTTCAGTCCAAAATTGTCTGTTTGTGAGAGACGTCGAGATGCTAATGGCGGCGACCGTGATAGGATCATCAGGATACACGCGAACTGTAGCTTGAGCAACAACCCCAAAGGTACCTCCGCCTCCTCCTTTCAAAGCCCAGAATAAGTCTTGATTCTGGTTTTCGTTTGCTGAAACCAGCTCACCCTGTGAATTCTTGTTAGCATCACAGTGACTAAATGGAGAAGATGAAAGGCGAGACACGGGGGAAAACGCATACATCGGCAGTCACCACTTGATATTCCAAGACGTTGTCCACTGCAAGGCCTTTTGTGAAGCTGTGGAAGCTCGACACGCCGCCGCCTTGCAAGAATCCGCCCACAGCACCAACAGTTGGACATTCGCCTCCAACAATGGTGTAGTCGTTCTTCACACCATCGCTATACACTTCCCAATGCATGACTCCAGCACCCAACGTAACCGCCGGCCCGGAGCCTTTAGCAGCGGAACCTTGAGAAACAAAGTTGTCATGATAGGTGATTCCTTTGAGCAGATTGGTATGTATTTGGAATGAGTCGGGAGAACTCGACCGTCCAGCGCAGTCATGGCCACTATTCTTAACCACAAGACGAAGACTGTGCTTTTTGGCGAATCTGACGGCAGACTGAATCTGAGCAATAGATTGAACCGTTACCGAATACAGAGGAAGTCTGCCTTGGTGACATGCCGATTGTTGAGATTCCCCGCGGGACGTCACAACATGGCAAACCTCCTCAACGAGACCATTGCTCTCCCATACCCAGTCTTGTAGTGTTGCTTCATGCCAGGGAATGAGCTCATTAGCTTTCTTGCACTCCATCACTGTATGGGGAATCGGGAGGGACTCACCAGGGTTAGAGGCTCGCCATCCGCTGTCGCGTGCCAGGCTTGACAAATCCGTACAAGCAGCAGCGTCATACTCTGGGCCATGACATACAGAGGCCACGGGTCGAATCCTGGCCAGGTTTCCTCCTATCGACTTGTTGAAGACGTCCCATTGATCTGCACTCGGCCAGCATGGTTCTGAGGGTCGGCATCGGCATTGGTGCTGGTTCGGCTGCGCCCGAAAGACTGCAACGCCCAGAGCCAAGGCGGCTATGGGTGCGAATAGATGAAACATCAACGTCTAATCAGTATGTTACCTGTAGTAAGCAACATGCGATCATGAAGTGTGAGTAGTTGTGTGGTGAGGGTAGGGTATTTTGCCTTGCCAAGGTCCAGACGCGCTTTGTGAAAGTTCTTGAACACGTCATAGAATATAGATCCGGGAATGAAAATAGACGTCGCAGTTGTGGCGTAACCGTGTAGCCAAATAGTAGTCATGAAGAAAAGAAAAGAAACTGGTAGATAGTAGTGTGTAATAGCAGCTTTCTCATTACCCGTAATCCGACAATGACTAAAATGGTGATTTCTTGCCTAAAAAATATTGTATAAATGGTATGTCGATTGCGACAAGTTGCTATGCTTACCTTTTGGTTCGTAAATTCTGATTGCTAAGAACTTTTGCGTTTTTTAGACATCCGTAACGATGTTCCATGGTCATTTCTAGCTGCACTTCCGCCACTCGCTACAATCAAGGACTCATATTGTCCGATGACTAAAGAAAACGTTAATGAGAAAGGACAGGTGTTTGCACAAAATGACAGCACTGATACTTGTCGAAGGATTGCGCACAGAATATTTGAGTGTGACGTGCATAAAAAATGGCTCGCTGAGTTTAAGCTTATTTTTTTTTTTTTTTTTGGAATGGATACGAAGCCCTGGCGCTATATACATACACTCCCCCCGGCCTGATGTTCGAAAAGTCGGCAAAGTCCTTATACGCCTTCCCTCTCAGCACTCAGCTCTACCTGATGATTCAGGCTTAAGCGCTTCGAGCCGAGTAAGCGCACTTATAAAATATGTAGTCGCTGACGGGTCACGTTGCTGTTCTGTGTGCCACATTCGTTGATTTTTATCAACGGGATGGGGCCAACACCCGCCACAACCACGTCGGGTGGAGTGAACAGGAATAGTAGTTGCGAGTAGTTGTGACGTTGAAACTCTCTGAAAACTGGCGGCCGGCAGCAACTTCCGGTCATGATGGTGAGCTATAGTTGCTGAAAATGGGCAAAGCTTTCCTTTATCAGTGGCTATGAATCGGTAGAAAATATAGCCTGAGCCCTCTTAGTTTCGAACCTGTACAGCCCCCTATATCACGTTTTCCCACATCATGGCATCCCTAACTGCCAAGATATTCGCCATCACAGGTGGCGCCTCCGGCATTGGTGCCGCGACCTGTCGATTGCTGGCTGCACGCGGAGCTGGCGTCATCTGCGTCGCCGATGTGTCCAGCACCAACTTCGACTCTCTGCAGAAGTCCATTGCGGGAATCAACGCGCTCACTTTGGTCCAATGCACTGTACTGGATGTCACCTCTTCGGGAGATGTCAACCAGTGGCTGAGAGACATTGTCTCCTCCCATGGCAACCTGCATGGCGCTGCCAATATTGCTGGCGTCGCACAGGGAGCCGGTTTGCGCACGACGCCAACCATCCTCGCAGAGACAGATGCAGATTGGAGTCGCATTCTCAAAGTCAACCTTGACGGCGTCTTTTACTGCACGCGCGCCCAAGTCGGGGCGATGAAGGACTTGCCGCATGGGAACCGCAGCATCGTCAACGTGGCCAGCATCGCGGCCTTTTCTCACATGCCCGACGTCTATGCCTACAGCACATCCAAGCAGGCATGTGCGCATTTCACTGCATGCGTCGCTGCTGATGTGTTTCCCCTGGGCATTCGGGTGAATTGTGTCTCGCCAGGTAAACCCGAAGCCCCTTGTCACTTTTGACCAGGTCGCCCACATCTAACGGGAAACAGGAATCACAAACACGCCGCTATTGCCCCAGTTCGAGCCTAACGCAAAGTCCCTGGACGAAATCCAGGCCTTGTACGCCAGCCAAGGCCTTACAATGTGTGGAGCTGATGAAGTGGCGCGGACGATTGTGTGGTTGCTCAGCGAAGACTCTCACCCGGTCTATGGAGCCAACATCAATGTCGGCGCAGGCGTTCCGTAGTGTATGACACTTCCTAGATAACTAATAGTTTACAGCCGGAATACATGAAGTCTTTGATGAATTCATCCGCTGGACAAGAATGCACATTCTCTCAATCGCCGTGATATCAAAGTCCGGCGGTAGACAGACAGAGCGACGTTCACAAATGGATTATTGAACCCCTGTTTGCACATGTCTTTTTATTTTAGACAGCGTACCTTGTGTAAACTGGTCGATTGAGAAACCCAAGATTTTCTCAATCAAGGCTTATGACGCTAACCGCCTCCAATTTGCCGCTGGTTCGAAATATATCTCATCCATCCCCCAAAAGCCCCAGAAACAGAGCATTGGGGTGGCTCCTGTGCGTTTGATAAACCTCGGATTTGCTCTCAACTCACCATTCCTTTTCAAGTTTCCTGGTCGCGGCTGCATACGTCACCCATGGCTCACAACTCTTCTACTGAGACCAACGGGTCTCACGACGCGAGTCTCAAGGACAATCGAGGTCCTCAGAGGAATCCGGGTCTGAACTATAATCTGCTCGATAAGCTGGCGCAATTCAATCGCGAAAAGATTCCTGAAAGAGCAGTCCATGCCCGGGGCGCAGGCGCGTATGGAGAGTTTGAGGTAAGCAACACATGGCAACATGCGACATTGAATGGTTTGAGCGGCTTTCTGACATTCTTCCTCAACCATTTAGGTCACAGATGACATCTCCGACATTTGCGATGTCGACATGCTTCTTGGGGTCGGCAAGAAGACACCATGTGTTGTTCGTTTCTCAACAACGGCTCTGGAACGAGGCTCCGCAGAGGCAGTCAGAGACGTCAAAGGGCTGGCCGTCAAGTTCTTCACTCAGCAAGGAAACTGGGACTGGGTTTGCTTGAATATTCCCATGTTTTTCATTCGCGATCCGATCAAGTTTCCCGATCTTGTCCACGCTCAACGACCCGACCCCAAGACGAACCTCACAAACCCGAGCAACTGGTGGGAATTCGTCTGCAACAATCACGAGACTCTGCACATGGTTATGTTCCAGTTCAGCGATTTCGGAACCATGTTCGACTACCGCAGCATGAGCGGCTACGTGGGTCACGCGTACAAATGGGTCAAACCGGACGGTTCATGGAAATACGTCCACTGGTTCCTGTCATCCGACCAAGGTCCCAACTTCGAGCAGGGCAGCCAGACCAAAGAACTGGCTCCCAACGACCAAGAAAGCGCGACGAGAGATCTAAACGAGAGTCTTGAACGTGGTGAATGTCCTAGCTGGACAGCCAACGTGCAGGTTATTGACCCAGAAGATGCTCACAAGCTGTCGTTCAATATCCTAGACGTGACAAAGCACTGGAACCTAGGCAACTACCCGCCCGACATCCCCGTCATCCCGTCAAGGCGTTTCGGCAAGTTGACCTTGAGGCAAGGCCCAAAGGACTACTTCCAGGAGATTGAGCAGCTAGCTTTTTCGCCTTCGCATCTCGTCCCTGGCGTCGAGCCCTCGGAAGATCCCATGCTGCAGGCACGTCTTTTTGCCTATCCGGACGCGCAGAGGCATCGACTGGGTCCGCATAATCTCGAGATGCCGGCGAACAAGCCCAGACAGGCTGTGGACGACGCCAAGGCCAAGGACGCGGTTCGTCCAGAACCAAAGAGCCAGGAACACTCGGCATGGGTTTCTGAAACGACCTCGAGCGAATGGTCGCAGCCAAATGAGCTGGACTACAAGTTCCCCAGGGAATTCTGGAAGTCTCTGCCACGCTTGCGAAGCGAAGAGTTTCAGAATAACGTGGTTGTCAACATTGCCGAGTCTGTGTCGCGGACACCTACTGCTCTGAGACGGAAAGTATACCGTACCCTGGGCTTAGTTGCCTCGGACCTAGCCGAGAGGGTTGAGAAAATGACGGAAGAGTTGGTGATGGAAACCGAAAAAAAAGCTAAACTGTAATTGTCTTCCTGGCAGCTTTTCTGCCCTTGGCAGTTTACCACTCTTGCAGGTCAATTATGGAGAGAATTATGGGTGTACAGCATTTCATTTTTGTCAATCTCAATTCATTTTCTAAAATTCATACCATTATGTTAACACAAAGATCTAGTTTGCATGTACAGGTTGCGCCGTTATTCCATGTATTCTTTATGACTGCGTAGGAATGCTACGTTTAGCCAGTTTCAGTTGCGCTCTATAAGGGGTCCAAACGCTATTTGTTGAACATAGACGTATTATAAAATCCGTTTGTCGAAATTGAATGAGACAAAAGAAGAGCAGGCCCGACGATAAGGTTCCTGCGTGGCAACTATGGCCGGGCGAATGGAAATTTGCAAACATCAGACTGGCCAGGCCTCGAAGCTCCGGGCCGGGAAGAGCGGAGTCTACAACCTTCGGCGAAGCCCGTGATGCATATAAAGTAATTTTCACTCTTCCGTTATCCGCCTTCTTCCTGGCAAGCCTGAGATTTCTCGGGGTCAGCGGAGCTTGTCCATCCACATATGATGTGCCGGTTTAAATCGAGGCACGTAAGAAATTATTTGTCGCTTATGTTAGGCAATTCAGACTGTTAAAGTGTGACGAAATGGTCTTTTGAGCTGTGACCACTGGACCTTCGTCTGGATGAAGCAAGCATGGAAAGCATTGGTCGGGAAAGCGGAGCTTTGCCTGTGTGCTGCATTACAAAGAAATAACACAGGCGATCAAGTGCCAGCGGTGGGCTCATTTGTGACTTTGCTTATTTTAAATGATGAACGAGGCCGTCCATAAGCCTCTAATTAGTTTTCTCTAATGTTTTCTCCGATAACTGGTTAATGAGATTATGGTTTGAGTTATTGACGTGTAAATACATCGTGATAGCTGCCGCCGACCTCCCAGCAGCCTCAGTCAACCCGGTAAAACAAGCACCAAATTCAACAACTACCATAGACCTAATAGCAGCAGGAATCAACTCCGTCATTTTACTCACCTGCCCGGCCCTCGCCGCTTTCCCAGCTCCGGGGTTAATATCTTGTTGGCATCAGCGTCTTGTACTCATAAGCAGAATAGTACGTGCTTCGGGGAATATCATTTGGGAGGCTGGGATTCTCTGATGAAGAACCACCTGTACGGCCCACTGTACTCACCATATCCCTTCCTCTTTCATCTTCCTCTTTCCTCTCCTTTCCATTCTTAAAAACCAACAGCTAGCTCACACTTTGATAAAGTTTTCACTGCTTAATTGTCTAACGAGCCACTCATGGAGAACAATTTTACGACAGCATCTACTGTCTCCATCAGTGAGAGCGGCCTGATATGGCAGCGGCTGTCTCAGCTTCAACAAGCCTCATGGGCTTTGATCATATTCACCACATGTGTCGCTGTGCTTCTCCCTGCCGTTATTACCGGCGTCTATAGATTATATTTCCACCCTCTACGAAACGTTCCAGGACCCAAACTCGCAGCCTTGACGAACTTTTATGCATTCTACTGGAACTGGATACGAGATGAAGGATACTCCAGGCGCTTCAGCGCTTTACACAAGTATTACAGTAAGATTCTCTCTCTTCCAGCCACACGCATTATCCAAGTGTACTCAAAAGTATCAGATTCTCCCATCATTCGCATTGGCCCAAACTCTGTGCACACAAACCAGCCGGATGATTTTGATGTGTAAGGAAGCAGTCGAGACCTCAATCTACTGACAGATTTAGACGCTGATTCAAACAGAATATTCAAAGTTGGGTCGAAATGGAAAAAGGACAACTCATTTTACAAGTACTTTAATGGTTTGGACGCCATGATTGATCCAGCGCAGTACCGTACCTATCGCTCGCATCTGGCGCCATTATATGCACAACGAGCAGTCAATGACTTGGCACCAAAGCTTCACAAAGACCTGCTGTCATCTGCTGCGAAAATGGAGAAGAGCATGAAAACTAGCGAGGCGGTGAACATGGTAAAGGTCTTGCGAACATTGAGCGTGAGTTGCAAGCCAAGTAATCGCACCGAATACAATATCCACAGACACCATCTGATAGTAGCTTGCTAGACTTCTATGATTCTCCACAATCTGTATTCCCATGACATCTCGCTCATCGAATATGACGGATACCATCCTTTTCTGGAAGCATTTGAGCAGCTCATGACCCAAAGTTGGCTGTGTAAGATTTGTCAACCCTCCATCATTCACAGTTCTAGCTGACCGAGGATCTTCGCTTGGTTTCTCATTCTGCAGTCGTCAGCTATCCCCTGCCAGCCATGTTATTAGGGTTCATCCCGGGGACTAGTTTCGCAAAGTTCAACTCCTCATACACGACTTTTATGAAGGTGTGTCAACGCCCGAGAGGGATTAGATACGATGAGGAAAATCACTAACGGCTCCGCATATAGTATTGTAAAGGCTGGAACGACGAAGATATGCGCATACAACGGTTGACGGAGAACCAGGAATTGCGCGATTCCCATATGAAGCGTTACCTTGCAATGAATAGCAATGATTGGGCAAAGGACAACGTTGTGCCGAATCCTTTGAATGACATTTTTAATTTTGTTGCAGGCGGTAGCGACACGACTTCATATACGCTCGCTTGTGCATTCTTCTACATCCTCTCGTCGCCAGAGATTTACGCCAAGCTCGTCAAAGAGTTGGATGAAAATGTCGCATTTATACGGGATACATTTGATTACAACAAGATTCAAAACCTTTCATATCTGGTACGTATCGAAAATCATGCTTTTCTTTTCCAACCCTACTTCACGTCGTTGAACCAAGTTGGAATTGAACGAGCTAACCACATGATATAGAACGCCGTCATTAAGGAGACTCTTCGTATTTCTGTCCCAGTTCCAGGTTGTTTGCCCCGAATTGTGCCTGAGAGTGGCACGACTCTAGGTTCTGTTTACCTTCCTGCTGGTGTGAGTTTTTATTTATCCCATCCTTCGTTTTGCCCCCTGGGCTCCAACAGTGCGCTGATGATGACCTTGCAATCAGACGGCTGTTTCCATTTCTCAGCAATCCATCAGCTTTCACGAGACAATTTTTCCCTCTCCAGAAAAGTTTATTCCCGAGAGATGGCTTGGAAATGAAGCGCAGCGACTAGACAAGTGGAATGTTGCCTTTAGCAGAGGTCCTCGCCAATGTATTGGTACAAGGTAAGCCATTCAATCTGGCATTAGGTGTTGTTACACAAAAGAGGAGCTTGTCTGACGTCGTCTTGATTTGTAGTCTGGCGTATCTCGAGCTGCGCTGTGTTCTCGCTTATTTCCTTTCTCGCTTTGAAATGGCGCTGACAGGCAACTGCGGTGATCGCCTTCGCTGGGTTGATCGCTTCGTCGCCGTGAACCTTGATGATGTCGAGGTCAAGTTACTTCGAGATCGGTGGAACTAACTCAGAACTAATAGAAGCGTTGGAGCTGGTGTCAATGACTCGCTGTGGAGGATGGTGTGGCTATCCCCTAAAATTGTGGCATAAAGCAATTGACTTGGGTAATGCTCGGGCTGGCTAAGGTAGAACAGAGAAGTTTCCATTTGGCATATTAATGGAATTCTAAAATAGAAGATTTTATTTGTTACACAGGAGACACCTATAGTTTTTAGATTATTATTTTGGTTATTGAATGCTTGATTCTCTTTACGCATTGGTAATAGCCTTCCAGAGTACTTATTATACACCGTTGCTGCCGAACAATCATGGAACTATCTCCTGACCAAGTGTATATGTTCTGATTACCGACAAGGTCAAAATAGACCAAGTTTTCGTTACGACGGCCTGTTATACGCGTATTTCATCGGAGATATAAGGGGGTATAATTGCTGTTCCATTAGAGCGCGTCCTTTTTGTGATAGCAAACGTTGCCAGCCACTAATATCTGAAACAAGTACATAAAGACCTGAATAGGCAAATTATAGAATTTCTTTTAGTCTCAAACAAATATGCAGCGTTTATATGTATTTCGTCTTTCTAGATTATGCGGCCGTTGCACTCAACAAGTCTCGGCATTAGAATCGACTTGCACTAGCAACCAAATACTAAGCGGAGCCGACCTGCCTCCATATAACCGTCTCAATCGAGTTATTCTTTGCAAATAGCCCCAACAACTTTTCGTCTATTGTACCTAAAACATGCAACGAGGTCAAATAGAAGCGATAGGAAGTTAGTTATTTATGTACTATTAACTCAACTAGCATAACTAAATCAGGCATGTGAAAACACAATCATCCAGTATTCAGTTCATGTTCCGTGAATAATCAATTCATAGGAAATAACTAGGAAGCTAGAAATTCTGTATATTTACGCAATAGTTCAAGTGCTAGCTGATGGAAAGTAGTAACTTGATGCAATCCAGGCTTCAGTTCCTTGAAACCTACGGATCGAAAGCCTTCGCTCAATATAACACTAGAAAATTCCTTGTTTGGTCATTCCTTGCGACTCTTGTCGAGGATATTAAGGACGTCTCCGACAACGCTAGTAGGGGTTTGGCGTACCGAGCGCAAGGCCTTCCCAAAATCGACCAAAATCTGCTGCATCTTGATCTCGTGTACCACGTTCTCATCGTAAAGTGCCGTGACCTCTAGCCTCTCTGCTTCTAGCTCACAAAACAAGTTGATGGCATAAGTTGCGTCGGCTCGGTAATTGGCATCCGACTTGGGTATTTGTAAAAAGTCGTCGGTATCCCAGTCCGCAGCGGGCTGCATGACCAGCAACGTTTGAAAAGAACAAGCATGGGCGGGGTATTCCCCCAATCTGCTAATGTTCGAAAGTCCAAATTGCTCGTATGGGATGCCCTCAGTCGCGGCGTTCTGGATCCTGTGAAGCATATCTCCCACGACGCTGTCGGTATCTAGGGTTACCCTGCACGGAATAGTTGCCACCGTTGGAATTGTCATCAGGTCAATGTTATCAACTGGTGCGTTTCTGCCGGATACCACAGTCCCGAAGAATACATCGGAAATTTTTTGATGGTGGGATTGTGTGATGGCCCACGCAAGCCTCACGTAAGTGTTTGGTGTATATTGTTTTGCGCTTGGACTGGAGACGGGCGCGGCGTATATCGCCGTTGAGTTTGGCAAGGGATGATATGCCTTGGAAGGCAAAGCTGGGAATACAGGGGCCTTGAGATCCTTCAGTACTGGGATCCAGTAGTCGGCGCAATTTGGAAGTGATGCCAGATAGCGGATGAATGGACTGACTGGTCGAGGGTCAAGCACACCTCCTTCGTAAGCTGTCCTCAACTGCATAATGATCAGGGGTAAGGTGTATCCGTCGTAGATGGAATGATGCATCATAAGGACTAGTTTTGCTGGGTTTTGCTCCCTTGGCGCAGGACGACAAAGCACCAGTTGCACCAAGGGTTTGCCAATAGCGACATCCAAGTCTTCGCACTCAGCATTCTCCGAGACTGTCCACGGGATATTGTCTCGTACAACAGTCTGTAATAAGCCATAAGAAGCGGATAGGATCATTCGTGTGCGTAGGATAGGATTGGCTTTGGCCACATCACTCCATGCTTGTTCTAACCGGCTAATATCAATGTGAGAACGCAACGGTAGTTGGAGCTTGGCAATAAATGCACTTGGATCACGCATAGTCTCCGAGATCAGGCCTTTCTGGAGTGAGGTGCATGGATAAATGTCTTCAATGGCCCTCCTTGGAAGATGGCACTGCTGAGCTGCTGCCCTGATGACGTCTTGTTTTTTGTCGATCAGCGCAAATGGTTGCAGCTTCTCGTCGTCCTCATTCTTGGTAGTTTTTATCAATTTCGCCAGGTCAGACAGCTGAGGGCTATTGAAAACGTTTTTGACTGTGAGTCTGTAGTTGTCCCTTCGAGCCATTGAGACTAGTTTCATGGCCGTGAGAGAATCCCCGCCAAGTGAGAAGAAATGATCATCAGCCCAGACTTGCTCTAGCGGCAGGTCTAATACCTCTCCAAAGTATTTTTGCAAAGCCTTTTCAACGTTAGTAGTCGGAGCGAGGTATGATCGCACAGTGGACTGATATCTTTCCAGTTGCTCTCGTGGTAGTTCGGCGGCGAGCTGGCGCAAAATCTTGCGGTTAACTTTGTCTGTGCCAGTTAGTGGAATGACGGCCAATGGAATGATTGCCGAGGGGACCATGTAGGAAGGTAAAGAGTTCTGCAATTTCGATAGTGTGGCTGGAACTTGAGAGCGAAACTCGTCAGTTGGTTCGGCAAATATGGTAGTTAAAGCGGCTTCACGGCCTCCGGTTAGGCTATCTGAGCTGGAATTATCTTCAGGCCGCACAAAGGCCATCAGCATCGGAGGCCGCGATGAGTCAGGCATTGTGATAAGCTCTGCAAGAACGAATCTTGCCCTCGGAAGGGCTAGCTTGAGATGGTGCTCGACCTCGCCAAGCTCGATGCGCTGGCCGCGAAGCTTGATTTGCGTGTTTTTACGGCAGATGAATTGAAGAGATCCATTGGCAGCGTAACGAACTAGATCACCGCTTTTGTATATTTTCACGCTCTGGTTGCAGTTGTTTCCGCGCAGTTTCCGTAGCCAACCAGGAGGCGGAATAAACGTCTCTGATGTTTGTACGGGATCATCTAGATAGCCGCGTCCCACGATTTCTCCTTCGACCATCAACTCTCCGATTGCGCCGATGGCTTGCAGTCTATCATGGTTTTCTGGGTCTACCACCCAGCAAGCACTTCCGGTTTCGTGGTTTATCGTCTTGAGATGGGATGAAGTTCCTGTAATGCACTGAATTGACATCATAGAACACTCAGTCGCTCCATAAAGATGGACCACACGAACATGGTCTACCCACTTGGAGAATTCGCTTGTTACCAATTTCTCACCACCGAGAGTTAAAGTTTGCAGTGTTGGAAAGTCTGCAGGATCTAATATTCGTGCAACTGTTGGAGTTAGACTCATATGGGTGGCTCGAAAGTGCTGGATTGCGTGTGCCAAATCGTTGGACCTCTCCGTATCCGAGGGCACGCATACACAACCACCAACAGTCAAAGTCATGAGAGTGTCGAAAATCGTGACGTCGAATGCATACGAAGCGAATTGGAAAACCCGTGATTCTTGATTGAGTCCAAGAGATTTGATGTATGTCGGCATAGCTGCAAGGAACGACGTGTGCTCGCTGACCACCCCTTTTGGCGTACCAGTCGAACCTGACGTAAATACAGCATATAGAGCCGTTCCGGGAGTCACCAAAGAGTCAGATTTTTGGAAGTCTTCCACATGCCAGTTCCTTTTTGCATCATCGTCTCCTAGTTCGACAATTAAAGGCGCCAGACTCGCCGCTAGTTTGACATGTTGAGTTGAACAAACAATTAGCTTGGCCGAAACTTTGTTGCAGATGTCGAGGAGTCTCTTATGCGGGTGCGACGGATCGAGTAGTACGAACGCGCCGCCAGCTTTCATCACCCCAAGTATGGCGACGATAGCCCATCGGGACTTCTCAAAGCAAACAGGTACAAACACCTCTGGGCAAATACCAAGTGCTGTCAGATGTTGAGCTAGGCTAGAGGATGCCTCGTCCAACCCCTTATAGCTAAGCTCACCGTCCCATGCGGATACTGCCAACGCCGACGGACTCAGTTGGCAGCGCTCACCAATCAGTTCATCAACGCGATAGCCCGGGTGATGGGCCAGTTTTGCATTCCATGAGTAAATTTGTGACTTGTCCACAGCACTTAGGAGCGAAATGTCGTCAATTTGGTCTTTATGGTTGATGATTTCGGTTATCGCTTGGTCAAGGGTATTTATGACACTGATCGCTTGGTTCTCTTGTAGAAGTGATGTCTGATACCTCACAGTTACTCTAGCGACATTTTCCTTCACTTCGAAAATGACAACAATACCAAACTGCAGAATTTTGTCAGTGCCCGGGTATTTTCACCTTGCATATTGGAAGGGGGGTTTCTTACCAGATCAAGGCCAGTCGAGCCTCTTTCTATAATATCGCTCTCTCCCTGTTGTATTCTCTCCTGATTCGGAGACAAGACACATGTGTTGAAGTAAGATGTGATCAAATCCCCTGTTTCCAGCGATAATTGGGAAACAGGGACATCTGAGGTCAGCCGTTTTTCAGCACACGCTGTTTGAAGAGTCTGAAGGATCCTCAAAATCGATGTGTCCGAAGTGAAATCAATACGGCAGGCGTTTATGTTCCTTGTTGCTCTCCCAAAACATACAGTATCCTGTCCAGTATATGCCCGGAGAACCAGACTCCAAGCTGCGCAGAACACCGCGACGACATCATTATTGCTATGCTCGTTTGCGAAAGATTGCAGTCTGTCGTGGCTATCTTTCAAAGTGGTTGAAACTGACGCCAAGCCTGGCTTGCTAGTTTCGGCATCGACTAACTCTGGGAAGCTACATGGGCTGTAGCCTTCAAGATAGGTTTTCCAGGCCGTGAAGCTCGCCATTTCAGGTCCCGTCCGGGTCATAGGCGATTGGGTAGCAAGGAGTTCGTACAATGAATAATGGGTTTAGCTGCAAATCCAACTTCTGAGGCTTTTTTATCCACAGCACCCTGGTGAAAGCAAAGAGCTTTCCCATTGTCACTGGTATAAGTAGAAGATTGGACCTTTGTGCCCAGCATGACTAGGTGGGGAAGCGTTTTGAGTTGACGGCGAAGCCGAGATCAATCTACGAAATAATCTTCTTTTTTTATACTGTTATTTTGAATGTAAGTTGAGGTGTGTAAAACTACTAGAACAGGAATTCTCACTGAAATATGACGATACTCATGGTTATAAATGCCCGCGGGCTAGGTCATCACAGAGAATCTTCCTTCGAGAAAGCAGGACAAGGTTTATTTATAGTTAGCTAGTCGCCTCGACAGAGCCCGACTAAGCTCACTCGATACTATCTCATCATGTCTACCTCGAACCTCTTCAAGTCCATTGCCTTCGGAAAAGGAGTCCTCCAACACAAGATAGTGCTCTCGCCTATGACGCGCTTTCGTGCGGACGATGATGGTGTACCACTTCCTTACGTCAAGACCTACTATTCTCAACGAGCATGTCTTCCTGGAACGTTGCTGATTACAGAAGCGGTGGCCATCAGTCCGCGAGCCAAAGGATTTCCTAACGTTCCGGGCATTTGGAGCCCCGAGCAAATAGCAAGTTGGAAAGAGGTTGTTGATGCGGTGCACTCGAAAGGCTCCTACATCTGGCTTCAATTGTGGGCAACCGGACGAGCTGCGGATGTAGACACGTTAAAAGCCAATGGTTTCGAAATCGTATCTAGCAGCGCCACGCCAGTTGGTCCAGACGAGCCGTCGCCGCGAGCTCTCACCGAGGACGAGATCACATCGTACATCGCTGATTACGTTCAGGGAGCCAAGAATGCAGTGTTTGGCGCAGGATTCGATGGGGTTGAGATCCATGGCGCCAATGGATTCCTCATCGACCAGTTCCTCCAATCTTCTTGTAATCAGCGCACAGATGGTTGGGGAGGCAGCATCGAGAAGCGCTCGAGATTTGGTCTTGAAATCACGAAGCAAGTCATTGATGCGATTGGCAGGGACCGTGTCGGTATGAAGCTTTCCACTTGGAGCACATTCCAGGGAATGGGCACAATGGAAGATCTGGTGCCTCAGTTCCATTATTTCCTCTCACACCTTGCCGAGATGGACATTGCCTATGTCCACCTCGCCAACTCCCGATGGGTTGAAGAAGAGGACCCTACCATCAGAACGCACCCAGACATTCATAATGAGACCTTTGTGCGCATGTGGGGGGACAAGAAACCGATCCTACTCGCGGGCGGCTACGACGCCGAGTCGGCTCAACGCGTCGTGGATGAGACGTACGCCAAGCAGGACAACGTCCTGGTGGTTTTTGGAAGACATTATATCTCAAATCCAGATCTCCCATTCCGGTTGAAAATGAGTATCGATCTTCAGAAGTATAATCGGGACACCTTTTATATTCCGTTCTCGGACGAGGGATACCTGGACTACCCGTACAGTGAGGAGTATTTGGCTCAAGAACAGGGGGCAACGGCATGAGCATGTAAACAGAAACACTGCATACCTCCCATACTGAGGTGTGTGGCTAGTTAATTTTGACCAATCCTAGTGGCAGCTTCTTCAATCCGGTGCAAGTAAGCTTCTATGCTTAGGAGCCGTTGCGTCCATTGATGACCCATGTGAACCGTCACTCTCTGTGGCAGACTTGTGACGCAGTTACCGTTGTATATATCATTAGCTGAGGAGCTAGGGCGATGGGAATAAAATATATCGTTCCTGTTACCCGGATTTTCCAGGTGATATATTTAGCCTTTAATGTGACCTCCTATGTAAGACTTATGTCAGACCCGGGGCACTGTAATCAAACTGCAGCTTGGGTTCTCGAGAGTAGCTAGAAACAAAGCATCATCTTCATTAACCAGCGTCCCTTTGCACATTCTTCTAGATATGCTGAAAGCCGCAATAAACACCAAGCCATTGAATGGCATTATACTATTTTATCAACTTCATGAATATGGTTCGTTGAGCTTTTGAGCGCTTATTATTTAACAAGTTACCAGGTGTAATTGAGAAGTATTTATAGACATCTGAAGCAGCCCTGAGCTAATGGTAAACCGTGGACTATGTTTAGGGGATGTTGCAGACTGATATGGAAAATGGCAAGAAGAAGAAGTTCTGAAGAAAAGACGCCTACGAGCATGTTCAGTTCTCAATGTCCCCCACTTTGTTGATAAATATCAACCAAATGCGGTTACTGCGTACTCCGTTACCCGACGCCTATGTATATCCGATGTCGTATTGCATGTACCCACGGCGCCGTGTAACACTCAACGGCTGTCTCACAGCTGTAACACCATTTTCAAACTTGCAATTTGATAGGTTTTCTCTCTGCTGTGGGCAGCTTGATAAGAGCCGGTGTCCGAATCGTCATTGACCTCATTCGGTGTCCGAAATATGATCTTGAATGGAGGCAGCCCCGGATATGAGTGAAGTCTGCCACTACGCTGACATCCGTCTGTAGTAACTGTCATGAGGCCCCCGTTGAAGTCGCATGTGTTGATTCTACTAGTGTTCCGTTCTTCTTCGCTCCATGGAGTGGCTGCGAGCTATGCCCGTTATATGAACCTTTGATCGAAGAGATGTCGGCCAGCCGCCCATCCCATCGCTCAGTGTGAAGCCGGATCAATGCGTCTTTCTCTTCCACAACAGGTGTGGTGATCGAAAATTTCACTTGGATTACAAAGTGTTCTGAGCCCATATGGTAGGAACTAATGCGCTTGTCTCAATCGCCATTTAGGGAATGGTAGAATCTAGCTTGTAGTCTGCCTCATAAGTAATAGAATCCTCCTTCGTAGCCCGATCTTTTCGATGATTAACTTATGATATTTTTTTCGTGACGAGGTAGTCATTCAATCCTGCCGGATCGAATTCCATTCGCCAAGCATTTGATAGGAACAATCCCTTGATGCAATAACCCGAAACCTTTAATTGCCATTCTCTCGCGCCAGGAATTCTTTTAGAAACGAACCTCTGTTTCTTCATTCGAACGGTCGCCATTCTCACAGTTCTCGACATCTTTCCATACAAGCAGACGGACTTTATATGAAAGATGGTGAATGTACCCTAAAAATGGTAAACAAAGAAGGGGCGCTCGAGTTTTGGAGCTCAAAGCTACAAGTCGCTGAACCATGCATCCTAACACTGTCAAACCAATCTACGGCCGTACCAACCTCGTCAGCAATCGAGTCTATGACAATCGATTTGGGCGGGATAGGGCTTCCATGGAGTGAATGTGTAAATACACGCGATATTTCATCGTCGGCCATTTTCATGACAGCATGGGGTATGATCCTTCGCGCCTATACGGACTCAGATGAGGTTTGCTTTGGACATGCATTCACGGCACGACAGGGACCGATGAATGGTCATCCTGCCCTCTACAGGCCTCGGCTAAACATACTGCCTTGTTTTCTGCAGTTTGAAGGAAAAGCGACCGTACTGGAGACTGTTCGAAAAACGCGGTTGAGCTTGGACGATGCGCAGTCAAATCAAGACGTCTCTCTGGTCGAGATTTGCAACCATATGGGCGTGAAAAATAATGCATCATTCAACACATGTATGCTTTTTTCGTCGGATGAACAAACTTCGCCCAACGCTGAACCCGATGTCCTTGCCCAAGAAGTGACCTTGATGGAAGGCTGTCCGCAGGTGAGATGGCAAAGATGTAAGAATTATGCCAGACGCGCTAACCTCTCTAGTATGATATCATTATTCACGTATCTCCTTTAAAACAATGCGTTTTGTTATATCAGAAGCACTGCTTGTCAAATGATCAAGCTGTTCATATTGCAGGCGCACTGAGAGTTGCGCTCACATCTATTATCAATTCGCCGCACCTGGCTATTCAAAAAGTAGAAATTTTCAGCCCAGTGGATGAAAATAAACTATTGCAATGGAATAAAACGGCACCAATTGCATCGGAATCTTGCCTCCATGATCTCATCAACCAGCAATGTGATTTACATCCTGATTCGCTTGCTGTTGTTGCTTGGGACGGTTCCTTCACATATAAGGAGCTTGATCGTCTCTCAAACACTCTTGCACAAAAGCTTTGCCTCGCTGAGATAGGACCAGACGTTTTCGTTGCCATTTGCGCCGATCGATGCAAGTGGATTCCAGTTGCTATGCTAGGAATCATCAAAGCAGGCGGTGCTTTTTGTGCTCTTGATCCGGCACATCCCCCTAGCCGTTTGAGGGAAATGTGCAAAGCCTTAGGGTCGAGCATGGTGATAACGACTGTGGAAGATGCCAAGAAGGCCGATCAACTGGCATTGACTACTATCGTCCTCGGGGATGATTCGATGACAGAGTCTAATGGCACAAAGTTCAGCCCAGGACGAGCACCACCATCTAAAACACAGCCGAGCAATGCGCTTTACTCTGTGTTTACGTCAGGCTCTTCCGGAAACCCAAAAGGAGTCGTGATCGAACATCGCTCATTCGCTTCAACCGCACTAGCGTCGCTGAAGCCTCTCGATATCCGGCCAGAAGACCGTATACTTCATTTCGCCTCCTATGCATTTGATCTGAGCGTTTTTGAAGTCCTCACCGCCCTCACTGCTGGAGCATCGGTAGCTATTCCGTCAGAAAAGGCGCGCATGGAGTGTTTACCTCGAGCCGCAACAGAGCTCCAGGCGACGTGGACATTTCTTACACCCACGGTAGCGCGTATGTATCAACCCAGCGATTTCCCTACCTTGAGAACAATATCGCTTGGGGGCGAGCTCGTTCAGACATCGGATATCGAATTGTGGGGATCAAAAAATCTCATTACCGGCTATAACCCTGCTGAATGCTGTCCTCTCGGCATTTCCGGCCCAGCTAACCTCTCTGAGGCCAACTTCATAGGATGGCCATTTGCTTCGCATGCGGCCTGGGTCGTGGATACTCGAGATTTTCAAAAGCTGGTGCCCGTAGGTGCCATCGGCGAGCTTATAATTGAGGGACCAGCTGTGGCAAGGTGCTATCTACACGACAAGAATAATGCGCTGCCCGATTCGCCCTTTATCACTTCCCCTCCTCAGTGGTTGACTCGTTTCCGCGGCAAGACATCGCCAGATGCCCGCCTATATCGAACGGGTGATTTAGTACGTTATGGTTGCAATGGCGCAGTGCACTACATTGGACGGAAAGACTTCCAGATAAAGATTAGGGGGCAGAGGGTAGAGCTAGGAGAAATCGAATCTCAACTACGCAACGCTTTCTCTGCTGGAAATCATCGAGTGGCCGTTGAAGCAGTGAATCTTTCCGGCTGCACCACTCTCGTCGCATTCATATCCGTGGATTCATCAGATTCTGAAACAAAGCGGGATGCTGCGCCAGCTGTGCGCTTGCAAGATATTAAACAAGAACTAGAAACGTACGTTGAAGGTGTAGTAACCAAACTACGTGGTATTCTGCCTTCTTCTATGATTCCATCTGCTTTCTTGCCTGTTACTCATATACCGGTTTCGAAAAGTGGAAAGGTCGATCACAAGCAATTGAGATCCTTGGCCTCTTCATTATCTCCAGAGGTCCTATTTCGCCCAAAGGGTGCGTCGACAAGTGGTACTTTACCAGAGACAGATGACGAGCGTCGCTTGCAAGCCCTTTTTGCACTGGTATTAGGCATATCGCCTAGCAATATCAGAGCAGATAGCGACTTCTTCCGCTTGGGCGGCGATTCCGCGCTGGCGATGAAACTCTTGGCTCTGGTTTCCCAGGAAGAGCGCTTTGATCTTACATATAGCGACATTTTCCAACATCCCAGGCTAAGAGATATGCTCAACGCATCTAGATCGAGATCGAGTTTCATGAACAATGATGACGAATCAGTTTCTACCGACTCCAGCCTTCCTCCGTTTTGTCTTGTCAAAGACGCCAACTCACTGATCGACATCGCGAGTGACCAGTGTGGTATAAACAAAGAAAGCATTGAAGACATTTATCCCTGCACCTCTACCCAGGCGAATCTCATGGCCTCAACTGTTCTAGATGAAGATCCGTGCTTGTCAATTCGATCATTCAAGTTGGAAGGCAATATTGATAAAGCTCGCCTCAAACAGGCATGGAGCATCGCGAGTAAAGGTCATCCGATACTTCGAACGCGCATCATACAGAGCAATACTGGAGCCTTTTTCCAAGTGGTAATCAAAGGAGATATCTGCTGGTCGGATTATACATATAGCGACGACTCAAATTCCCAATTCCGCCCATCTTTTGGCTTAGGGAGCCCGTCAGTCCAGCTCTGTTTTATGAAAGGGCGACTACTTGTTGCCATGCACCATGCACTTTATGATGCTTGGTCACTGCCACGGCTGCTAAATGAAGTTGATGGGGCCTATTGTCAGCTCTCAGTCCAGCGGCTGCTTCCGCTGAATTGCTATGTAAAGCATGTCGCAGAATCGTTGGACTCTGCAGCTTCATTTTGGAAAGCAGAGCTAGAGGATGCTGATCCTACGCATTTTCCCGTGCTACCCTCGGGCAAAACTGACCGGGAAACAATCCCAACAACGACGAAGTCGATCAGTACTACCATGCCCATCGATTCAGAACGCAAGAGCAACGTGGAATTCGAGCTACAGTTAGCATGGGCTATAACTTGCTATAGCTACACCAAGAATGAAGACGTAATATTCGGAGTTACTTCCTCTGGGAGAAATATCGCCCTCGATGGCGTGGACAAGATGCTCGGGCCTATCTTTGCCATCACTCCACTTCGAGTGCCCATCGATCCAGATCAGGAGGTGACAGAAGCCATAGGAGATCTGCAGTACCGCTCAGAGGAACAGGCACCGTACACTCACCTTGGTTTGCACCGAATCAGTCAACTCGGACAAGAGGCCGCAGCAGCTTGCCAGTTCCAGACATTGCTCGTCGTTGAGCCCAGTGAGACAGAGATAAAAGGGACATGGTTTTGTGAACACGAGGTTATCTACGATTCTATAGAGCCTAGGAATCATTCATTGACGTTGAAGTGCCTAGTCAACCCCGGTTTCGTGGACATCACGGCAATTTTTCACCAGGCGATCTTGCCTGACACCCAGAAGCAAGACATGTTGCTGCGGTTCCAACACATATTCGGGCAAATCCATACTTCTGGCACTCCGGACTCTACCATATTGGATATTGATACGTCAAGCCCGCAAGATTTGAGTGGTCTTCAACATTCAAGTCTGTTTGTGAAAAACGTTGGCAGGGACTACACAACGACCAATAAGCTACATAACAGAGATATTTTCTTGTACAACTCAACGCTCAAGAGCCAGATACATCACAGCGTACACATGGTTGATAATGCTCTGGAAGAAGCGGCTCAAGCTCAAAAGTCGCCGGTTCCGACCGGCAAAAGATCTGAAAGCCAGCAGTTCGCTCAAGCATCAGAAGCAGTAAACCTCGTGGCTGAGATAGATCGATACGACCTTGTCATAACAAGTGTGCAGCAGGAAGAAATTTCAGACTCTAAAAGAAGCCCACAAGCTAAAAACATGTCTTTCAACCTGGAAGCTGGCAAACCAATTACGGTATTTCTAACTGGCGCCAGCGGTTTTATCGGAACGGAGGTGCTTCGCCAACTTCTTGAGAATCATAGCATTCGCCGTGTCATTGCCCTGGTGCGCGGTCGCTCAACGCAGGAAGTTAGAAGCCGCACAATCGATTCAGCAAAGAAGGCACTATGGTGGACCGATGGCCATGGCGAAAAGCTTGATGTGTGGCCTGGTGACCTGTCACTGCCACACTTGGGGCTGGATGCTGAGCACTGGAGCATGCTTGAAGACGGCATGACAGTTGATGCAGTTATTCATAACGGAGCTTCGGTGCACTGGTTGAAGAATTACACGGCTTTGGAAGCAACCAACGTCCGGTCGACGGCAGAACTGCTGCGTATTGCAGTAAAGACGCCTCACGTGAGATTTACATATGTCTCAAGCGGCAGATACCAGGACCCCATTGAGGAAGTCGAGAAACAGGTCGCGATGCAGTTTGCTGCAGGTGGCATCCCCTACAGTCAGACCAAGTTTGTCGCCGAATCTCTGGTCCGGCGCGCGGCCGCACGGATTCCATCTGAACACTCGAATCTCGCAGTAGCTAGCCTGGGGCTTGTGATTGGCACACCCACCGAGGGCGTTGTGAACTCGGATGACTATATCTGGCGACTGGTTGCGGCGTGTATCAAAGCAGGTGTGTGCAATGCCGATGAGCTGGATAAGTGGTTTCCGGTCTCCGATGTGGCACGTACAGCGAGTACCATAATTGATACGGTGTTGGAGCCTGTGACAACGTCTGCTCCTGTGAAACAGGTCACTGGTGGAATTACGTGGCGAGAGATTTGGAATATTGTCATGGAAATGGGCTATACTGTCGAAAGCAGGCCTGCCGTGGATTGGTTGAGAACTATTCGTCAGGATATCGAAGTTGAGCAAGAGAAACACCCTCTTTGGACGCTGGCACACATGATTGAAGGGAGCATCGACAACACAGAACCGACGTGGGCAACTAGCTGGCACGGAAACGAAGCTGCATCCGCGAGATTAAAGGGGGCTGTAAAAGGCAGCATTGCGTTTCTGGGCGAGATTGGTTTCATCCCGAAGTCTGGTCTCGAGGTCCAAGAGCAAGTACAGAAAATACAAATAGGTGCGTTTTCTAGATCATAGTTATAATCACATCAGATATACAGCTGCTAGTCGCGCACACTCGGTTAGCAAGAAGACGCATTAGTCTTGAAGTGAAGTGTTTCCTTCAGCCAGAGAATCTGGGAATTAAGGAGAATTCATGTTAACTGAAGCGCACCTGAAAGCGCAATCATGTCCACCCCGCTCACAAACACCATCAAGCTCGCCGCGATTCATTATTATGTTGAAAGAGTCTGATATACATTCCATAGCAAATTGAGCTGCTAAGTAGAAACCAGCGGGGTATGCTATTAATAGATTGGTAAGACTTGGATGCTGCTTTGTTGAGATACATTGATATATCAAGTTCTCGCAACAGCAGCTTTCTTCCCACGATAATTTTTCCAATCCTCAGTTTCTTAACATCCGTTTAAAGGTGAGAAAGCTCCCCTGTGATAAGGATTTGTAGCTGACATGGCTATGTGGAGAAATTAGACACTTCAGTCTTCACAAGTTTCAGAAAAAGCTGATAAGCTGCTGATAGACTACACAATGTTTTTTGGGACATATTTCCGAATTTGCTTTGATAAAGAATGGTTTTATTCGAGTGCATGACTTTCTCTAGACACTATCTCCGGAACCAAATCTACAGGATGAACTCAACCATGCTTAACACAGCACGAAGCAAACATGTCGGGATGTTTGGATTATCAGATTACTGTAGCCATTTCTCGACTAGCCAGTCTGCGGCATCAAGTATCACAGGATCTTGCGAGCCCTTCCAGTCCTCCGTAATGGCCATGTCGCAGCAATGGTCCAAGCCCTTGACGATGTCTAGCCGTACCGGCCGCTGTTGCTGTTTCATAGTCTCCTGAAAAGTGAGCGAAGTCTCAATAGGCACGACAGTATCATTATCGGCGTGCAGTACCCAGATACGCTCAGGAAGCTTGGCGCCTTGCTTAACACGACGGTTCAGCCACACGTTTGGATGGTCATCCAGCTTGCCTCCGGGATTGAACAGCTCCGGGAACAAACCGGCGCGTGCAACCCATGCCCCGAAGCCGTCGCGTTCAGCTCCAGGCATCGTTACTATCGGTGCCTGCGTAAATTTCTCAAGCTGGTCCCTGACAGCACTGTCATCCGCAGGGAACGCGGCATCCGGCAAGCAGCCGGGGTTCGGCGCACCGACGGCTCGACTGCCTCGGCGCCACCAGTCGGTGTCGAAATTGATCATCGGATACATGAGACTGAGGGACCGGTAGGAGTCTGGGTGCGCCAGAGCAGAAGACAGGGCGATGTAAGCACCCGAGGAGCCTCCGTGCAGTAGAATCCGCGACAAATCGACTTCGTATCCCGGCGCGCTCTTCGCCAGTACTTTTGGAAAGGACGATTGCAGCCACTCATGGAAAGCCTCTGCGTCTTCTTGAATAGCTACAAGCCCATCCTTGTGAGGGAGCAGAGTATGGTCGGGAGAGACGATGATGGCTGAATGTTTCTTTGCGAGCTGGAGGAGCAGTGGTGGGAAAAAGAGAGCGAACAGGCCATGCGCTGCGACTAGATACCCGCCATGCCAATTGATTATTACTGGGCTAGGCTTCGAAGGAGCATCTTTGGGAAGCAGTATGTGTGCCAAAATTGGATGATTGTCTCGTGTTTTAAATCTGTAGACCGGTCAGTATAAAGAGTTTCGGTATAATGGATGCCTTCATACGGTTCATCAATAATTTTGAAATCATTAAAGATTTCATTTGTCTGTGGAACTATTTTGTCCATTTTGAACGAAAGTTTGGGTGTGTCTGAAAGTAATTGGATGGAGGCAACAAGACGAGGGTAGTCAGGTCCCTGGCCTTATATACATGTATTCTTAGCAGGGGCTCCCTTTCGTTGATTATTTATTGAATTGTTCTGTTCAGTTCCTTGTGCGGAAATGAGGCTGACGGACCCATATGTCACATTCGGGGTCTCGACGTCATACGCATGCGAGATCGTAAACGAATAGCCGAGATGCCAGCTCCACGTAATGATATATGCACCCTCAGACCTTTCCGGTAAGGCTACGATAGCACCACTAAGCATAGTAGATTGGAAAATCAACCTTTTCACTATCTGTGGGCGGTTGACAGTCCGCAACTAGAAAAATATAACACCAAGGGTGTATGGTACTTCCTATTGTAACTAGCTGTTGAAATACACAGAAGAAATGATTCCAACCTGCAGAATTCAATCAGCACAACCGCCACCTACGAGGTCGTATTGCAACCGGACAATTGATACGACTTGGTGAAACTCTAGCTATGCAACTCTGACTTTTCCTACTTCTCCTTTGCTCAAACTTTCTTTGACTTTCAGACTTCCCCGTAAATGTATTATAGCCAGATATCTTGACAGTCCTTTAACAATGTAGCTCGGCAGTTGATTATTTTCAGAAGCAGCCAAGATGGGCTAACAGAACAAGCATCCAGGCCTAATATCAACTCGTGTAGCCAAAGCATTGAGTCAGTCTCCAAGTTTCCCATCTTATGAAGTAAAAATACCTTCAAAAATGCATCACGAAATGCATGGTAACATATGCTATAGCACATAAGCCTCAATATCGTATAAAGATCTGGATTTATGTTTACTTCTGGGCTCCGATCGGCAGCGTGTTGTTGCAGCCAAAAGGCCACGCTTGCCGCTATACGGTGATAAACTTGTTGCAATAAAAAAGCATCTTGACATCTTTTTCTTGGTAGCAGTGTTTGAGAAAAAATGATTCAGAACTTCAACCAAATTCCCATCAACTCCTTTTACTCTTATATCTTTATCTGTAAGCCCTTACTCTAAATAGCCATGGTATAATGCCAAGTTCGGTGTCGAGACATTGCTCTATTCTATTTTGTTTTCCAACCATGTTTCACCAAATCTATCCGATACACATTTCGCCATTAACTACTCTTATCTCCCTTACTAAGATCTCCAAATCGCTTGTCAAAAGCCCGAGCCTTCTGCAGAAGCTTCGTCACGTCGTGGCGTTTGTAACCGCGATCACGAATCAGGTTCTCAGCAATCGGATTTAGCAGCTCTAGAATGTTTATGACATGCGGAACAGTTTCTCGAGTAACAGAACCTATTGCCTCGAGCATTTTAGCCGTGATGGTGGTGTTTTTGCTTCCCAACGATGTTAGTGCCCCATGCTCGAGAGATGGTTGGAATGTGCAAGTCTTACATTATAGCGGCAAACTTTGAAGAACACAATATCAATATGCTCGGTCCGAGGGCGTTTATGAGGATCCACCACCTCTTTCCAAATCGTTTGCGTTCGTGAAAATTTGCCCGCAGCTGCGACTTCTCCCGTGAGCCGGCCGTCTTCCATTGCGGATGTGTGTTTTCCAGAATATCATCAATCATGGAGCTAATCGTGCCCCTGCCCACCTCTGTCATCGGCTTCATGCCGCCAGGGGCTCCTCTCTTCCATTTGACGTAGGTATTTTCATACTCGAGGTGGAGAAGGACCATGGCCATCCTGCTCCGGATGGCGTCATCCTTCATCCGCATATCGAGGCGACAGAGACACGAATACGCCTTCTGTAGCTTTTCGTATTCGCATCGACCAGCTCTTTGGTAGGGCGGCGGCACTGTTTTGTGCCACAGGCCATCTGTAGCCCAGCGCTGGAGGTTCATTTCCAGGAGAGAAAGGTAGTCCGATCGAATGCACGTACGAGCTGCGGATATGACCTTTTGCATAGCCGCGTCAGGCAAGGTTCCTGCTGTGCAATCAATGACGGCTTGTCCATTGTTGCTGTCAGAGTTTGCGGGACCAAAAGGCCAGGCGGTGTGCGAAACAGACTGGGCAGGTGAAGTGTTTCGCGAGCTACGTGACTCCGTCTCTTCCGCCGCCTGCCAGTTCCCATTAATTGAAGCGGAAGAGGATCCACTCAGTTCCCTGGAAATAGTGTTCTCTGTATAGCTGACAGGTGGGCAGGTATGCAAAGTATTCGGTGACTCGACGTAATATTCGCCAGCGTATTCATTAACATCGCTGCCTGTAGATCGCTCACCATTTTCAGGGGGTATCGTCTCCATGTTTGGAAATACCATAGAAGCATTTGAAGAACTCGTACTAACTGCGGCTGTAATCGATATTAGCCAAGTCTCATCCAAGCTTCTGGATCATGTACACACCATCATAAGACGACATACTTGAGTCGTCGAACAACATGCCAGCACTATCCAGTTGTAGAGAGACGGTTGACTCTAGGCCATGAACGCCCACCTTGAAAAATATTGGGTTAGCTTTGCTTGTGTAAACTGCAATCTTGGGCCTTAATTCACACCAGAAATGGGTCCACCCCGACTGTGTTGAAACCGTCTCCCGAAAAGTCGTTTTCCTTCGTATAGTCCATGTCCTGAGCATGACTGACGTTGTTCCACCTTGCGATCTCCATGTATTTAGACAGTTCTTCGTCCGGTATTGCCAGAGACTCAGCTTCTGTGAATTGTGTCGAATCTGTTGGGAAGATCATTGGGGCATTAGTGGTCTCCGCCAATCCGATGGCCTGCTGATTTTGGGATATTATGGACAGTTCTGGACTCAAGTACCGCTGGACGGCATGGTCCGATTCTGTATCACTGCTTGAAAGGGTCATAATTTAGTTTGTAGCCCACTAGCTTACTTCTTGCTGAAATACTGAAGCTCACCATATCGATTGGTCGGAATCGAGGACTAATATTGGTTTTACCGACGACGTATCCTCGATGGGCTCTCCCCTCAGGTCAATGCGAAAGGGCCTCAGTCGGTTAGCCAAAGTAGAAATGACCGCAAGATCGCGCTCATCAAGCAAGGATTTTATGGCATCGATAAAGAGACATAAATTGTCTAACTTTGGAGTGCAAGATGGAGTTAGCAGCTGCTCCACGGACGAGTCCATCATGTGTAGAGGTAGAGAGCACGCCCCAGAAGCAAGTATTACGCACAATTGCAAATCCGAATTATCTCAGGCCTTAATATATTAAAAAAAATAGAAAAGAATGAAAAAATCAGCTTTGCAAGAATCTCCCCTTTAATACGACGACGGACTTTGTGCGGCTAATGACATGATGACGAAATGCCGAAATGCAGGGAAAAGGACAAAACCGACCGATGTCATGCAAGACCCTTTTACCAGAATAGTATTCTTCAATGCAATCATCACTTTTTGGTATTCGTCAGCCGGTTCGTTCTATACCGGAGTACACGAGCCGCGACTCCACAGCGGCAAGGAAGTAACATCGGGACGCCGTGTGACGTGGTGGTCAAATGCACTGGCGGAGCTGCCAGGACTACAAAAGCAGCGGCATGTTGCCTCCTTGTCCAATTCAGTGCTCTAGAGCAGGATGCATGCATTAACGCGCTTCGTTACTTATCTCATGCTGACATGGTCTCACCTTTTGCAATTGTGTAACGGTGCTATAGCACCCCTATATGTAAGATTTTCTTATCTACACTGGATTTAGTGTTTCTGAGATGAACTATATACATGACGGTCACTGTACACTGACGGATACTCTCCTTCACTTGATACCAGCCCTCTATATAGACGAGTGGAGAATGTGGAGGTTCGGAGATGTGTAGGCTACCTATGAATCCCGGTTCGTTCATCTGAGACGCACAATATGTATAAAAAAGGGCCAAATTGATTTCCTAGTTGCCTAATACAGTCAGCTGCGAGCAACTTGCGTACACGGCGCAGTTATCCAAGTTGGGAATGTAACAAGCCCAGCTGCCAGTGTAGCCGTTATGGTCTATAATTCTAGTGTAATATTAACAGCTACTTGAGCCTATAGATGGTAACGTAATACCAATGCTCATAGTCTTCCTCAAGTTGAAGACATTGTTAACTAGCCGGAATGTAAACTCAAAACAAACGTTTAGTACACGAACCCTTATATCGAGCTGTATGCCATAATTAAGCCCTGGCCATAGGTAGTTCCTGTCACAAGTCTAGTGAAATAGAGTCTGTTATTGTATATGATTTTCAAGGCGATGCCGCTACTAGAACAGTAAGCTTGGTTTCAAAGTCGCGAAATGTCTGGGCCGGTCTAGACGTCGCGATGCATAGCGTATAACTGCACGTAGAGTAAGATGAGGAAGGTTTGGTTTTGCCACCAAGCCACCCGGAACTGTTGCGTTAACCATTGGGCTTTCAGACTCGACATATGTACTAACACTGGACACCGTGGCTCGCTCAGTACAGCTGATAACGCCGGTGTTCCAGATGCGGCCGCAACGCTTGCCGCGCCCTCATCCGCCCACAGTCTCAATCCCGGATTGACAAAGATGACAGCTGAAGTGCAGATCTGCCGTGGGCCCAATCCCGATGCGGGTTTTCGGGTAAGCCGCAACGGTTTGCGCCACAAGACGGACAAACCCGAACGCAGCCGGGCTTGGCTTTTCTTGGGCGGGTCATGTGAACATCGCGGAGGCTACATGTAACATTGCATGAGCACAGTATCAAATGGAATAATCTACAGATGGAACCAAATCCTACAAAGGATACCCGTACAACATGCACTGTATACCTACCTAGGTAGCGATGTGAAGATTGAGGGTATGTGTTATGGATTGGACCCTGCAGATGAATCGGAAATAAAGGGTCCACGACGGGCGAAAACCGAAATGTCAACTAGTATTGGCTCTCGTCGTAAATTGCGAAAGCACCTCGCGCCAAGGGAGGTCCACAGTTTGATGCCGAGCATCAAGCATGTGCGGCCCAAGATGTCTCCTCGTGATGCTGCGCGACGTGACGGAGGAGGTTGATTGGCCCCAACGACAGTTTCAGCGCCCACGGCACATCTACATGCATAAACGATTGTCAAGCTTTACTGCCTGCATTTTGGCCCCTCTTTAGCTTGCAGAAATGATGGCTACTGCCTATGCGAGGGCGCAGTGCCTATCTAGCGTGAACTAAAAATTAACATACGGTCTGGTCGTACAAGAAAGGTGTCTAGTGCTTTCCACTGTGTGTAACCAGCACGTATACTGTACATACCTTGTATCCGTAGCTCGAGCGTGGTGTTTTCGTTCCAGTTGGGCTTAAACGAGGGTCGAAATTCCAAGGCACGTGTTCTTCTTTCCAGTCCCTCCCTTCAATCTTTTGCTGAAATCCTGTCTTGAGCCGACTTGTCATATTTTCGAGGCTCGCTTTATTCCCGTTTTGCACCAAGACTTCTTTGCAAGTCTGGTCCGCATCGGAAACGATACGGAGGCAGATACTGGCCTTAATATTCATGATGATAAGAGACGCCAATCCCCTAAGCTTGGCCGTGGAAAAAGAAGAATGATGGTTCACCAGGGCTTAGCAACTCCATCGAATGCGGGCATAAAAAAATGATCGACTGGAAAGAGCTACAGGGTAGCTTCTCTTGGTCATTGATTCAATGATATTAAATGCGCTGCTACAATAAACCAAGACTTTTTCTTCACTTGCACAGGAAAGTAAGCTAGTCCACGTCTCGACACAAACATCGATGTACTCAAGTAAATTTCAACAAAGACGAGGCCATTCTCATTTGCACGGCGGAGCTTTTCATAACACGGATGGAGAGTTTGTCGGGCGCGTTGTGAGAGTTTCGACAGAAATCTGATCTGTCAATTCTCGCTTTAGTGCCTCACAGATGGGTTTGACTGATATCAGTCTACAGGCTTAGTATGCCAGAAGCCCGAGGGTGTAGAGAGAGCGCATATCGGTGAGGGGACCTGTGACTATGTCGCCGACAAGGCCTTGTCTATTGATGATGCCCTGGACAAGCTCATCAGCGAGGCCGACAGCTTGATTACCTTGGCGGATATGCTAGTGACCAGTCGTCATCGACTTCCGCTGAGGGCGGGACTATAACTACTATTATACCGGGCTTTCCTGAGAAGCTTGATGGTGATCTAGTCTTCGGTAACAGCGACAATTTGACGGACAGCATATATCCAGGTAGCTTTGACCTTTTTTGTCTAAATTCCGCGGTATATTACCGTTTATGAGGCAAGTACGCTACCAGGATGATATTTCTAGGAGAAAATGGCTGAGGTATGTATGGAAAACTACGACTTGGAGTTCCGCAGAACAGCCAAGGTTGGTGATATCTTGGTTGGAGGACTCAAATTTGGGTGCGGCAGCTCTCGCAAGCAGGCTTCCACTCCTGTCGTCGCGAAGAGGATTCCGCTCGTTATTGCTGGAAGCTTCAACAACATCTTTGACCGCAACAGAGATCAATAAAACCCCTTTGGGTCTGGAGATGCCTGAACTTGTACAGCTGCTTCGTGAAAATTTCAAGGGCAATACGAAAGCGCCTCTGATCCGTCGCTCCAATGTCGTCGTGTCCAAGGGTGACGGCTCCATATGGGAGCGAAAGGTTGCAGGAACTTGCTCGTGGGGTTGGAAAACAGGGTCAAGGCTCAGGTCAAAGCTTGAGATACTAGTGTGAAATGTGGCACGTGTTCCCTGTTTTTTTAATTTAGATGTCTTGCTCTAGGCGTTTCAATGTATATTTTCACTGGCCCTAATAGATCGGGTAGATTGTTTAATGTCAGGCGTGGCTAAGGTAGGGTGTAAAAGGTTCACGGGTACCCGTGTAGGTTGCTTACTCGTGGGCTTTAGGTAGGTATAGGTAAGAAAAAAAGACTTAAATAAATTTATAAGAGAAAATAAGATACTTATAATTATTTATTAAGAATATTAAGTGTTTTTAAGTACTTAAATAAAACTTATATAACTTACTTTATACTTTAAACTTAAGACTTATTATAAATATAATTAAATATTAAAGAGTTAATATTAATTATTATAATTAATTATTATAATTAATTT